AAAAACATACAACAGCATGTGTATGACCGTGGTCACCTAGCGCCCACGGTTCGGGCGTGGGCGGCTCGCCGCTCTATTCAGGGCACTCAGGGCAGATATTCACCCACCTGAATATTCCTCACCCGAATATTCAGCCTGTACAGCAAAAGGTACATTTCTCATCATGACCAAAAAAGCTACAAGTACCCTTCCTTTCCCCGTCCATTTTCATCTCTCCAGCTTCGCTTTGTCACTCCCTTCACTTTGTCACTCCAACCCCGCTTAGTCACGAGCAAGATGCGTACCAAGCATGACCCAACTTTGAAATATATGGCCAATGTGGTAGATTTCGGGGAGCATAGCAACAACGAAATCCAGCGGGCAGTGCTTCCACGAACAGAATCTGGTTACAGTGACACGTTACTTATTTTCGACGAGTAAGATCCAGCCGTGGGAACAGAGAAGCAAGTCGCTAAACCGTGCCTCTATCACTAGTTTTGTCACATTACATCCGCAGGCCGTCATTCCGCCGGACATCAGGACTTGCAGGGCTTTCCTCGAGTGGGTTTCAAGAGGAATGAACGGTCGGATCGAAGAACGGCCTACAGTCGAGACGATTCAAGGGTTTTTTAGGAAGTTTACCACCGGTATGAAGAGAAAAAGAAACTTTGAATTCCCACCAGCAACAAGGACTACAATTAATGAGGTATGTACTAGTATCCTTTTGAATAAGTCAGGGCTAATACTAGATAGTATATCGTGGGAGAATTAAGGATCAAGATTCCTCTCTCAACTAAGCAAATGAACAAAGATGGTGGTGTATCCCCAAATGATTTGACGATCTTGATGACTCAATTATGGTGCCGAGACCACCATGAGTATCGTGGGAACCCTGCCGATCGGGCCAGAGTCCAACTAAGTGCCGCGATGCTTCTATATTGCTTTACCTCTGCGCGCACAGGGGAGGTTCATGAATCAACCGCTCGGAGACACGGAGCCCGGGAGGTCGGGGAGGAAAGCGAGGATACTGACTTGGAAGCCCGCGTGATGGCTGCCTGTTATAAGGTATGTTCAAATAAGAAAAGGGAATCAATGTTGAAGCTGACCATATCAGCATTTTGAACTCACTATCGAGACCGTGGATGGTATAATAATGCTTGTACTCACCTACGAGCGCGAATTTGTTAAAGGGTATTGGCGAAAGACAAAATGGGAGATTCCTAAGCACGCATTCTACGAAGTATACGCCGAGGATGTGCCTATATTTCTTAACTTTTTAACATTCTATTTGCCAATGGCCGCCGCAGATAAAGCTTTCAGAGATTACGGTTCCGTGAGCGAGATTTTAGATGCTGTTGATATGCACGAGAAAGTCGGCAATTCAGAGGATAAGATCCTTGAGGTGATTCATGTCCGGGAAGAGATGAGAAACATGCCGGTTTTCCGCCAATACCTTGAGCACAATGTGGACAATTTCAAAGGCAATGCCAGGGGAGCTGATTCCTTCGGCAAGGCTTTGGTCAATCTAGGCCATAGAAGTGGCTATACGCTGAATATTACTGTTCGGGCGTGTCGAAGATGGGCTTTACAGCAAGCAGGTACGGGTCTATTTGAAAGAGAGGCTCACGGGTTAGCTGATGATGAAATAGATAAGACATATTCCGAGTCTGCAAGGATGAAGTTTGCTGGGCAAACCAATCGGGACACATACGGAAAGTCATACGCGCATCCTCTTAGTGAGGTTGATGGACCAGCAAACTACCTCGGAATTGCCATCCGACAAGAGCATATCCAGAATCGCCGAGGAATGGGTCTTTACCGCAATTCCTCCTTATCGCAGCTCCTTCCTGCGAAAGCTGAGTATGAATTTCTTGCCCGCGAAGATGTTCATGCTCTTGATCAAACCATGGCAAAATTGAGTTTGCTGCTCTCAGATGCCACGCCGGAAGAAAAACACGAAATTCAACTAAAGCAGAAGCGGATCTATAGTGAGAAAAGGAGTCTTTACAATGACGAGCTCCGGAAGGTCCAGGCTCTATCAGGGAGGCAACATGGAAGTATTTACACTGAAACCATATTCCATTATAGGAGAAAGGTAATGCCTCACAGAGACTTCCTGGCTAGCACATTGCATTGTAAGCTCAGTCTCCGGAGCTCAGATGGAAGAAGAACTCTGCAGGCGTTGGAGTCTCTCTGCAGCGAGACAGATACGATTTCATACCGCGATAGCCTCAGCCCCCTAGGCCAGGCCTGTCTGTGTGGAAGGTCTATTGAAGAGTATGTTTTCTAGCGATGGAGAGATATGGTTTTCCTATTGCTAACCTGAAAAAGATTTAAGGATCACCGAAAATGGCTACATCTCTACCGTTGCTACTCAAGGCATTACAAAACCACCCACGGATTTGCGCAAATCTGCTTTGAATGTGACCTATGGTTTACCAACGAATCGGAATGGGAGAATCATTGCCAGGAGCATCTTGATAATCCAAGCGATTTGCTCCGTTGTGATCCCATGAACTTTCGGAATGCACCTATAAAGCCAGGGCTTTGTCCGTTTTGCCTAGGTTCCAAGAGAGAGAAACCGTCGAAGAGAATGTTTCAGTTCATCCTCTCACCACCAAAATGGCACTCCCATATTGAGGATCATTTGAAGAGACTCAAACTTGATTTCAATTGCAAACATCCAGCCTGCTCTACAAGCTTTCGAAGCCTGGAGGAGCTTACCTACCATCTCGTTGACACGCATTGTTGGCGCCCTAGGCGGGAATCCCCCAAGAAACGAAAGTGGGCAGACATTAAACTTTGAGGCGCACAAATTTTACAGAATTAATATATCTCAATATGTATGAAAATTGGTAGCCTTGTTATACTGCCTTGAGCTAAGAAAAGACGCAGATTTGTAAGGGGCCTTCAAGATAGTCAAAATATAAGTTTACTTAAATCGGGACGGTGGATCGTCTCCGTAGAATATTGAGGATCCGTATGCAACATATTCACGAGCGTGGTCTGGTGAGGCTGGTTGGTCCGACCGAGGGTTGGTTGACTATTGGTGGATCATCTGCATGAGTGATTCGGCGATGCTCATCTCAGCCTTAATGGCGATTTTGGTATGGTATCTCCCACAGCTGACAAAATATATTACCAAGAATGAGACTTGAAGGAAGGTCGTGCTCATTAGCTATCTATGAACCGTGGATTATAGAGCAATAAATTACTCTAGAGATGAGTGCCTAGGGACTGATATCCCGGTATTGTTTTGTTTGTTGAGTGGAGACAGAGCCACCTCCCGCCAATAGCATTCTATATCTTGCCGCCCGCTCCTACGCTGCGTGTCCCCTACGAGGCTGAGCCTTCTAGGTTGGTGACGGTTTCTCTCTCTCCCCTCTCTTGCAAGCTTTTTCTTTTCCCTTCAAACCTTCTCTCACTTTTATCCTTGTTGAAGAATCATACACGATCAGTGGACCGTGTTGTATCCTCTACTCAGGCTCAAACCAAGCAATATAGCATTTTTCCAACGCCTTTTGCTCGAGTAGCAGGCATGTCAGACCCTTCGAACTACACCGTGGGCTGGATCTGCGCCTTGTCCGTGGAATATGTCGCCGCGCAAGAATTTCTCGATGAAGAGCACGGAAAACCCAGCTTTGTGTCGCCAAATGACACCAACGATTATACCTTAGGCAAGATGTGCGAGCATAACGTCGTCATCGCCGTATTACCTGATGGTGAATATGGCACAGCCTCCGCGGCTAATGTAGCAACAAACATGCTGAACACCTTTCACAACATCAGGATAGGCCTCATGGTCGGTATCGGTGGCGGCGTACCAAGTGAAAAGCATGACATCCGTCTAGGCGATATCGTGGTTAGTGCGCCTCGTGGTGGTCAGGGTGGTGTGTTCCAGTATGATTTTGGCAAGTCGATACAAGGTCAAGAATTTCAGCATACGCGGTTCTTAAACCAACCACCAACTATACTACGGACCGCTTTGACGGGAATCCAAGCACAATACGAGAGGAAGGGACATCTGCTTGAAGAAGCTATCAACAGTCTTCTTGACAGGAACAGAAGACTACGCCAGAAGTACGAACGTCCGGAATCAATTACGGATAGACTCTTCCAGCCTGATGTTATTCATGAATCAGGTTGTGGTGCTGCATCTTGTGCAAATGATACCTCAAACATGGTCCTGCGACCCGAGCGGTCCGAGCACGAGGATAATCCTGCAATTCACTATGGCTTGATTGCCTCTGCCGACCAGTTGATGAAGGATGCTTTGATTCGAGATAGACTAGCTGCGAAAAAAGAGGTTCTCTGTTTTGAAATGGAAGCCGCCGGACTAGTGAACACTTTCCCCTGTTTGGTTATTCGGGGCATCTGTGACTACTCGGACTCGCACAAAAACAAAGGGTGGCAAGGGTATGCAGCGATGGTGGGAGCTGCATACGCCAAGGATCTTCTACGAAGGATTCCCCTAAACAAAATTGAAGCCGAGGAGAGGGTTAGTGTTATTCTATCTGGTTAGTCTAGGGCAATCTTAGAAATACTTTTTGGACGAAATTGACCTAGGGCACTATACAGACGAGCTGGAAAGCATCAACCAGCTCCTAGACCGAGCGAACTACCAACGAGAACAACACCATAATGAAATGGAAACACGAGCTATGACAGATCAACAGCAACGTTGTCACCAAGTTTTCAAGATAGCGAATTACACGGAGCAAAAGGACTTTAATCCAAGACGAGCAGAAGGAACCTGTGAATGGGCTCTACAGAGCTCTGAATACATTCGCTGGTTTAATAGCAACTGTAATGACCTTCTATGGGTGTCAGCTGATCCAGGTTGCGGAAAGTCTGTACTGGCCAGATCGATTGTCGATGACTACGTCCACGCGTCTAGTCCAGCAGTGACAATATGTTACTTCTTTTTTAAGGACAACGATGAACAAAACCACCTTGCTGCAGCATTGTGCTCAGTACTACACCAGCTCTTTAGCCAACGCCCTCATCTATTGCATCATGCTATGCCATCCTGGGAAAAGAATGGAAAGAGTCTCCCACAAGAGGTTGATGAGCTATGGCGGGTCTTTATAGCGGCAACATCATCTGACGTACCGTTTAAGACGATATGTATTTTTGATGCACTTGATGAATGCCGTGAGATTGATCAGGGTCGATTGATTCAGAAGCTCCAGTCCTTCCACCGCCAGCCATGTTCATCAACACAAGATACCTGTTTGAAATTTCTAGTTACTAGTCGTCCCTATGACCACATCCAGAATCGCTTCCAAGCGACCACGGACTCTTTCCCACATCTGCACTTGAAGGGGGAGGAAGAAAACGATCAAATCCATAAGGAAATAGATCTGGTTGTGAAGATGCGAATAAAAGAGCTGGCCGAAGTAGCATCGTTGTCGTGGGATATACAGCAGCGACTCGAGCAACAATTGTTACAAATGGAACACCGCACCTATCTTTGGCTACATTTGGCTATTGATGACATTCGATCGACATTCGAGAATAGCCTTTACCCTGCCAAGGAATCAGTCCAAATGATACCTCCTTCGGTGAATAAGGCATACGAAAAGATTCTTAGTCGAGTGCCTCCTAACCAAAAATGCACGGTGAGAAAAGTCCTACAGATCATTGTTGGAGCAAGGCGGCCTTTGAAAACAGCGGAAATGGCCATGGCGCTGGGTTTGGCTCTCTCCCCACAGTCGAAAGCTGCAGCACAGGCTAGAGTGGATTCACTGCAGCTAGAGAAGAAGCTCCGTCGTTTATGCGGCCTTTTTGTTTTCATCAATGACTCCAAGATATACCTCATTCACCAGACCGCAAGGGAGTTTCTAATTGAGAAGGCATATTCGAACGATCTCAACTTCCCATACTCGTGCAGCCCGAGTGATGTTGAAAACCAACTGGCTCTAGTATGTATCAGATACCTATTGATGGAGGATTTGGAAGGCTATAACTGCGAGTCGCGCGATTCTCGGTGCTTTTTGGAATATTCAGCTATATATTGGCCCGATCACGTACGAAACATGACTTTCACTTCCCAAGAGGTGACTGATCGGCTGCATCGATTATATGATATAAGTGGAAAGCGATTTGCACTATGGTTTCCAATCTTTTGGAATGCAGTGAAGCCATACCCGATGGCCGGTAAAATGGATTCACTACAGCTGGCAGCATTTAACGGTCATGAGCAGCAAGTTAGCTCACTACTTGCTGGAAGCGAATGGGGTATTGATACGCCAGATGATACCCGAATACACCCGATCACGTGGGCTTCACTTAATGGGCACGGTAAAATTGTTCAGTTGCTACTAGAGCAAGGAGCCGATGTCAACGCCCAGGATGGACAATACGGAAATGCTCTCCAGGCTGCTTGTTTTAATGGACACGACATGATTGCACAGATGCTGCTAGAGCGAGGAGCCGATGTCAACGCCCAGGGTGGACAATACGGAAATGCTCTCCAGGCTGCTTGTTCTAAAGGACACGACAAGATTGCACAGATGCTACTAGAGCGAGGAGCCGATGTCAACGCCCAGGGTGGAGACTACGGAAATGCTCTCCAGGCTGCTTGTTCTAAAGGACACGACATGATTGCACAGATGCTACTAGAGCGAGGAGCCAATGTCAACGCCCAGGGTGGATACTACGGAAATGCACTCCAGGCTACTTGTTCTAATAGAAACGACAAGATTGCACAGATGCTGCTAGAGCGAGGAGCCAATGTCAACGCCCAGGGTGGATACTACGGAAATGCACTCCAGGCTACTTGTTCTAATGGAAACGACAAGATTGCACAGATGCTACTAGAGCGAGGAGCCGATATCAACTCCCAGGGTGGATACTACGGAAATGCACTCCAGGCTACTTGTTCTAAAGGACACGACAAGATTGCACAGATGCTGCTAGAGCGAGGAGCCAATGTCAACGCCCAGGGTGGATACCACGGAAATGCTCTCCAGGCTACTTGTTCTAAAGGACACGACAAGATTGCACAGATGCTGCTAGAGCGAGGAGCCGATGTCAACGCCCAGGGTGGAGACTACGGAAATGCACTCCAGGCTACTTGTTCTAAAGGACACGACAAGATTGCACAGATGCTGCTAGAGCGAGGAGCCGATGTCAACGCCAAGGATAGACGATACGGAAATGCTCTCCAGGCTGCTTGTTCTAGCGGACACGACAAGATTGCACAGATGCTGCTAGAGCGAGGAGCCGATGTCAACGCCAAGGATAGACGATACGGAAATGCTCTCCAGGCTGCTTGTTCTAAAGGACACGACAAGATTGCACAGATGCTGCTAGAGCGAGGAGCCGATGTCAACGCCCAGGGTGGAGACTACGGAAATGCTCTCCAAGGTACTTGTTCTAGCGGACACGACAAGATTGCACAGATGCTACTAGAGCGAGGAGCCGATATCAACTCCCAGGGTGGATACTACGGAAATGCTCTCCAGGCTGCTTGTTTTAATGGACACGACAAGATTACACAGATGCTACTAGAGCGAGGAGCCGATGTCAACGCCCAGGGTGGAGACTACGGAAATGCTCTCCAGGCTGCTTGTTTTAATGGACACGACAAGATTACACAGATGCTACTAGAGCGAGGAGCCGATGTCAACGCCAAGGATAGACGATACGGAAATGCTCTCCAGGCTGCTTGTTCTAAAGGACACGACAGGATTGCACAGATGCTGCTAGAGCGAGGAGCCGATATCAACGCCCAGGGTGGACTATACGGAAATGCTCTCCAAGGTGCTTGTTCTAAAGGACACGACAAGATTGCACAGATGCTGCTAGAGCGAGGAGCCGATGTCAACGCCCAGGGTGGAGACTACGGAAATGCTCTCCAAGGTACTTGTTCTAAAGGACACGACAAGATTGCACAGATGCTGCTAGAGCGAGGAGCCGATGTCAACGCCAAGGATAGACGATACGGAAATGCTCTCCAGGCTGCTTGTTCTAAAGGACACGACAGGATTGCACAGATGCTGCTAGAGCGAGGAGCCGATATCAACGCCCAGGGTGGACTCTACGGAAATGCTCTCCAGGCTGCTTGTTTTAATGGACACGACATGATTGCACAGATGCTGCTAGAGCGAGGAGCCGATATCAACGCCCAGGGTGGAGACTACGGAAATGCTCTCCAGGCTGCTTGTTTTAATGGACACGACATGATTGCACAGATACTACTAGAGCGAGGAGCCGATGTCAACGCCCAGGGTGGACAATACGGAAATGCCCTCCAAGGTGCTTGTTCTAAAGGACATGACAAGATTACACAGATGCTGCTAGAGCGAGGAGCCAATGTCAACGCCCAGGGTGGACAATACGGAAATGCTCTCCAGGCTGCTTGTTCTAAAGGACACGACAAGATTGCACAGATGCTGCTAGAGCGAGGAGCCGATATCAACACCCAGAGTGGACTCTACAGAAATGCACTCCAGGCTGCTTGTTTTAATGGACACGACAAGACTGCACAGATGCTGCTAGAGCGAGGAGCCGATGTCAACGCCCAGGATGGACAATACGGAAATGCTCTCCAGGCTGCTTATTTTAATGGACACGACATGATTGCACAGATGCTGCTAGAGCGAGGAGCCGATGTCAACGCCCAGGGTAGACAATACGGAAATGCTCTCCAGGCTGCTTGTTCTAAAGGACACGACAAGATTGCACAGATGCTACTAGAGCGAGGAGCCGATATCAACGCCCAGGGTGGACTCTACAGAAATGCTCTCCAGGCTGCTTGTTCTAAAGGACACGACAAGATTGCACAGATGCTGCTAGAGCGAGGAGCCAATGTCAACGCCCAGGGTGGATACTACGGAAATACACTCCAGGCTACTTGTTCTAAAGGACACGACAGGATTGCACAGATGCTGCTAGAGCGAGGAGCCAATGTCAACGCCCAGGGTGGATACTACGGAAATGCACTCCAGGCTACTTGTTCTAATGGACACGACAGGATTGCACAGATGCTGCTAGAGCGAGGAGCCGATATCAACGCCCAGGGGGGACTATACGGAAATGCTCTCCAAGGTGCTTGTTCTAAAGGACACGACAAGATTGCACAGATGCTGCTAGAGCGAGGAGCCAATGTCAACGCCCAGGGTGGATACTACGGAAATACACTCCAGGCTACTTGTTCTAAAGGACACGACAAGATTACACAGATGCTACTAGAGCGAGGAGCCGATGTCAACGCCCAGGGTGGACAATACGGAAATGCCCTCCAAGGTGCTTGTTCTAGCGGACACGACAAGATTGCACAGATGCTACTAGAGCGAGGAGCCGATGTCAACGCCCAGGGTGGATACTACGGAAATGCTCTCCAGGCTGCTTGTTTTAATGGACACGACATGATTGCACAGATGCTGCTAGAGCGAGGAGCCGATATCAACGCCCAGGGTGGACGATTCGGAAATGCCCTTCAAGCTGCTCGTAAGCGAGGATACCACCATATTGTGCGAATTCTCCAGGGACATCCTAATGCTGACCACTCGCCCTCCCATTCTCGTGCTTCGAAAAGACTCAAGGTTTCATCAGTTTCCCATATTTAGCTGAAACCGTTGTGATACTTCGATCTCGTGATTTTTCTCTCTCGATGTCCGTTTTGCCTGGGTGCCAAGAGCGAGAAATCGTCAAAGAGAATGTTTTAATTCATCCTCTCACCGCTAATGAGGCATTGTAGTTTCCTCACCCATCTTGAAGCTATAAAATTTAACAAGGAGCGCGAAGTAAATTTTCCACATGTGCGCAAGATTGTGATGAGAATTAGAGGGAAGCTTGGGTGGCACCTTTAACCTGAGGCGCTTACGTACAACAATTGCGAAAAATTCAAGTCCGTTGCTTATTGGCCGTATGTACACCACCAGCCTTATTCGCCCCACGCAGACTAAAGTATGTACTTTAAGGTTCAAGGATAGCGATAATGCGAAGTAGACTTGTGTGCGATAATAAATCGCAAATCTGCATTATATCTGTCAGATGTCAGATGCCATTAATAACCCCCTCAAGATTGCGTTTCGACAAGTCTGACGTGGGCTTCCTTCATCTGGAGCAGGTCTACAAGGATCAAGACTTGGCATTTTTTATCGACAGGGGCATAAAGGTGGGCATTGCTCGACGTTTTGTATAGGGCATCCGACGTTGGGTCGTGAACGTGAAGAATGTAACTCCTACTGACCAGCCCGTTGTTTTTCACCGTAGATTCTTTCAATTATAAATATATGAGGCTTGCGCACTGTGGAATACGTCAAATAGCTATCGGAGCATCCGGCTGGTCATCCATAGATTCCATCGGTACCCTGCGATTACAAGGCATCAGCCACAAAGCAGACGGGAACAGAAAGTTGTGGATCCCTAGGGAAGGTGCAGATACTTTCAAGAGTTGATTTCGCTGCCGACTGTAAATGACTAGTCAATCGGTAAGATATATGGGGATTTCAATAGCACTTTTTTTGACTTTGTTAAACATCTTTCAGTGCTCTAGAAGACCGATGGTGCCTAGAACTCCTAATGTGTTAGAGCAACAACTCGAAAGCACCGATAAGGAATAAGAATAATTACACCCTCCCCACAAAGGGATACCTTCCTAAAGAAACCCATACTCTCTCCACCTTTCTGCCATATTCCATAGGACTCAAAACCCTAAGTAGTTGATTAGGAGAAGCTTTATTGTTAAATCTTGCGTTTTTGAACTCGGCCTGTAACATGACCCACGTGCTTTACCCTGAAAATGGGCGGCATCGCACGTATCCTGTGATAGATGTTCTACAAATAGGACACTCCTTCGATGTGTCAAGATTTCCTGCGCATGAGTTACAAAACAAGTGCCCACATAAAAGAGTCATCCAGAGATCTGGCTGCATATAGCAGATCTTGCATTCTAAAACAAGCCTGTCCCTTTCTAGGGAAAGTTGCTCTTCCATCTTTTGGCGCTCCTCCCTCCCCCGGCGAATTTGCTCCTCCAATTTTTGGCGCTCCTCTCTCTCTTGACGAAGTTCCTCCAGGAGCGCTCGGTTTTTGTCTCGTAACAGTTGGATTTCATCGTCAACTGCATTTCGGAAATTCTTGAAGACATTGTCCTGGTCTATTATTAGTAAGGGAAAGGGAGAGCCTTGTGAGGGACTGGTACCAAAATAGACGACTCTGTTTCAGTTCTTTTACGCTTACGTGATGGCGGCATAATGGGTGCATCATCGATTGCTTCAACGAGCATGCTCTCAAACTCTTGGTATCTATAGTCACGCCGAGGGTACCTTCGAGGACGCGAGATAGTTGGCTCAAGGCTTGAAGATTCCTCGTCATCGGGTATAATGATCGTGTTGGAATATCTTGCCATCGTGCCTGCAGGGGAAGAAACACTGATATGACTTGGCCGGGTAAGAGAGGAAGAGGAAATCATACCATGACACCGGCTGGGGGAGGCCCTTTATATGTGGGAGAACCCACAATGCCGACGTCACCCTAAAGGATAACTGGGCTAATGGTGTGTGGCTAGGTCACAGCGTTGCACCGGATACGGGCAGGTGCAGATATCCTGGGTCAATTAGATGAGTAGGCTGGTAAAGTGTGGGATAGTTTCGAGAACGGGGCCTCAAAAATGGAGACGATTGGCAGATTGGTCTTATCCCCAACTAGACCCTTGTTGTTCTATGTCGCCATTTTCAGCCACGGAGTTAAGGCGGGCATGGTAGGCCTAGGCTCACTCTCAGAGGTCAAAAGCTGGTCCTTGCTGCAGGACACCTGTCCAGCTTGAATTATGGGGAGCGAACGGCCGTACAAGGAACCGGCGTATTTCGAGGGGAATTGTCGTACGACGCTGTCTGGCAGCCTTTCAGATGGGTCATCATGCGAAAGGATGAGTAAAACTTTGTTCGTCCGAAATGATGCGAATATCATTAGCCAACACCCTCACAGGGCGCGCCTCCCCTACGGTTGAGGCGATGATAGAGCATAGAGAATAGAGACTTTGTAAACAATATACGGGTGGCAACAGGTATATGGATGCTATACTCAAACAGGCAGATAAACCTTAAATGGTAAATGAAAATACGTCTTCTAGGAGATGTTATCGGCTGGGTCGACTGTGCTGGAAAAGACGCACTTTTTCGAAGAGTTGTCGGATTTTGGTAGAGCAATCTCGAAGTTACGCTTGAGCTGGGATCCCTATGGATAACCCGTTGGATTATAAAAAAAGGAACATTGGAGTCCAGAGAAAACCAAGTACTTGCATAGATGGTAATCGGGCTGTGTTTTGTCAGAAATTTCTACATCAGAATGGTAAATTTTACTCTAGCGTCGCCAACCACATCGGAGTGTTCGTCTCCTAGGATAGGATATTGAATACGTAGGTTGACGAGACCCATAGGTAGGGAAATATGGTTAAATGATTGGCCATGAGATTTCGTAGATCACGTGCCTAAGTAAAGCCCTACCTAGTTAATACTAAATGAGAGGAACCATACCGGGTAAATTGAAAGCCATGGTGGTGACAACCTTCATATTATATTTTATATAGAACATCAAGGACATTTCTCTCTTCTCCAGTGTGGTAATGAGAGACACCCGGGATACTGAAACATCGAGGCTCATGATACGTTGCGAGATAGAGGCCGGATACCGGTTGGTGGCATGATTATGGTCGGCTACTATTTTCTGTGTATGGGTCTCCCGTCCCATCGTGGTTTGGTGGAGAATCCATACTTTCCTGCACTGGACTACCATTCTCCGTGGAATAAAACTTCCTAGGAGTTAAAGATTGAACCCCTTCAATCCTGGTGGACGGGAATTGAAGATCGACAATGTTCACTAAGCCTGTCATTTCATTGGCTACGAGCCTATAAAGCTCTGTGTTGATATTTCCTCCTGCACAAACTGAAGTGGAATCAGTTTAAAGCCAATAGATGGGGGATTTCACACTGACCGGCAATCAATCCTTTTCTTTTATCCTCGAAAAAGTGATTAGGTATAGCATCCCTAGCATTCACAGCTGAATAGAGCCTGAAGATCCTCCTATGGTTACTATTCCACTTTTCGTGAATCTCTTGAACTTGCCGGGCGTGTGGTATATGTAGGGCGAAATGAAGGTTCTAGAGGGCTCTTTTTTAGCACGGAGCAATCCCAAACATGCATGGTTTTAACATACATAAGTCCCATTGTCCTTCCGAAGAAGATCATCCATCCAATCATATATCCAGTCGAAGTTTGCTTTTCCTTTGTCAGAATGGGAAAAGAGAGTTCGAATGTCGGCAGATAACTTACACTCATGCTCAACCTCCCACACAATGAATATGTCGCAATTTGTGCAGTTTTTAATATTACTCTCAACTGAGAGCCTAATATAGGATAGTAAAGGAGCGATACCAATGCCAGTGCCAATAAAAAGAACGCGGCTATAACCTGCGAGGTCCTCTGAACCACCATACGGTCCATCCAACCATGTTAAAAACTCGCTTCTCGGATGACTCATTAGTCTTTCCGCGAAGCCTCGTTCCTTACGCACCAGTAGTGTAATACTTGTGGCATTTCCATTTGTATCATTGTCCCACCAGGATATTGGAAAGGAATATGTCTGGAGAGCAGAGCGCAAGCTGACCCCAGGCATCCAAATATAAACACGCATTCCGGGTTGAACTTGAAATGGTCGATTGATCGGGACCACGACTCGAATGGCATCGGCATGTTTCATCCGAACGATAACTGTGCGAGATGCGACTCTCCCATACTTGATATTCCGAATGAGAAGTAATACCCATCGAAGTATAAATATGACAGCGATAGTGACTCCCGAAATCAGAACTCCTAATTGTGGAAAGTTCCTAGACTGTATCAGGTGGCAAATAACAGTTATGCAAATGAGAACGGCAGCAACTTTGTGAACTTTGGAAAGTATCTCTATCGCGAACCTTCGAAGGAGATGTGCGATAACGGCAAGCGCAATGCCACAAAATGCCTTAATAGTGAACGTCAGTATGATTTAGAAAGAATAATTGAATATCCTTACTAGAAGCCCATAGATTTGCAAGTTCCGCTTTAGGTGCCACCCAGTTTGGTATATTGCAACGGAAGTATGGAGAACGCCTTGCAGAGTGGACATTATGCCTAAAGTACTGTGTATAGCTGTGAAAGTTTGAATTGAAAGCCCAAGGGTGTCGGCGAGGAAATTCAATCGATCGCTCATAAGAAGGGGGAACAAGTTTATAACGGCCATATACCCTGACCGAGTTCTGATGTCAGTCAGGCTATGCGTTTGTATAAATGTGCTGACTATATTGCTAGGCCAATAAATCAGCTGTAAGAGTAGCCAGACTCTTGATTTTCTCCTCACGATAGGCGGGTAGATGAGATACTTGAGGATGATCACTGCTGTCCATTGTGTCGGAGCGGCTAGCGAGGTTCGCACGAAGTTGAAGACGCGACTTGTATTAGTCCATAAGAAGAACAAGAGTAATAACCCCCCAATTGTAATAACATATATAGTGGAGGGATCAGTTATCCACATTCTGTAAGCGAAATATTTGAAGGTGTGAGCAACGTCCTGTCTAGTTGCAGAAATTAATATTGGGGTCTTATAGATGTGTGACCTTGTAGATTGATAGACGATCAACTAAAAATAGCCAAGTATGTACGTTACCCGTGGGCGATACGACAAAGGTTAAATTATTTTTAGAGGGGTCAAAGTATATAATGTACAAATCGCCACTGTAGACTTTTGATTTCATCAGGGCTACTCTACACAATGCCGCAACCCACTGATCGCTCCGGTGAAAGCCGCCGCCGAAAAACATGCTTCAGAAAGATTCGTCAGCTCTGTGCTCTGTGTCGAATGAGAGCAATAGTGGTGTTAGTTGATAAATCCGACAAACATTGGATATTCAAAACGCATGATGATATTCCGGATTTAGAACAGGTGAAATTCATACTCTTCGCCCCTAAGTCCATCAGTTGACATTCAGAACAGGCCATACAGCATCCACAGACTCATACGTACGACGATTTTGAGCCTTTACCCCCTTCCAGTCGGCGGGTTCCAGCTACGCAGCCATCTCAACGCCAAATTACCATGCTAGCACCGCCAAGCTTTCGTCGTGATTAAGGTGGGGCTGCCGTGGGCGCATCGCCCGAAAGACTAGGGCCTTGGCGCTATTGTATAAAGGACACTTATTCCTCATCATTTATTCTGTATAATAACATTTGATCATATTCAATCACATTTGCGTCCATAGACTTGTACGTAATGGGTACCAACCAGCCGGAATATCGCAAATCATTCAACCAACAGGATCATATCCTTCAGAGTGGCGTGCATACGCTGAACACCGAGCGCCTTCCAATTTATTTGGAAGCGTCAACAAACGTGAAGGCACCCTACTTAGGTGATATTCAGGAAGAACTCTTACGCCTTCGTCAAGAAATAGCTTGGCACCAGGAGGCAAAGGAAGCCCTGTTAGGTCTTTTTGGGGACACAAGGGAGGTATATCGGCTCCTTCAAAAGGCACTCCTTAAAGCCAGGGTCCAGTATAGTGGGGAAAACTGTTTTCCAGAGCTGGTAAATGACGCGCAGCATGCTGGTTTTCTTCTTCGACAATGTCTGCAACGAGCATCCTACAGACTTTCGGATTCAGAGAGTCATCTTCTTGAGACCCTAGGTATCTCGTTAGATGATACCAATGGGAGAGATGTCACGGTGCTATAGATGGAACGATGGTAGCAATTTCATTTTTTCAACTTCATACTATTTAAAAACTCGTGAATCTGCCGCTCCGTTTCTCCAAGGCACCGACCAATGCTATGGGCCTTTCTGATGTAAACAATAAACGCCCGGCGTAAGCGACGATTCTGAGATAATAAATTTCCCTCCCTATCCTTATACTCCTCGATCTCAGTTTCCAATTTTTGAATAGTTTGTATGGAGTCTTGTAGTTGTTTTTCAAGGCTACGGGCATCCGCTTCTGAGTTGTGGATATTTGTCCGCGCTTCAGGAGAAGGCGAGTGATCATCGTTGAAAACTGCCCGGATATCCCCACATTCCAACCCATTCGATATTTCAATGTACATGTTGGTCGACATGTCGCTAAGCTGCCTGTCGAACAAATGGCTGGTCGCATTGCCAAAAAGCCAAGCATAGGCATCTTTTTCTGATGGATGAAGGCGAACTTCTGACGGTCGCACGTATAACCCAAGTCTCTCATCTTTTTTTCTAATTAGCAATGTCCTCCTCTTCCGCCTTCACTGAGTACACTTACTAATATGCTTTGCGAGCTCTTCGCGACACCTCCTCCTTACCAGAGCACGTTTCCTATTAGCTGGGTTCGACATATCATGTAGTCGAAAGGCTAAGTTTCGTAGACTATAACTATATACCGTGTATCCCGTAGAGGATTTCCTTGTCGATCCTTGCTAAGGGTGACCCGCCACGGAAATAGAAATGTGGCAGGTGATGAGGCTCATCACAAAGTGGGGTCATCGTGGGCGGTTCGCCCAAGCAGGCCGGGGTCACACCTACGATTGTCCAACCGCTTAATGATAAGAAAAAATCGAAAGCGCCGCCAGAAGTACCATAGTTGACATTTTACGAAGATTAAAAGTAGAAAAGAAACACTCGAACATTTTCCACTTTTCAAATCTGCATTTCGCTTTAAACCCCTTGAAAGACTCTACGAAATTATGAATCCATTTTCAAGACAAGATGCTGCTCCTCGTTGCTTTAGCCTACTTTCAAGCGTGTGTTCTAGCAGCTGGGAGTGCGGCCAGTCATGACATACATGCGATGAGCACCCCGATAAGCACCACCATGATTACCACAGGCACCGCGACTCGGTATACAACGGTCACAGTCTTAGAAAGCACGTCTTCAGCAATACATTTGCATAGTCCTCTGAGTCTTACTAGAACGCGAACAATACGGCCCCAGGGTGATTCTCCATCTTCGACTGGCCTTTTGTGGCGTAACTCAATAGGAAGCCCCGCGGGGACCCACCCAATAACCCGCGGGAGCCGTTTCCCCACCTCTACGCCCGTTTCTACCCCTTCCACTTCCTTATCCCCAACCACTTCATTGTCTGGATCGACTTCATTGTCTGGATCGACTTCATTGTCTGGATCGACTTCATTGTCTGGATCGACTTCATTGTCTGGATCGACTTCATTGTCTGGATCGACTTCATTGTCTGGATCGACTTCATTGTCTGGATCGACTTCATCGTCTGGGTCGTCTTCATCGTCTGGATCGTCTTCACCGCCTGGATCGACTTCATCACCCGGATTGTCTTCATCTAGTACCACCGCAAATGGCACTGAATTGATCAAAGTCCCACTGCGAACAGTGTTGACCATAGGGCTAGGGTGTATTTTTGCCATATTTGGGGTTTTCTAGGCGATACGTAAGGCATTTACGGGCACAGAAACTAGTGCATCGAGTAGTATAGTCAGATAAATAATAAAGAATGAATCCAATTAGCTGCGCTATAAGTCGTGGGCGAATCGCCCACAATTCCACTAGTAGTACTAAAAATACAACGTGCATGACCTCCCCCTTCTGGCTAATGCTCAGGAATATTTAAGCTCTCTCCCCCCTCCACAGACATAAGAGGAAAAACATTTAACTATGACTGACAATCGGTGGACGCTGTTCCCAAGAAGTACGGTTATTGCATCTGGAACTATTCCCCAAAACAACGACCATGACGATAGCAGAGAAATAGAAAGGCACACTGATATCAATGACAATCGAATTACTGTGTTTCCGAGAACTGCGGAGATAGGCGACCGGAAATTTGATACCAGAGGTATTGGTCAGCCCCAAAATAGGGAAGCGCGGCGCCTCCAGAAACGTCATTTTCCATCGCGGTGGCTCCAGCTCCCAGTTAACAAGACCGCAAAGACTGATGAGCCACCCGTCAAACGCCAAATGCCATTATTTTGCAAGGACCACACACCCTGGATGAAATATCAAAAGTTCAAAGAAGGACCGAAGCCGGGTAAAACCTGCCTAGCCTACGCCACCGATTCCCCGGGAAGGGTAGTCGCAATCAAGGAGTATAAGACGAGTGGCATCGACAAGACTTGCCACCTGAAGATGATCAGTCACCCAAATATTGTGAATCTCCTTGATGCATTTGAACAGTCTAGGACTCTGTATTTAGCGTACGAGATTATGGATCTCTCATTGGAGCAACTTCAGTCTGGCATTCAACTAAAGGAGTCTGATCTTGCTTTTATTTGCAAAGAGGTGAGCCACGGAAGCATACCATGCATGTTTCTTACCCACTAATATTTATGTAGCTCTTGCATGGGCTTTGGTATATTCACCGAGATCTCGGTGTTTGCCATACAGCCCTTACTTGTGATAATGTGTTCGTATCATCGCAGGGTAGCGTGAAGATTGGTTAGTGATCACACCAAATATGATAACTGAGACTGAATTTAAGCAGCAAATATAGCGGCCTGTCTGCTTGAACGGCATCAAGGGTCCGAACAGTTTGATATCAAGTCTATTGGTATTATAATCTGCAAAGTGCTCGAGCCAGGGCTCTCCACTCATGACCTTGGGACTTCTTATGCCAGTCTCTCCCACGGTAGCGATGGTCTACGTGCGTTCATTTCTGCAACTGCAACTGCCACAATACAAGCGCTTTTACAGGTATGTGTGATCGCAATAGGCTCCGCTCATTATAGTTCCTAATTCACTACTAGCATGTCTTCATATCATATGCAGCTGCCGAAGGATGCTTGGTTGTACCTGTCATGAAGGTCCGAGGGTTGGTTCTACATGATTACGAATAGTCAACCAATAATTGGAGGTCAAGCAATTGGTTCGTGCAAGTTAACTCTATCAAGAAATCCAAAAATCCTGTTCTGGACTTGAGACATGAGATCTCTACTCAAACCCATTCGATCATGCTTTGGTCCAACTAAAATAAGCTTTTCACGCATCGCCGTGTTGTAGAGATCTTTGGGAAGGACCAGATGTGGCTTAGTACGACTTATTGACACGAACATCTGATGCTGGTTTGCCAGCAGGCGCGTCTTGCTATCAAATAGATTTTCATCTTGGGACCTGCTTGATAGCCGCGTGTACTGTCTGGTTTGCCAGAAATAGAGCAGGATATCGTCCGTTTGTGAAAGTAAGCCATTGAGAAAGTCTGAAGGCGTTGTCAAGGGTTCAAGTGATATCAACTGGTCATCACCCGCCCAAAAGTTTGATAGGGTCGATATGGAGTGGGTTTCCCAGGAATCGGCTCTTGATTGAGGTTGGTTAAGTGGATCGTCGCTCTCGGGACTTTCACTCAACCTGGACTCATGCGCTTGATGTTCAGCTTCATCATGAGGCCCATCTTGATGTTCTTGGAGCCCATCTGTATTTGAATGGTTTCTGTTATCCCAAGACTGTGTATCATAGCTCTCGGAAGAATCCCCGTGATAGCTATTTTCAGGAGGATCAGGGCTAGCAAAGAGTTCATCCTCAGTTGCCTGAGAATGTAGATTGATTTCGCCGAAGAAGGAAAGAAATATATCACGCTGTATTGCGAAGGAGGTTGCATGTGACCTGGGAACCACTTCTTGTTGGTAGATATTTCCGAGAAATAAAAGCTGTCGATCATGTAGGTACCTCTTGTAAGACGGCCGGCTACAACGAAATTTCTTAGGTAGCTTTTCCAAGTCCGTGGTGAGTTCTGCTTCCTCTCTATGCATCACAATAGCCGACGTGTTGCTGATTCTATCGGACACGTTCTGAGCGACACTCAGATTAGTCTCGGTATCAACATGATACCGATCCAGAGGCTGTAGCTGGTTAAGAAACTCTTCAGTGACGATTTGATATCGGTTTGCCTCAGCCTGTGTATGTAAGGTCATGATCTCATCATTCTTGAATCCCAGTTTGACAGCTAACTGGGCTAGATTGATAAGTCTTTCTGACGGAACCCCGGATTTCTTAGTCTTCCCTTTCTTGTCATCTTGGTAGGGCCCGAGGCTAGTAAGGGACGGAAAATCACGCATGACGGCAAGGAAAAGTTGTCGATAGCATATATCCATACCATCCTCATCTTCGTCGCGAGGTTCAAATATCTCTTCGGCAACTTGGACATTATACGAACCAGTTTGATCTCGCATATAACATTCCAAAAATGCTTCGAACATAGTTCCCCTATAACCTTCAGGCTGTAAGCTTTTGAGAGTGATCATACAAGCCTCGAAGTAAATAAAGTCTCTGGTGAAGGTATAGAACGATAGTATCCTCCCGCTAACCATCGTAATTCTGTCTAATACTACGATGCGATCTTCATCAGACTCTAATTGTCTGAAGATCTTGTGTCTCCGCATTCTGTCTTGGATTATGGCCCTATCATGTAGAGATAGGTCAGGTATAAGCGTTTCGAGCTCATTTACCGTATCAGGGTCTAGGAGCTCTGGTGGATACCCCTCCATGATGAATGACCACTGATCGTAGATGTATCCTAGATATCGAACAATCTCCTAAATGTTAATATTAGTAATGTCAAAATAGTATAACTAGACAGACTTGCCTCAGGACACTTCACTGATAGCCATCGGCCAAGATACGACAGTTTGATGGCTTGCCATAAACCCAAGAAAGGCAACAACTTATCAAAAGCCCTTTTAATTCTCTTGAAATCTTTCTCCATTCGTGCAAGCTCATGATGTACTCCTTTGCTGAATCTGCCCCTCCATCTGAGCTCTGACTCAACATCTCCAATTCTTTCGTAGTGCCGTACGTTCCGGTAAATGTCACCATCGCAATATGGTTGGCTGTTTGGATGTTCATCTCTGACCCCCTGTTTTATCTCTGACGTCATGTCTTCTTGATGTGAGTAATTTTAGATATCAAAGTGACCTAGAAATTCTTACCATCACTATAAAATTCGGCTACCCACCATCGTGCAGATCTCTTGATTGCAGCCAGAACCCGGTGATTCCCATGCAAAATATTCAGCCGTATATCATCTGGGAGATTTAAAAAGTTCAACGGGCCGTTTAGGAAGGCTTCAGTTTCACCCTGGGCAACCAGCGCCTGCTGGAGAACGTCATTGCCTATTGAGACCTTCACATAATTCTCAGGGTTTAGGCGAGAAAGCCCCTCCGACTGAAAGATTCTGTCCAGCCGGTCCACATGCGAATCTCGAATAATTCGAGGTCCCATATTATCTATTTGGAAATGGTGCAAGTATACCTTCGCTCTCCCCTTGTAGTAGTTCTGACGGTCTTGGAACACTTCTTCCTGGGACATGGTAAATTTCCGAGACAGTAAATAGAAGCGAGGCGAAAATAAAAAGACTTGAATTTTCAAGAGCTTAAATTTTAAATGAGGTGGAATATAAGATCCGTTTAAATTTTTATCCTCGGAATATTTGACCTTGAGGAAAATTGTAGCGCGGAAATTTTAAGAGGCGAGATAATTCAAGTGACTGTAAAATCTATGACCCGAAATTTTCGGGCCCTAAGAATATTCCATTATCCTGAATATTGTACACCGATAATTTTCCACTCTAGCGGTGTTAACCGGAGATAATAAATTGGCGTAATGGTTATAAGGCGTAAAAGCGCAATGTGGATAAGGTGCATAAGTATAAGCGCCTTCTATGAAATAAATATAGCCATTTCCCTGTCATAATGTTTGAATAAATTATCTCTATTAACTCTATTGCCTCAGAATGGGACTTCTTTCCAAAATCGCCCGGAAATTGGGATTTGTGCGCGGGTATCTAGTAGTGGTACGCCATACTCATGGACAAACACGGATTATCCACTCTATCTGGCCACCTCATGAAATTGTAAGAAAATCAGTATTCCGGCGATTTCGAACTAACTATAAACATAGAGTGATAAGCTTGAACCGTCAGACGACGTTGATATCGAGGAGAAAGTTGAAAATGACCTCAGGGTCCACAACTGACGCGGTGCCGACTTTTATCCTCTGGTTTATACTATAGGGTTCGCGAATTATAATCATTGCTAAGCTGATAAAAGAGGATTTCGAGTTAAATCACTAAGTACATCGAGCTCAAATTCGGTCTTGAATAGAAAATATATCATGCAAATGGATAGCAGTAGACAAACCCGGAAAACCTTGTTCTACAGAAAGGGCATGGATTTTGACCAATCCGTTTTGCGCATGGCTCGCAAAGCATATGCCCGCAAAGTAGATAATGCCAACCATCTGGCTGTTCGAGGCAAATCTTGCACTCCAGGATGCGTCGTCGGGAAAGCTCCTCTTGATGCCGGTCATTCTGTAGGAGAAGCTCACGCTGAAGATCCTGGACTTGCTTTTCCAGCTTTTCAACTTCTTGACTGAGGTCTTCAACCTTTTGATCGAGGTCTTCAACTTTTCGATCGCGCGTTTCAATTTCTTGGTCAAATGTCTTACGCAGCTTCTTGAAACAGGTGTCCTGGTCCATTATTAGCTCAAGAAAACGGAGTGTCTTACGAGAGAAACCCATACCAGAGTGCCAGGTAGCTTATTGACCCTTTTGCGTTTGCGAGATGGTTCACCACTTGTAGCATCATTTGGTCGAATCAGAATCTCAAGAGATGTACGTGGAGACGTCCTTTGGACCTGTGAATCGGTTGGCCGCCAGCTCGGGGGTAGTTCGTCATCCTCAATAAGAATCGTGCTTGTAGGGCTGGTCATCGTGGCTTGAAAAGAAGAGACGTTTACCCAGGTGGGAGGAAAGTAGAAGTCTGGCTGAGCTACAGTTGGGGCATAAGGCTCATTATATACCCGAGAGCCAACAGTTCGACTAAGAGACGATTGGACACTACTTTGTGTGATTGATCATGCGTGCATATGTACGTGACCCAATTAGATTGCACAAAACTGAAATAACATACATAAAACATTGGGTGGCGGAAAGCACTTTATCATCCTAACCGCAATAAGGAGCTGTTCCCAATTCGGCAATCATCCCGGTCCCTCCAGTTCAATTGATACCTTAGGTGCTTGCGATACCTGGGAATGTCGGTCTCTTCCCAGTCATGGACTTGAGGTAGTCTCCTTCCTGAGATATTGCCATGAAGTATAACAGGATGTCGACTTCGAACTGACTAAGGTCCCCCATCAAATAATGGAAATCCTCGCGAGACTCCCATGTCCAGACATCACCCTCCCAGCGCACTGCAATAAATGTAGCCGGATATGTCCCGTTCGGAGTCGGGTACAGAGACTTTATTGGTTCAAAGACGGACATTGCATCCACTTCCCAAGCTATCAGACCAACCCCAAGAATTGATAACGAGCGGTCTTTCATCACAGACTCCTGCGCACCATTTGTATCCTTGTGCTGCTTCACACGGGCAGTCCGATTACCCCGACATTCATATCCCATCACTGCTAATAGACCTCCGGACTTAGTCTTTCGCCACCCTAAGATGGACCCCGAAGTCAAAAGTAACCCATAATGATTTTGTGCTCGACGTCTGATCAAACCAATATCGACACACTCTAGCTCACGCTCTGTGTGGTAGGCAAATTTTGGGCCTTCGCCGATAGAATCATGACCTGGACTCTCTTGATCGGTCTCATCCTCGTGAGAGTCATCATCCTTGTCATCGTCCTCGCTATCATCCCCGCTATATACGTCGTACCCGTCCTCATTTTCTTCGTCAGTATATCCGCCATACTCCTCCACCCTATTGTCATCATCATCGTATTCATCACTATAATCATTCTCGTCCTCGTAGTAACCATTCTGGACAGCGGCCTCCTCCTCTTCCTCCTCATAATCACCGGAATATTCGTGGTATTCCACCCCTACATCCTCATCATTGTATCCCTCTTCCTCTTCCTCAAATGTATCCCTTTGAGCGATCGAAATACTTTTATGCTGACTGCCGTCTGCGTTCGAACGACCTGTATATCGGTTAAGAATTGTAGGATAAGGTCGACCGTGAAGAAGGTCATACCAACTCGTTCACGATGAAAATCCAAAAACACCTCCCATTCAATGTTCCAAGACTTGGGCAATTTGCCTATTCTGATGCATTCTTCCAGGTCTTGCTTGGCAATGAAAAACAATTTGGTGTCTTTGCTTCCCGCAAAGGCTGTTGAAGCTTGATTTAGCTGTTCTGCGGCTGCCTTGAAAGCGGCAATATCGATGCATCCATTTGCCTTAGGGACCTTATATCTGATATTCTTTGCTTGAATCTGACCATTTACAGAGTCAAGCTGAATAGAGGCCTGTTGTTTTTCGTTGAAGCGACCCCAAAGGATGGACGCAATGAGTGGCTCTGCGATATCATACTCCTCGGTATACTGGGGCGCTCGTAACGTAGGCTTGGCAGCAAGCCTAGGAGCAGGTCCAGGTTTGAGGGTAGGTCTCAAAGAAGGCTTCATTATCCACAGAATACTAGTATTGAAGAAATTTTACAAATGAAGTCCTTTTCAAGGTTTATACTTTGTCAAGTTAGGCATTTGATAGTCTTATATGTAGCATAAGTTGACTCCAAAATTTCAATACTATATCTTACGTTGGATCAATTTTACCTCTGTACATTTTTACCTCTGTACATTTTTACCTCTGTACATTATTACCTTTGTACATGTTTACCTACGTCACGTGGTGTTATATCCATATTCTCGAGATTCTGTTAGGATCGCATGGTTTTCATTGGATAACTAGTTAACTATGCAACATTAATTACATAATATGCTAAGACTTCATGTGGAAGAAAAGCTACAATCATCTTCACCGGTACGATCAGCTTTCGTAAAAATCGGCCACCGGAAGAATATTGCGCCGGATGTTTATTTATAAGTGCCGGCAACAGAAAAGCGGCAATGCATATATAGTAGTATAATGGGGTCATGCTACTCCAAGGTGGAGAAGGAATCTTTGAACGCCATGACGATGTTTATCCACTGTCCGTAGTGTGTCTGCGAGCCGTATTCTAGGCTTCAAAGTGAGAATACGAATTGATATAGGCATATGGAAAAAAACTGATTACCAACATAAATCTCTACGCGAACTTTATCTTGACCAAAGTAGATTCTGCTAAGGGTGCGGCTTGATCCTGAAACTAAAAGAAAACAAACCTCGCCAAGGAGTTAGTCTGCCCAGTCCATATTGATATTTATATCACTTGTATCAACAGTTTCAGTCATACCTTTTGCTTTGAACTCCGCAGTAAGTGCTTCACTGACTTTTTCAAAATAATTCCTCTCGCCATGAACAACAATACCCAACACAACTCCGGTGTGAACCATCTCGCTAAAACTCTGCTCCGCTAGCTTAGCGATAACTGCATCTCCACAACGGCTTAACTCTTTGAGACGTAGTCTCCAGAACACCCATCGTGGAAGACTAAAACCAGGTTGAGTGATGTTTGCTTTGGCTGCGAGATCTCCGATGTCCATATGGATTTGGTGATTTGATTCAATAACCATAGACAAAGTAGGGTCGTAATTTTGCGCTACTAACTTTATAAGCTTGAATTTGGCGTTCGAGAGCCATGAGAAGCAGGCAGGAAGTAGTTCAGTGATTGACAGCGAATTTTCGCTCTTCGGAATATCCAGTTGCTTCGTCAGAGGCCGCTGTACCTCAAGTGTCTCTCTGAGTAACCAGAGAGCAACGAAGCTCAGCTCAGCTTCACATATCCCGCCAGCGCATAGCTTGGCAGTCAACACTGCGAAATTGGCTCGCTCGGTAGTGGTATACTGGTGTGACTCAATAATCCATGAATGCTGCATCTTTCTTGCCAGGTAAGGAAGATCGATCCAGAATTTCTGTCCGTTTGATAACATTGTAGTCTCTTGGTCCTGGGTATCTCTCTCGTTGCGGTGAAGGATTCCAAATTCCTTGATGCTTGAGATAAGAACAACGAGGCTGTCTTGTTCTGGGCTCGTCGAGGGAGTCATCTTCGAGGTTTGAATGAGTACGTCCCACGCATCAAGCAGGTAGTCCTCTATAAGTGAAACACTCCGCTTTCCTTCGGTATACCACTCGCTAATACTGAGTAGAAGGTTTCGAAGGTCTTCAAGGTTTTCTCTCGGGTACGTAGGGTCAGGAGCAACTAAACCACATTTTTCGGTGCGACTACTGCGGAGAGGATAGGAGTTGTTGGTATAAGACATGTTAATAGTAACAGGTTAACGGGAAACCTAAGAGAGGCCGAAGAAACGTTGAAATGGGATAACAAAATGGAAGTGCTGGCTATGCTAAGAAGGGCAGGAAGAAGAAAAAAAGATAAGTCACTTCGTCTTATGTGAGAACGTGACACTGAGTAGATAACACGTAGTACTGCTATTCACACAATACCACCCCACATTGCAACAGTCTGAGACTTGACCTATCGGAAGGTTATCCGACTTGGCCAATTTGATGTTGTGGTAGGGTACAAGGATCTAAATTTTCCGGCCTTTTCCCTTGTCTAGATCTCCCTACGTCACATAACTCCGTTTGAATACTATATAAAAAAGGGAATAGTTTCTAGCCCCACCAACTGCTTAAGCATTCCCTTCCACGCTTCGACAATGCAGACCAGCATCAGGGTCCTGCTCTTCAGCGCCTTGGCCCTGCCAGTCCTCTCCTTAGTTGCTTTTCCACCTATCGACCTGACAGTCGCTACAGGTTACCCAGACTACGTCCATGATTCTGAACCTAATGAACAGCCAAGCTTGTTAGTCCGAGATGAAGAGAGGGTAAGATTGCTTTATCTGGCTTCTCAGTGACCTGCTAATAACCTTTTAGCGATGCTATGGATTTTGTGGCCCTCATGGCTGTCATTGTACCCGGCCGATACGGGTTTGTTCCTGCAATAATATTGGTCGCCCCTGTTCTTGTGCTTGAAACGAAGTACCAAAATTCAGCAAATGAAATATTAAAGTTGAACTCGTTATATGTGATAACCTCAATCAAGCGATAGGACTAATTCTTCCCGAGCTTGTTCCCATGCCTTCTGGATAAACACCGGTGGCTTCACAAGTTTACGGTTTCCACGTCTCCTTTTACTGTGCTTCATCTTAGCCTTTATTTTGTCATAAGCTACTGACGAATGTCTATATCTAGCTCATACGACTACTGGCCCAGTCTCTCAGGGCAGATCTGGAGTATCGCTAGTACTCGCTATCCTGGTCCTTGAAGTCAAAGCAAATTTCGCTCTTAAGTTTCGACGAATCCTGATCAGTCCAGGCCTGATTCCCTTTCACCCACCATCGGATGTCAATTTCGCAGTAATCCTGGAACAGCGCTCACGCGGCGTCCCTAGGTCCACAATTCCCATTCCATGTCCCCATTACAATATTTAATCAAAATTATACAATTGAACTTTTGAAATTGATCTGGTATGACGATTTGTAGCATGAAATAACTAACGAAGGTTTGTACAGACTTAAGGCCGCCCTATAAGTCGAGCGCTACGTCGTGGTATGGTACGGTTTGGGGGGTGGGGGCGGCCTCGACCGCGTTGCACCTGGGTCGGACGAGGGTTGTTCACAGGTATGGCCGTGATTGATTCCGTACTGCGATGGTCAATGTGGTTGGAGCGGTTAGACTGCGGTGTCGGTCGCTGCTGACTACCCTGGTTGGGCGGTGGTGTCCGTTGTTGATTGCCCGGTTGGTTAGAGCGGTTGGAGCGGTTAGACTGCGGTGTCTGTCGCTGCTGGCTACCCTGGATGGACTGTGGTGTCTGTCGCTGCTGAGTACCCTGGCTGGACTGCGGTGTCTGTCGCTGCTGACTACCCTGGTTGGACTGTGGTGTCTGTCGCTGCTGAGTACCCTGGTTGGACTGTGGTGTCTGTCGCTGCTGAGTACCCTGGTTGGACTGTGGTGTCTGTCGCTGCTGAGTACCCTGGCTGGACTGTGGTGTCTGTCGCTGCTGTCTACCCTGGTTGGACTGTGGTGTCTGTCGCTGCTGACTACCCTGGTTGGACTGTGGTGTCCGTTGTTGATTGCCCGGCTGGTTAGAGCGGTTGGAGCGGTTAGACTGTGGTGTCTGTCGCTGCTGAGTACCCTGGCTGGACTGCGGTGTCTGTCGCTGCTGGCTACCCTGGATGGACTGTGGTGTCTGTCGCTGCTGACTACCCTGGTTGGACTGTGGTGTCTGTCGCTGCTGAGTACCCTGGTTGGACTGTGGTGTCTGTCGCTGCTGTCTACCCTGGTTGGACTGTGGTGTCTGTCGCTGCTGAGTACCCTGGCTGGACTGTGGTGTCTGTCGCTGCTGTCTACCCTGGTTGGACTGTGGTGTCTGTCGCTGCTGACTACCCTGGTTGGACTGTGGTGTCCGTTGTTGATTGCCCGGCTGGTTGGAGCGGTTGGAGCGGTTAGACTGCGGTGTCTGTCGCTGCTGAGTACCCTGGTTGGACTGTGGTGTCTGTCGCTGCTGAGTACCCTGGCTGGACTGTGGTGTCTGTCGCTGCTGTCTACCCTGGTTAGACTGCGGTGTCTGTCGCTGCTGAGTACCCTGGGTGGACTGTGGTGTCCGTTGTTGATTGCCCGGCTGGTTAGAGCGGTTGGAGCGGTTAGACTGCGGTGTCTGTCGCTGCTGGCTACCCTGACTGGACTGTGGTGTCTGCCATTGCTGACTACTCTGGCTAGACTGTGGTGTCTGTCGCTGCTGGTTACCCCGTGGTGGTATCCATTGTTGATTTCCCCGGTTGAGTATACCCCGGTTATTTGGCGTTTCCGGTATTCCCCGGGCCTGATCTCTACCCCCCTGAGGTATATAACCAGAGCTAGGCGATCTGGTTGCTCTTGGAGTAAATATACCGTATCTCTGCTGTGTTTGACCATGCCACCGAACTCGGCTAGGGCTACCGTTAGGCGTAAAGACGGATCCGCCCTCAGAAACACTACCTTCCTCCTCGATGGGACCTTCCTCCTCGACGGGACCTTCCTCCCCGATGGGACCTTCCTCCTCGATGGGGCTTAAATCACGCTGAAACTGAACTTCCTCAAAACTTTCCATATCATCTCCTTGTTGTTCCCTTTCGTCCTGAACTTCCTGTCCTCCCTCAACATCATAGTATCCCTCTTGAGTTTCTTCATTGGCTTCTTGGAAGCTACCACCATTGCTCATGCCTATACCCTCATCAATTTCTTCAGAGTTCGGGATAACTGGTTCATATTCGACTCTAGTTATCCGCCTGTTTTTCTCAGCACGTGGCTGAGACCAGTATGCACCTCGGTATGCATTCACATTCCTCCAGTGGTTGTTTTTCATATGAGTATTCGCCGGGGGATACTCCGGCCTCACCCCTGTGAGTGCCTCATAGTAATTAGCCTCTTGCTCCTTCGCCACATTGTAGATTAACATGTCTGTCTTCAGCTCATCGCCAGCATGAACGAATCGAAGATTAAGCCGCGATTCCCAACTTGCTTCTCCACCATACCAATGAATATAGACATATGTCTCAGGATACCATGCTCTGTCCATCGGTTTTAACAATGATATTGGGTCCTGGTCGACTGACTTCTTATCCACTCGCCAGGCGACTATTCCCCAACCTTCAATATCTCGTTCGGTCCGGATATAGTCTCTTCGGCGGCCAAGACTTTGTTCCGAGATATTAGGTGCTCGAGAGGGAATGAGACGCCGCGCCGCTGGAATTAACCGTGCAGTTGCGAACCCGCCACACGCATATCCGACTATCACTGATTTCCCGGGGCCATTTCCGCGCCAAGCAAGGACGCTTCCTTCCATCGGTAACCCAGATGTTTCCGCAGTATGATCCAGCAGCTCCGGCGTTGACCACATAGGTTGAAGGAAGAAATCTGCATCCCCGTTCTCATCGGATAAATCCCCTTCGTAAACTGGGATATTATTGTCTTGCTCTTCGGTATCGCTTCCAACGCGCTCAATACCAGGAGGCATATCGTCACTGATGTAGGAGTTATTGCGGTGGTGGCGGTTATCAGCGTTGTTACGCCGATTATTTTGGCCTTCCGGTTCGGCATCGCTCTCAACTTGCTCAATAGTAGGATAGTTATCGCCACTGCGGCTGCGGTTATTGCGACGGCGGCGGCGGTTAGTAACATTGTTACGGTTATTGTTTTCGCCTCTCGCCGGGGTCTGGATATCTTGGCCCTGTATATTCCCAAGTCCGGGAAGGGCCTCGCCACTGCTGCGATTGCGATTTGACATAATTTACGATGGAAGTGAGTGAATAGTTGTTATCTGTTTCCCTGGAGCTTATAACTCTCAACTTCGAAATGTACATTGGGGGAAACTCCCCTTTTCGAATATACCAAAGTAGCCATGTGCAAATGTGCAAAGGGTACAGGAGGTAAAAGGGACAAAGTGTCATTTGTACCAAATGGACATCCATTGATTTGTGTCAAACAGGTTCTCTATGGACTTGGCCCCTGCATATTTGGCGCCCCCTGTGGGACTTCGCCAGAAAGTACCCACTGACGATGGCTTCTCCCCACGCAATCCTCAGAATGGGCCGTATGGTGTGTTTATCACGCACCGCAACGAGGGAGTTCACCCAGCCACCGATACTAGCCCTTACGAGCACCTATGGAACCAGTCGACTAGATTTGTGATGTCCCTTCTTTGGGAACCTACTGATCAGCGTGAAAGGGCAAAGGAACAGTTGATATCGATGAATATCGCAATTGACCGGCAGAATGAGAGGGAGTTGAATCGTCCTCCTGGCACTGGCTGTATTGAAGTGCATAATCTTCATCGCGCAGGTATTCAGCTAGACCTAGCGGTTAGAGATGTGAAGTTCTACCACTCAACTGCGCGCTACGAGGATGTACGTGACTTTGTCTGGGAGATAATCCAGAACAGAAACTATCCAGAAAGCTGGGCTATCACAAGGCGCCAGTTTCAATGCCATGTCGCCAAATTTCAAATCAAATCCTCGGTATCTAATGCTTTGGATAGTGAGGATGGTGCTTATCAACAACCTAATATACAAGCCACATCGAAATCAAGACTCAACACCAAAATGAACTCAAAGGACTCATTGGCCGATGTTATTAACACACATCGAAAGATGGCTGCATCGCAAACATCTCGGAAGCCACAATGCATTCCATTCTTAAATTGACAACGAGAAATAGGTACATCATCAGATAAATTTCGTTCCATTTATGTCGCATTTCAAGAGGCAAATATATCCTAGAACCATGTAACTAAAACATTCCCAATAAAAGATTCTTAGAAGAAAACATTATGCTCCCTCGGTAATAATATCCGCAGATGTGAGGCGCTCTTTTGGGGGGAGATCTGTGGATCCGGTATAATTGATTTGCTTCTCAAGGTGCTCGTAGGCTTCGAAAAGTTTCAAGTAGTCCATGTGCAGTTGGTCATAGTGTGCAGATAGGGCATTCTTTTCAATGATGACATGTTGCATTCTCCACCCTGAAGTATGCAGCGAGCTCTCGAGAGATGAATTATACTTTCGAAGGTTTGTGATTGAGTGAGCATCTGCTTGCTCGCGCTGGAAGAACCAGCGTACGACGCTCAAAGGAACCACAACATTTTCGGAGTTCACCTTAGCTTGTTAGCAAGGAATTCAATTAGCCACAAAATTGCATATGCATACAGCTTGGTTTTCCATTATAATAGATTGATTTGATTTAGGAAATGCGAATTCTAGAGAATACCCGGTGGGAAGGGGGTTAAATAGTTATAACTACTTAGAACCGCAGGGAAACAAAGCTCAAATTATAAGCGCGCACATCAATCTCTGTGTGATACGAAATCTTATTCCGTGTAGATCATTTCCTAATCCTTTATCATCCCCCGAGTTACTACCCCTGTTCTAAGAAGATATGGGAAAGGTCGACCAAGCTATACCATAATTAGAAACAACAATCTAACATAGGGTGACATCGTCTTACTGGTGGGTCTTTTGTATCTGTCGCCACTTATTCTCTAGGGCCGATGCAGTTCTGTGTCGGTCTTCCGGGACACTTTCGTTGAATCTGAGTGCAATTTCTGACCATGAAAGTCCACCTAGCTGCTTGAGGACAATCAGAAGTTGTTCTTCCTCCTTATAGTATTGTTTGTTATGACCTGGGGCGTTCGGTTCGGCGGTCATCGGGGCGGCTTTGTGACAATTTAGACGTGTTCGGCTTGGAGGAAATGGACAATCTAAGGTGAGAGCGTCTCGCTGGCGCGATGTTCCTTTTAAAACAAAAATTTCTAAATATATAATCATACGTGGGCGCTGCGCCGGGAATAAGCACCAATTGAATACCGGTTATCAGGTAGGTTGCGCAGGAGCAACAAGATAAATTCAGCCGACTGCGCCATTTCTCATCCTACACAATCACCAGCATGGAATCCGCGGATTTTGATGAATTCCTTAGATGGGGCGAAGATCGAGATGAGTTCCCCGATCTCCAGTATGCCCTAGGCAGCGACGAAACATTTTCATGGGACCAAATTTTGGATGAATACCTAGAGCCATACGAGTATCTGGACCCGTTTCCACTTGGCCCACTAGCTCCAGTCGAAGAGAAAGCGGAAGCGATTGACGCACTCCCCGAGTTATCACCCAGTCCGACACCGCAATACGACGTTCAGATATTAAGCGAATCTATCACTGAGCTTAAAGACCGTGTTAATAGGTTGGAAGACCGGTATAGTACCCCTTCTTACATAAAATTGAAATTATTCAGACACTGACTATACTAGGATTACGGAGAAGCAAAAGTTAGTCTGCTAAATAGATATGTTCTCCAACCCATACTAATTGCAGGCAGAAGGATCGCCGACTTAGAGGCTTACCTCGAGAACCTTCAGCCATTTCTCTTACAACTCGGCACGTCTATCGAGGGACTTCTGACTGAGGCCCCAAAGTAAGCTGTTCAAGTATTGGGTAGAGGGTGTAGAAAGAGTTTTATGGCGATGATGTTTTTGATTGGTGGAGATAGTTCTTTGTTGTAATAGTTTCATTTAGCTATGCGGTCAAATCTAAGTGGTCTTCGGCGTATATTGGCCGCGTTGAGCACACTAGCGGGGAAATAATTTCAGATCCTACAATTAGATCGGCCTTACGGGCAATATACACACTAATGCACCATAGGCACCTAGGTATCGGTCACGCCGCGCTGTGGCGCGGAGAGAGTTTTGGGATTTCCATGAATAGTCTAGCCTACAATTTAGCGTCTTGGCTGACGATCCGGCCCACGAGCTAAATTGGACGAGACAGGGTTCGTATGGCGTAGGCGCAATAGGTTCTGCGATGATTTGCGCAGCAGTCCGCCTTACCGATTGTCTTACGTAGGGAACCTCCTACGCAATTGAAAACTCCTCGCCTCTTCCACCTTAGTGACGTGATATCGCAGAAATACCTTTTCCTTCTATTCGTAGGACGCGCCGTTCCCCCTCTTTCGCGCAGCAGTCCGCCCTATCGTGTCCTACGTGGGGAACATCTTAGAAATAATTCTTTCTTTCCCCTCGTTTCCTTCACGTTGCTCCCTCGCCAGGGTTCTTTTTATGAGGCTTATCTTCTTCGGCCTTATCGGCGTTACTGATTACGTGCTAGCCGTAAACACTGGAACGTATTGGTGCGGTGATAACGTTTATCGGAACAATCAAAGTGGGGCCGAAAGTATAAATGAGTCATGCGGTGATGTTACCCCTCGGTCACATCTCCTGGGCGCTCTCTTTGTGCCGTCGTTCAGGGTGTGTGGGCCCCTCGTGGGCGTTACTCCTCGTGTGCCGTTTTCCGTATGGGCATCACCCTATGTGGGCCCCTCGTGGGCGCTACTCCTCGTGGGCGTCACCCCCTGTGCCGGCCCTTCGTAGGTCTTTCTGCTCATGGGAGTCATATTGATAGGCCCTTTCTTGATTATTTTTTCTAGTGACAACCTGATACATTGCATTTACCGGCTAAGATCTGTAGAACATAATCCGGGCGGCTAATGGGTGATGATTCACTGAAATAAAACGTTTTACACTGCCAATATGCATTGGAGTTTACTAGACATTCAACTATTCAATGGATGTGAGTTCTAAGATGTTAGCTGCTGAAATTCCGTGTCTAACAAACAAAGAAACCAGCAAATCCAGATCCTACAATCCCCTTGGAAACGGACTTCATAAAGGCTCTACGTAACGAACGTCGAGAATATATCGAAATTGCGAACGATTTCCTGCTATCGGCCAAAAAAATGATTACGCTGGTCAAACAGCTTGAGAACAACATTTCAAACATGGAAACCTTGAACCGGCAGCAATCCGCTATCCTAGATAATCTTCAAAAGGGCGAAAAGACTTGATCCACATACTCTTGTACGCTATTTTTAGCCCACTCAATTTGCACATTGAAACAATCTTACATTTGACCATATACCCTTTGCTACAATCGAAGACCTCCAATATTCTATAAAATCAAGTAACTCCACGCAAAGTAAGAGATATCAAACAATGGCTTCCTGTAAGCATGCCGGATGGCTTCGCGTTATAGAGAACCGTGATTTGAAAGAGATCATTATAGAAAGAACCGATCGACTAAGCACTCTAGTTCGCGAAATGCCTGAGCCAGACGTTCAACGCCCTCAGATCTGTCTCTTTTTGGGTACGTCAACCAAAGATGAGGCGATGCGGAACATCTTCAATCGAAACAACATACGGCGAGGAGATCGAGCATATGTCAACCTACGGATTGATACGACGTCTTTAACGAGCGATAATCCTGTGCTTTTTGCCGACAGCAACCCATTGCAAATTCCTCTTTCTGAAAAGAGTCATGTATGGTGCCATGAAACTACATCTTACGCTACAACATGGCACACAACTGCATCACGTGCCGTCATCGATGTTCTATTTTCTAGACTCGTCTTCACTTTCAGCGATGTCATATGCATATTTGCGGATGACTTTCAGACTTTAGAGGCAATTATGCTGCGCTTAATAGCGTGGGTGGAGGTTCAAAGTGCTTCCTCGTTACCTTCAGATACGCTTCCTAGATTGCTCATCATTTTTTCGGAGGATGGCAAGTTTAGTGAGGCTCACATAGAGGACTACTTGACCTCATCCAACCTTGGGCGCCAACTTTCATCAAGCTTTTCCACACTCAAAATATTCCAATTAGCAGGCAAATACCTTTCTCCATCCACTCGTTATCAACGGCTACATGCCGAGATTCGATATCATATGGAAGAATCAAGAGAGATAAAATCCAGCCTCAGATGTCTTTTCTCCGCCTCTCACCTTCTGCATTTCTTCAACTCTGCAGTAAGGCATACCGCACATAACCCAGGAGCGGTATTCGACTTTATTAAGGCCTCGAGAGACGCATATCCTATCAGGGAAGATTACCATATATATCTGCACAAGTTTCTCAAGCTCTGCGTTCAGTTCAAAATTCCATACAACATGGTCGCAGCCTTTGTTGCCTCAAGCATCATGATGAATGCGTACCCGAAAAGGATGCATCGTGAGTGTTAGATTCCACACATATCGTCTCCTAACTTTCTATAGTCTTCGACCCATGTTTGATATATCGTAGCCTATACAGGTCCCATTGCAACAAGGCATTTCAATTTCTATATGGACCACAGTGTTCTACCTATTTAGATCGAGAGGTTCAAGCTCAATGTGACCATATTTTCGAGGCTTTAGAGGATGGATATACGGATGCTGCACAGCTTCACCGAGCGAACGCCCAAAGGTATAGCAGGTTTCTACAGAAGATTGTGACAAACACAGTCTGTATCTGGTGTCTTTTCCGCCCCCCCGAGAGACATTTGAGCTGTGGTCACTCCATATGTGATACATGCGCTGCTATATTTGGCATTCATCTTCCAAAATCGGATAGTCAAGTCCGGATAGATTGTCTTTTTGTTGATGGCGGGGAATTGCTAGTTAATATCAAACCACCAACAGCCGGGGTGAGGATCATAGGAATTGATGGCGGTGGTGCGCGAGGTGTAACGCCCCTCGAGTTCCTAGGTGAACTACAGAAATTACTTGGAGATTGTCCAATCCACGACATGGTTGATCTTGCAGTTGGTACAAGCTCCGGTGAGTCTTCAATGATATTGGGTGCACAACATATGACTAACAGACCAGGGGGGCTGACTGTACTGGCCAAATTCCACCAAAAGTGGCCTGTCTCCCATTGTGCTAGTGTATTCGAGACCCTTGCCCGCCGATGTTTTTCAACTTCTGGGTCCGCATTAGGCAGACTGAAAGCAGTGGTTAAGTATATAACTAGCGACGCAATGTACGATGAGCGATTCCTGGAAGGTGCCCTTCAAGAGAATTTACCAGGACATTTGTTTGGCTACGTCCCTGGCATAGCATCAGGGACAAAGGTGGCACTTACCGCAACGTCTGGGGGGAACGAACGTTCAATATTCGCAAACTACAACGGTACAGCACAACCGACGGGTATGTACAATTTTGAAAATCCTTTCCTATCTTCCTAATGGCTTTCAGGGTATACAGTGGTTCGACCCGAAAACAATGACGACGAAGCTTCGTTATGGCAAGCGTAAGCTGACATCCAATCTTACTTCTTATACGATTGTGCTAAACTTAGATAGAGCGCGTGCAACAACAGCAGCCCCTATGTACGTCCATACGTCCATATCTATATATTGCTTCTCCCGGTTAATCATCGACCTAGATTCTTTAAGCCTATCACGGTTGACGGTCAAGAGTATTGGGATGGTGGGCTTGGGTTCCCCAACCCGATTGAACTAGCTATGTGGGAGTCTGCCCGTATTTGGGACAAAAACATATCACGCGATGTCGTCATCTCTCTAGGGACCGGAGAAGCCTCTAAGGACCTGCCTAAGAGAAAAACCCACTCCATACAGAGGCTATGGACTTCCTTTATGGACTTCCTCGATGGACATACTAGATATGGTGATATTAGAAATGGGTTGGATGAGCAACGCAGGCAAGACTTCTTTCGTTTGAATATCGAGCTACCATTCCCAATTCGGCTGGACGATGTTCAAAGTATACCGCTACAGAAAGAGCAAATACACCTACGCCCGCAAGGTCAGCTTATTGAAGTTGCAACAGCCCTATTAGTCTCCAACTTCTACTTCCAACTCGATACTTCGCCTACCTATGATGGAGGCTTTTACTTATGTGAAGGTTCAATTCGGTGTCGCGGCGACTACAAAGACATAGTCAACGCTCTCACAACTCTATATCAGCCTGAGATGGAGTTTGTTACTGCGAACGAGACCCTCACCTCGCTGGATCTACAAGGTTGTCAAACGTGCACCCTTTATAACAAACATGTTTCCTTTTATGTCCGACACCCTACAGAAATTGTCACAATATCGCTACGCTTGGCGCAGGGCATCGAAAGGAAAATAAGCGGCTTTCCCAAAAGTATGCAATGGTTTGTAATGCAGCAGGGCATCGACTCTCCCTTCACAGGCTATAGGAGCGACCAGAAGATCCGGAACTGCCCGACATGTTCCAGATCACACAAAAGAAAGTATCGGGATAGTATAGCCTCCATTCATACAAAGCGTGTACGGAGATAAATATGTCAGGAGGCGTTACTCAATTGAATTCGCATTTATATGTTTTAGTGTCGTCATGTAGAAACCACAAGATTTAGTATGGTAACTTGGACTATGGAGCAAAGTAGTGATTAAGATAATGTTCTGCCACATACCGTCGTGAACTTTTTATGGTGCTTGGGAGCTTTGGGGCCTGGATGTCGGTTGCTGCAAATATGGGCTCTACGTATATATATGAACTACGCATGAATAAAGCCTTGGCTCGCCACAACCATGAACGTGAATACTCTATAATTTTGTCAGGGCAATTGATGCAAGCATTGAACGGCTTTCCTTTTCGTGGAGATCTTGAAGCTAGATTAGTCACAGCAATAGCGACTTGTGCTAAAGACGGTATTCCGCTTTTTATAGGGTTGTTTGTTTCACTAGGGCGTACACATTTCTAGTCATAGATACAGCTCTCCTGCTGTAGATGCCATTTGATTCGCTATTCTCACATTATGACTGCCACCCACTATCTATGATGAGCATGAGCACTGCTGCAAGATTTTCAATAGTAGAGTTACAAATCTGAGAATTCGTTCTGACAAGCTCAAAGATAAGAAATAAAATAGTATCAAACAGCGAAACCGCAAGAGAGCTTCCTTCCTAAGGGTGATACAAATTATGCAAGCGAAATCTCATTATACTGACACTGACAGAACCACACCAAGACTTTTGCTGCAAAGACTTCCCTGCATTACTTTGGCGGTGGAGGAGGGACGCCCGGCTTTTTGACCCCCGTTGTATCATACGCGCCACGACTATAGGGTTAACTTAGCTTGGTTGAAAGCTCTAGTGAAAGGAACTTACCACATATTGGACATATTCCCGTTAGGAAGAACTGGCCTCAGTTTAAGTGACTATCGAATGGATAGGGTAGAGCGATTCCACGTGTGATATAGGAAAGCCTAGCTCTTCTTTGCGATTAGGAATTTCAAGCGAGGCACAAGGATTGATGATTCTATATATGAAGTTAAGTTAGCTTAGATCTAAGAATTGAGCACGGGGATTTGTATACTAAGTGCGACTGTGGAGTAATGGGACGTAGTCAAGTGCATAAAATGAGAACCGGAGCTAGTTCTATTGTAAAGGCGAGTAAAAGTTCTTTTATATAGTGATCAGGCTTAGTAGACTATATAATTAGTCTGTGCTATATGATGCGATTACTAATAATGCGTACTTCCTTCCGAATCGGAAAGATCTTCCGTTCTACATTTTCCCATAATTCTCATCTGGGTCTGCGCGTGCTTGACATATGACGCTGATTGAGGATAAAAGGATTGGCTGGGCAATCATGACAATCCTAGACGATCGGGCAAGAGATTGGAATAGCGTATTAGCACGCTAGGATTTATGCTGAAGAAAGGAATTGCTACGTCGTTTGAGACAATGCGATATTGATTCTTGAACCATCGAGTTAGCTTTGTACGTGTATTGGTCCAGGAGCTATTGTGGCGTGAAGGCAGAATGTGGTGATTAGAGTTGGCGGACGCCAGGAAAAAATTCTTAACGAAGTAGTTAAAGACAGGGGTGCTATGTATAATCGTCATTCCTGCTGTTATAACTAAGTTAGTAAGACTGGGCTGCAATACTCCGGTCCCATTAGACGCTTGGGCTCTCCGATTATGGTGGTGTGTATAGATATACACGCGAACTTTATCAGGCTAAGGCTACGGGTGTACTTTTGCATGGCCAATCAGCACGCGTTAACAACTCCTTGTGTCTATACCCTGAGTACTTGCAATTTATAAGGTATTCTGACTGGGATAAAAAAACAAAGCAAAGCAATGCAAAACATGCAAACTAACTAGATACATACATATCTCCTCTATTAACTTGTTGAAGGTTTTCACTGATTGTAGCGATTGGGAGAGTTTCAGATACTCTGGTCATAAAATCGCTGAAAATAATCTCAACTTGGTATCCACAAATCTTTTCCTCTTGGTCAAACATCGACATAATGCGTTGTAGTACCCCTATTTCTTTCCAGCCTAGAAGATTCAGTTCGACGCAAACATATTGCTGAAGCATAAGAGTAACACGCGTGAAGAGCCCCTCCTCTGTGGCTTGATAGGATTCATTCTTTTGATAGTCGGTGGTGATGCGATCGCGAAGGTCTCTTCCAGTTAGGCCCTCAAGAGTGATCTTCGCTGAGATACCCATCATCGTATCATAAATCATAACAGGTGAAGGATTCATCAAACGGTATTTTTCTGTGCATTTAAAGATAATCCATTGGTCTTTTGATAGTCGGTCCATTATCTCGCTCGTTCTGTTTGAGGCTAAAATAATATTAGTATGCGGAAATTCAACAGCCATAGCGCGTTGTGTGCTGCACCTTTATATAGTGATAGGCGAGGAGACGGGCCTTTGTGGGGCTCTCTTTCAGATTAAGGGCATGATTCCACCGGGAGATGCGTTGATTTTATAGTATTGGTATAGCATTATAGGTTCTTAATCCGATTAATTACGTATACGGAGTTCTGACCCGGTCGCCTTGTTCTATACAGAGATGCGTTAAGACGCGCAGCGCCACAACTAAATCTATTCACCTTGATCATCCGAAATTTTAAGCTGCTTTAAAATTTGGTAAACGTAAGTCACAATGGTTCGATGAAGAAGACCTAGCATTTCCACTGAGTCTTAAATGCGTTACAACATGCAGCGCCCTAAACACACATGCCAAAGCCGGTAGTCCACCAACTATGTTATTAATAGTCCTATATATACCAACATCCCTTAGGCTCTTCCTGAATGTGTTCAACTCCTATGGCGGAATCGGAGGCTTACGATCTCTATAGGAGAATGCATCATTAACTAGTCAACTTAATCATTTATCCACAAGTAGAGTTCCGGTGTTTATAATCAATGATAGGAAAAGTAAATAAATATATCAAAAGTAGAAATCAAGTACTGCCTGAGCGGATGATTCACTGCGAACTCAACAAAGAACAAAAAATGAAATAACAAATATTAAATGGAGTAGTGAAGTGGCAGCCCATTGGAGTATCCACTTGATACTGGGGGGTAGTCGCTGAAACTGCCTGGGAGAGAAAGTGTTAGCTCCAAATATAGATCCCCAATTCAGTGTGAATTATTACCCATGGGACCTTAGAATGACCGAACTCCGTTGCCTAGGTTCGAGCGACCTTACACATTTTGATTACTATCTAGCCAGCCACTATGATCGTGTAAATGACCAAGATAGTCTGCTTCCGTCCTGTTGAATTGACTGGCAAATGTCGACTCTCGTCGCGAGATCGGCGGCGATGGTAGTTTAAGGGATCGGGAGACCAATCTGGAGGAGCTTCTTCGCGAAGTCGGCGGCATTAGGCGTGATCCTCCGCGGCGTACCTGGCAAGTTGGACAAATCTTGACAAAGCGAGCGATCAGTTCCTTAGGAACCCTAATAATACAGTTAGTTGCTATAAACCAAGCACATTATATATAATATATCTTGGATTTGCCCACCATGAATAGATCTGCCGGACCTGAGTAGATGTCTTATCTCGGCCACCATGCTGACATTTCTGATGGGCCCTAGTGAGGATTTTGAACAATTTTTGGCGAATTGCAACCGGCTTTCCCTCATGGCAGATCATCTTCCTATGCTTTATATCCCAAATTACCCTATTAGCATTGATTGATTTCATCCGTTAGAATAAGTAAGACTTACATCAGATCCCACAGCTTCGAGCTTGAACATCTTTTTGACCCAAAACCTGATTTATTTAGCAATGCGGGTAATAGATTAACTAAAGAGATCCATACCGAAACTGAGCTGACTCCACCGCGGTCTCTTTAGGGTCAATCAACACAGTTCTAATGTTCCGGGCTCTCTCAGCATGGATCAACGCTTTATCTTGTTTCTGTTTAGATAGATCCTCAATATAGCTAGAATGATAAGATATTAATATGAAGTCCAGTAGGGTTTATCATAGATGACTCACTTCTGCATCAGTTGATCAAACTCCTTTACATCAGGGAAGCCGCTAAGCGCGGGCACTATATCCTCTGATAGTAATATAGCCTCGTTGTAAGACTCCTGGCTTTCAATCTCTGTTTCACCTAGCGGGTCGCGGGGCAAATACCTTGGCCCTTGAAGGTAGCGCGATTGGGAGATAAACTGCGGCGGATGGTGTAGCCTAGGGTCATCAAGTGAATGTTCCGACATGTACAGCAACCCCGGAGATAGACTCGACTGCGGGGCAGAGGGCTGCCCAAAATGAGACCCGTATATGTTGAAGGAATGCTGAGGGAAACCAGGTCTATGTGTGTTGAAATCATGGCCCTCTTGCTTAAAGTCATGACTCTCCGGCTGACCGTATGAGCCAGACACTGCCATTTGGTGATTCATGAGACACGCATCATCCCCTTCACTGCGCCTTGCAAAACTGCTCATGACTGATTTCTGACTTGGATATGTAATATTGATGGTGACGGAAAATGGGCTATCTCTTTTATATGTAATCGGGAAAGAGTAATTAAAAAAGACAGAGGAAAAGAGGAAAGGCCTTACTGGAAATTTCGCCGGAAATTCCGTACTAAGGCTTTTTTTCTACTCGACTAGGGGTAAAGTGGTTAAGGCTAATAGTAGCTAGGAAAATACCGATAATTATTTTTACTAGGGTGAAGATTAAAATGGAAAGCTAAAATTAAAAGCATCGACTGTGGGAAATAAATGAAACCAGCCACTAAGTAAGAAATTGGAGCTCTATATGGCTTGCTCATCTGTGTTGCTAAATTCTAGACCAGGAGATGGTACAGCCGTCGATTATGATACTTACGGTCTTCTTGAGCTCTCCAGGTCGATGGGACTTCTTTGAAGAACAAAGGATGAATCCACTTCGGAAGCAGGCTTCGTAGTGAGATGATGGGAAAGCAATCCATCGTGGTTTTTTGGTGGTAGATATTTCGGAGGATGAATGGATTTTCATATGACGCCAAATTATGCTACTGCACAAGTCCTACTATTATATGCCCTGCTTTTTTTCCGGGATTTTGTATTGATGTGATATCACCAACCTCAATGGTTTCTTATTGTTATTCTTGTGTTATCTATTCCCTTCTAGCCTTCGCCGCGCCACCAATCGAGCTCGATGTTGCAAATTTTATAGCGGTTGGAACTTCAACACTGGTCAGAGGACCACACTACCCACAGCGTGATCTATCAAGTCATATTCGTCCACCAAGAGCAAAATTCCCAGACTGTTAGACTATGGTTTCTCAAATCAAAGCAAAATATACCTTATCCTAGTAATTCTATGACGACCCTGTCCACAATCAACAAAGAAAAAGAGAGAGAGTTGAAAGGGTTACTTAGTATTATAGTTTATATATAGGGTTCATGCAAGAAAGCCCCTCCGGCTGAAAGACTCTGTTCAGTCGTATCCCTCCATCCCTCCCTCCACTCATCCATCCATTGCGCCCTCATACGTCATATTATACTGTCCCACTCTTAGTAATTCTGAGCATCCTTATTAGCCATTATATAAGTAAATCCAGGTATGGCTAGCGTATAGGAAGAAATAAAACTGGTAAAACATTCCAACTACATAAGCAATAGGTCCGTCCACTGTAAAAGATCGGTCCGGACAAAGCACTAATCAAAATCGATACAATACCGGTCTCAAGATTCTCCAGTATCAAGACCTCAATCCCTTGCTAAGATATAATATCAAGTTAAAACCAATATGATGATTGTCAGAACATACTTGTAAGAGAATGAGAATTTCCAATTTAGATAATGAACATCAGAAAATTTGCATCGAGACTAGACGTCTTTAGATCATATATAGCTGAGTTCCGTGTTGAACAGAGAAATCACAATGACTGGATTATGTTGCACCATCCTATGTTGAATAGTATATAAACCTCGTAGCAAGAAAATCAATGGGGCATGGATGAGCGCGCATACGGCGGAGCTCCCTGGAATTTGAAGATTTGGCCCCCAATCTCCTTCCAATTGGATGTTGGGTCATCGAATACCCATTGACTGTTATTGTCTTTGTATATATAACCAGTGCGAGCTTTGTTCCATACTACAGTGGTATTGTAGTATTGGGCTGCCGTTTCGTTGCTCGTTTGTGGTGTGCTGGCGACCGTGCTCGATGTTTGTATAGAGCCTCGCGGCTGTACGCTTGGTAGGGCCGTTGATGGGAGAAGCTGAGTAACAGATGGCTCCACTTGAGACGTCAAACGTGGGTAATCCGTTTTGAGATCATTCCCATCCTCGGCTGCTAAACGAACAAGGCAATACAATGCTAGTTTGATCGTAAGTCCGCTTGTAGCGCTCCAAGGAATTTTCTTGTATTCCACCAGCCCAATACTGGCTTTGAAGCATGATTCATCAATAGACATGTCCGTCAACTTCCTCGAAATAGTGGAAGAAGATGTTACCCGTTGATGTGAAGGTGGTAGGCGAGTGCGTTGAGGTCTGGGTGATGTTCGAACTGGGTCTGGTGCCAAATGGAGCTGCATCACCACGAGCTCCTGATCGCTGATAATATACACATACCGGCATCCGTAAACAGCTCCGTAATATTGGACTTGCTCGATAGGTCTGACTGTGTCGATCAACGTCGAATCTTCATAGAACCCGTTTCTCGTGTTCTGGACGGCATTAAAGGCGTTGATTGATGACCAGTTGAATTTTGTGTCGCCAATAACAAGAGCTTTCGCCTTTCCAAACTGATCTCTAGCCTCATCCTTCCCAGCGCCCCAGTCAGGGATACATCCTACGTGATGCGTAACTCTTCCGCCGGACGTAATGAATGCAGAAGGAAGTACTGCCGATACAGGACCCATAATAGACATGCATATGAGATCAGAGAGGCCACGTTCGTCAAATATATTGTTGAAACCTCCCGCTTCACAGTTCCTGGCAGTATCAAACGGTGATACATGGCGGTTCAACTCATTTCTGAAGCGTAGGTGGAGGGTATCGTAGTTGAAATCGGTCCATTCTCTTACACTGTCAACTGGGTCCCAGTCTGAATTGAAGGTGTAGCTCAGCTGTGGTTTGGCAAACAGGTAGACATTTGGGTTGCGTGTCGTTAGGTAGCTAAGAAGGGTTTCGGTCATGTCGAGAAATCTCTTGAAAAGATCGCCAAAATAAAATTTGATGTCTTGAATTTTACTCTCGAGGTAAAGTAGGCTATATATACATGAATTGATAACCGGCTGAGTATTATTGTTATTTGCTTAATGCGGACTACGTGAGATTCTCTATTATCTTAGCTATCTTGAATCTGCATGTGAATATTCCCGTCGGTGATTCACTATAATTTTTCAAGGCAATTAATGCAAGCATTGAACTGCATCCTATATAGCAACTTGGTAGTACAAGGTACAGTAACTAGAGGCTAAGCAGCTTGCTGCAAATGCTGAATTTCGAGTTGTGCCGATTGTTTGTTTATGCTGTGCTTCCTCGGTACAATTTGCTCCGCGTCTAGAGGCCCTTTCCAATGATTGGTTTTCCTTTGTGGACATCTTGAAGTTAGATTAGGTATCATCTAATGGGTAATGGATCTGGGACTCCCTATCTAAACAATATCATATAAAAAAAAAGGTAGGGGCAAGGTTTTCATTATTCATGATTCTATATCCCCCGTTCCTGTAGATTCCGCTTCTTTCCAAAATTCGTCTCGACTTAGTATTGCCCCGGGTAATTTTGCTGTAAGAAAACGAGCGCAATATTTCCGTAGCTCACTCAGTCCGGCAACATCAAACTTCGTCACTGACGTAATCCCCCATGAATGTGGTACCAAGCAAACTATAAAACAAGTGTCCTTCATTTTTTCAATCGTTTCAAATTGTGGCTCACAATCAAAAGTGATTGATTGGGGGTAGGTCATATCGTCACAAAAGACTGCCCAAACTGACTCATATTGACGTAAAAGTCTGCCTCGACGAATATGCCAGCAGAGGTCGGAGTTTGGGCATACGGCTTCCAGAAAAGGGAAAATAGAATTCAATGTCGGCATCGAAAAGCCTAGCATAGTTAATGGTCAATATCTAAAGTATGGGAACGGATCAATAACAACACACCATCTGGGTGATAGGAGACTTTTAGTATGATCAACTCTAGCAATTCCACCTCTTTATCGAGAGACTTCCAGAGTGCATTATCAATAGAAGAGATATGTTTAGAGTCGATGCCGTCATCCGATGCTTTACGGTTGAAATGTATTAGATGGGAACGAAGATCTCGTGAGGCGGCTCTGAACGTATATTAGTGATAATATAAAGATTAAAGTCTTCTTTCTTACCGATTGAGGATGTGTAAAAGGACACGTTCACGTTCACCCTTGGATATATCTCTTAAAGGTCGAAGTCTTCCACCATTTACCCGAAAAGGCTGCTTCCTAGAGAAAGTGTACGATTCAGAGAAGTCGTATAGAACTGTATCGTAAATGTCATTGGGAAGTCGAAAGTGGAAATCATGGATATCGCCATGTGTTATGCCAATTCGATGTAAAGCATCTAGGCGACGAAGTCGGTCTTTCAGCAAAGAATGATACCACTCCTGCTCAAATGAGCTTAAAGAAATCACTGTAGGAGTTGTGCAAAACCTTTCGGATAGGGTTTTAAGGATATCTAAGAAGCTTTTAGACTGGTGATTGACAACCTCACTAAGAACTCGTCGAGAGCGTAAGTCCGGTTTTATTGCCTCTATCACAACCGCTCGCTCGTGGCAATATCCAGAATAAAATCGAGATTTCGGTATATCTGTCATCACTCCGTGAAATTGTGGGAAATAGATTCTTTCACGGGCGGGACAGAATAGGTCAATATGGCTATATGCCCGAGCCTCCCGATGAAACCTATCGAACTCGTACATAGCATCGTCTATTCTTTCCGGAGTTAGCGGTACCCCGATGCGGTGAAGCTGTATGGTAGCATCTCGCTTAGAATAGCAAGGGAACTGGTATAGGATTAATCGGAGAACGCGTTTAATGATTGTCTCTACTTACGACTTTGCCAATATATTTTCTGCGTCCTTTGATCCAAAGCCAAAGCACCTGTATACTGTTCGCATGCGGTATTCTTGATACATCGGCCTTGCGTCGTAGTTCCCAGTTGTCGTCTTCAGGACAAAAAGGTCGGAATTCTTGGCCCTCAAGTTCGTCGGTGTTTAGGATGGATGGACAGCTGCCAGAGAAGAATAGGGTGATCCATGTATCCCCTTCCTCCATAATAGGCGTTCTTGTTAAGGAAAATAAAATATCGAGATGATCCTGCACTGGGTTTGAAGCTGGTTGTAGAGATGTTAAGAGAGAATAGGTTGAGAATAGGTTCAAGTCGATTGATAAAAGGCGCCTCCGGAAATTAGTGTCATGTGACACTTTGCTTACGTTATGACACCCATTTAACTTCCCGCGGAGTTTCATGCCGGAGCTAGTAGTCCGCCAAGTATGTTCTTAGTAGTGTTATACATAGTTACCAACATTCCTTACGTTTATTCTGAATGTATTCAACTCCTATAGTGGAATTGGAGGCTTGCCATCCCATAGGAGAATGCATTGCGATCATTTATCCACAAGTAGAGTTTCTATATTCTAACACGGGCAAGATCAAACCATTGTGTCTTTCGTCCGTATCTGGCGTGTCTTGTAGAGATTATGGTTGGATCAGGATAATTTTTAGCAGAAAAAGAATCACCTACCCCAGACGCTTATTGAATTCTTTGGAGCTGACTTTCTAGCAAATCCCTATCCTCGGTATCTAAATTATCCGTAAGATAACGCTTAAGGTCCTTCCCGTTAAGCGAGTAAAGTATGCGGTTGACCGACATATGCACATCAATAGGAGACAGGAAATCCATCACCAAAAGACTGTATACCACAACCATACATTCAAAGTCCATGAATGCCCGAGGGACATATCCTATATGCCGAGAAAGGACACTGGATAGAACATCGGTAGTGATAGGCCTATTATGCACCCACGGGGATGTAGAAACGATGTAAGCATTGACATCGTCGACTTCAATCCTGAATTGAGGGTCACTCATTTTATCAACTGAATAGTAAGTTAGATATGTGCTACACATTAAAAAAAAACCAACTTACAAAATTGAGTTAAAAGTTGTAGTAATGTTCCAGTGATAGGCTTGACGAGCATTATTGATATGGCGGGGAAGGTAAAACTTGATTGTTGGCATATTCAAGAATGGAGGCAACTTATAGCTTTCTGTACTTTGGCCTTGTTGATATTGTCAACTAAGTCACAAATCAACTGTTCGATGCAATGATTTAACTCATATTAACGACTAGCCTGCTTACCTCTTAAGACTGTATCGATAGAAATGGCATTATCTGAAACCTCAGGTTGATATGTAAAGATGCGAACGCAACTTGATTTGATCAAAAGGGAATAAAGTGCATTGTGATCTATATTGGCAATTTAGAACCTTAAAAAGAGCAGAATGTATCTATTTCAAATGCTTATTGATTTCCATCGTAAGGGTTGACACTTCTGCAACCTGCGAAGCTAGGATCACCCGAGAAGTGCTAGGACGCCGATATTGGCTACTCATGTATGGCCACGCCGAAGTTTGACACTCACGCATCTGACATACTTCAAATGTATAGCCGTCACGATCTCTCGTAATATTGACAGCCGCATTGTCCCCTGCATAGTTTAGTTCTGATGATAGAGAATAGGAAAAGAAGACTTACCCATTTCCTTATTCGTGTACTTTTCTTCGAGTTTTATGACTGATGTGATTGCGCCTAATATTCCCCTGAATTCCACCGAGGTTTTGGGAGAGGTTGCCAAATGCGAAAGAGCCATAAACTGCGTGGGCATGACTAAAAGAATATACTTGATTGTATCTGCTTTGAAGGTTAGTAGATGTTAAGTTTATTGTCGGGGCTCTATACCTTTCTTGTTTCGTCTTTTTGTTGACTCGCCTAACGTTCTAGAAAGGTAGTGGAGCTCATCAAGGCTAAGCATTTCAAGCAGATTCTGATAGTACCCTCTGAGCTTGTCGGTTGCGCTCATTGGTATCAGTTCAAATCCGGTATCTGGAGATTCATTCATCATGAGTAGTTTCTGAGATGAGTAGAGAAAATAAATTAGGAGAGTAGCTAGCTTTATACTCATTCAGCAAAGTTCTTTCAGATCTCTTGACGAGCAAACATCAGACTGATTATAGCAACTGTCTTATTTACTATGCATCTATCTTATACAGGGAACTTCAATTGGTCGAAGTCACTAAATATATACGTGCTATAGCACACGCGTATGAACCTTCTTAGGCCAAAGCTAAACCAAATTTTGCATGACCAATTAGCACGCACTAACAACTCTTTATTCCTATGCCTTGATTAATAAGAGGAATACGATAGGATACTCTAGAACTTACATGGTTCCATATATCAAAATAATAGTTAGATGGAGACCGGGCGACATCTTAGTCCTTTGATATGATCAGATTCTGCAGGTAAGATAATTTGCAAATATCAATATCAGACATACATTTGGGCCACGGCCAGTCCAGTAGTACTTTAATATATGCCAAAGCGGAATTCGGTAAATGCAGACAATGATCAAGGCAAACCATGATAATAGGGCGTAGATCAGAATCTGGGAAATTAAGTCGTCTTCCATATTTAAAAGGTAGATGAAGAGTCTTTTTTTGAGATTCCAAGTAGTGAAAACACTAGAAAGTCGAGGTGCTTTTATAACATAACGTCCAAACTATTTCTATAGATGACGTATTTTACGCACTAGGAAATTATAAAAAATACCGATCTATCTTAAGCTTCGGTATCCTTACTGCATTTGTTGACCGCCTATTAGCACTTCATCATTCATTGTATCTGGGTACAAAATCCTCTAATGCAAATTCATACCACGACTTAGAGTTGAATATTTATCTAATTCAATACCGTATGTCCGTCTTACATAGCACCACTCCTCCTTTCCCAGAAGAAGTTTCGCAAGCCCAATTTTGTAGCGAAGTCAGCAGGTAGAACTCTGACGAGGCTGTTCCATAGATAAAACCTTTCGAGTCGTCGTGGTACCCGGCATAGAGCTTCATAAAGACAGCGTCTTGGGACCAGAACTGTATACCGTATCTGTCAAATTCAGCGATTTTGCCGAGAATTTGAACGTTCGAGACTGGTCCCTGTAGCTGAGCCGCCGCTTATATCTACATTGTCAGTTTTTCCAGGAATGCCCTCCGAGTTACCCTCCCTTTACTTACAAGGCGGGATACGATTGAAATAGCCAACTGGTAGCGACTTGCGCTGGTCTGGCCTCGTGAATAATTTTTCGGGGGTTCGAAGGTGAATTGGGGGGGAGAAGGGGCGTGGAAGAATAACGGTATCGCTTATCGAATATTGAGCCGATTGGTTGGGAGCGGGCTGACTGGTAATATCTGAAGAAAAACGTGCTTAGCATATACGAAGGAGAGCACATTGGTGATATGCATTCTGATCGGCGGATACTACCGTGAAATATTGGTGGGCTATATGTACTCAAAGCCTCTGTATTTCTGTCTTCCGCCCTCTGCTCTTCTTGAGTTCCCCTGACTGGCGGGGAATCGGGTTGAATGATGAAAAAAGAACTGATGCAGCTAGGAAGCAGGTTTCGTAGCGAGGAAGTTGGAATACAAGCCATGAGGGTTCCTTAGCAAGCTGATAGGTATTTCTAGTGATATAGATATGGAAAAGTTTCGCTAGCAGAGCAACGTCAATGGGTTATTATACTGGCCGATCGACCTTTTCAGAAATTTCGCTTGTTTTGGATAGGCAACGTCGTCAATCGTTCGGTTTTACACGAAGGAAGCAATCGGAGGCGAGCAACAAATAAGTTGTAGCTCCGCATTGTGGCAGATGTTTACCGCTGTTTTAATCAGTCATATTCTTCATTAAGCCCAGTAATAGATGAAATTTGTTTGATTGGAACCTTCAGATTCCAAAATCTATTAGAGCAAATCCCTTAGCCGTAGGCCCATGACTATGTGTAGTAACGAGATAAACAACGATGCTATTGGTATACAACCAAAAGTCCATCGACGGCCACAATAAACTCATCCCTCGTCATCTCGCCACGGTCCAGGTAGTCCTTGAGCCCCTCGAGTTTATCGAGATTTTGTCATACCCATCCAAGTCTTGAAGCTAATCAGCCGCAAATTGTTTCATCTCGGGTTTGTACCAAAAATGTTGATCCCGCCCCCAAGTCTGTGCAACCCCTTGTATCTTCCATGGGCGGGTGGGCACAGAATAACCAGTCCTTGGCGTGTGCAAACTTCCGATTCGGTCAAAATTGATCTCGAAATCACCCGCTGACCCGCCAGATTCGCACAGATGGTTCACGATGCGGATACTGCATATCTTCGAAATCTTGCATTATAGACATTGCACCGTCTGAGTTGATCAGTCTTTCCCAGGGGTGACGGCGATCAGGAAAATCAACTTGCTCAAGATCAACAACCATCACCCTGCATCGATGGCTGCCCTGATCACAAAGTAGAAAATTGTCCAATCTCTGATCTCGATACAAAGCACCATATTCTGAAAATTGACGAAAAACATCCTCTAGATAAGTCTTCAAAGCTTCTCTAGGAAAGTCGTTCTCACTACGGGCCAGTTCATAGAGAGTAACACCATCAAATACCTTCTAAGGGTTGGTATGGTTCTCCTTCATAGATGTAATAAAATAGAAAGCTCTAATTCTAAACTGCTCACTTGAACAGTATTAGGCTCAACTGACTACGAAATCAAAAATAGTCTAGCTCAGGGTCTGAGTATATAGTTGATCTTTTCTACTTTGGGCCTGAGCCCGAGCCTACCTAGTTCTAGGTTTGCTAGTTTTCTCTCTGGTTGGCGTCTTCTTGGCGCAGAACGTCATGATACAGATGAGAATTAATCTAACCAGATCTGGCGACCCGGAGTCCGGGTCGCTAAATCTGGCGAGGGAAATGACCAGCAGCAAGTCCAACCAAGGACAACAGAGCGAGAAACCGAATCGACAGTATTCTGTCTGGGTAGCTATATTCGTGCGTTCGCTGCGACTTATTGATCCCTGATTCAAGATGAATACTGACCTGTTTATATTTTGTAGTTAGAGCAAGTTGGGATATTATGATCGCGGGTAGGAAAGGATGTGTCGGTAAGGGAGTGAGAGAGGGGGGAGAGCAATTTGAGAGCCTTGTCAATGGAAAGATGCGGGATCAGCTTTGAAATGTGATGAATGTGCAGCTCAGGACATGCCCCAGCGCCACCGGCGTGTCGCACGGGCCCTTCATGTTCTGGCCATTCCCCTCCGCATCCCAGGTGTTGAATGCTGCCATCAGAGGGGATTTTATCTCTTACTACTCAGTCTTCCCACTTTCATCAGCTTGCCTAACTATTAACCCATGGATCTTAATCGCCTGTTCCAATGCCGGGGCGATGGTCTCGTTTATATCAAGCACTTGGAATTACGCATTCTCGAGCTTGAGAAAGCCTGCTCATCCCGTTGTCCCGACTCCCTAGAATGTCAGCAGCAGATAGGTAGACAGTGCAGGCCTTGTGAGGTCTGCCGGAACCCTAATCTTTACCAAGGTCTCGGTGGTTCCCGAGAAATATTTGCCGATAGTATACGACTAGCCTCTGAAAGTGGTGACGACAATCAATCAATTGCCTCTGAAAGTTATCACGACAATCAATCAAGTCAACACAGCAGAACCCCGGAGAGAACATACGCCTTCATCCCATACGAGCCAACGGCATCCTCAGTCGTAAAAGACTCTTCCACACCGACGAAACCTACACAAAGGAAAAGGAATCATTTGTCCTTGTTCACGTCCTTAGTTAGTAATCTACCGAAATCTTCTGACTGGAAAAACTGGGCCTCTATCAATGAAACTCAACGAAAGGATATCGTTTTTTGCTTGGTATCTGGAATAGCCGTTCCGAAAAATGATAGCCCTATCGCGTCCGAACAACCTGCCACTATACCCATCCTGCTAAAGAAATACGCCACATCCATGAAACCGGTGGGAATGAAGCGCACCTCGGCAGAATCAGAAGTAAACAGTCCGTTTGCTCGCTTTAAGGAGCTTCTCTTCTGTTCACTATGTGCGGTCGCCTTGGAAGTCATGCCAAAAGAGATAGTGTTCCAATACATGCAGTCGGTTTTCTGCTGTGACGCACAACCAAAGGCTCTTAGAGGACGAATTCGTGGTGCGAAATGGGCAAACCGGGCCATTTATCTTTTATCGCGCACTAACTGGGGCTCATGTAGCTGGGACATCATCTATGTTGGTATGAAACATATTTCAGGTTTTCCTAGACAAGCTAACTTGCTAACCTCTGGGGTCCGCAGCTAGTAATCAAGTCAACTTTTATAGCGAGTTCAACGACTATTCGATTAAACCCGATGAGTTCATAAACGGGCTAAAGCCAGAATTCAATCCAGAGAATACTAAAACGATATCGGTCCCGCTCGCAATCCCTTCCATCATACGAACAATTTTCGAAGATCTAGTACCGTATGCCACCCGCACAAAGCGTCTTATACATCTTGGTTAATATTTCTCATATAGGCTTGAAAAGATTTGCGAATGCCTAGGATATGAGCTTGGTGATTATAATAAACTGGACCTTTCTGGTCTTGAAACCCTTCTTGCCCAGAAAACAAACACCGAGCCTAGTAAGAAACGAAAAATTTGGCCATCCAATACTCCGTCAAAAAGGCGCTGTCGGAATTCGTCATCTAGGTTATCAGAGGGTAAGAAACTTTCCCTTTCCGTCATTCAAATTATGAGACTGATCTTACAGGTGATCCTTTGGATACTTCTAACGGATCATCACATTCGCCGATCTATGCCACATCCTCTCCATCGGCACCAAATTCATGTTCAGATCCTCCAATTAATGAGCTTTTCGAGTACTCAACCAATGCATCTACCCCGACGGAAGGTTCACTGGAATCACCTGCGAATTCCGACATAGACGACCTCTTCGAAGAGCACCCAACCAGTACATCGACTCCAAATGAAAGTCCACTCAATAATGGTACAACCGAAGCGAATGACGAAATAATGGATGGCAGTGTCGACGGTATATACCTTAGCACCCCGATCAACGATCCCTCCACGTTACAAAGCATATCTTTTAATCACTCTCCCCCAAAGGACAATATGCCGGATCTTGCTCTCTCGCTTTCAAATGATATACGCGCTCAATCATATCCCTCAGTGGTCGATTTTGAACCTGAGATTCGAGGCAGTCGACCTGCAACAAGTCTTCTTTCTGGGTCAAACATATTTCCAAATCTCGATGCTGAATCATCTATGGTGACATCATCCACCAGTACTGAGATGAATGGAACGCTAAATCTCGAATCTAATTCATCATCCAACATAGAAACATCATCTGCCAGAACGACTCTCAGTCAGACATTTTCCCCCAATGATATCACTCAGCAGCAAGGCCTTTCAGCGAATGATCCTCAACTGCCACCGTCGACTGATTTGTGGCAACAATACGATTGGGAATTAGATGGTATACTGCAGCAAGGGTTTCCGGCGAATGATCCTCAACTGCTACCGTCGACTCACTTATGCCAACAATACGATTGGGAATTAGATGGTATACTGCAGCAAGGGTTTCCGGCGAATGATCCTCAACTGCTACCGTCGACTCACTTATGGCAACAATACGATTGGGAATTAGATGGTATACTGCAGCAAGGGTTTCCGGCGAATGATCCTCAACTGCTACCGTCGACTCACTTATGGCAACAATACGATTGGGAATTAGATGGTATACTGCAGCAAGGGTTTCCGGCGAATGATCCTCAACTGCCACCATCGACTGACCGGTCGCAACAATGCTCTTCCGACCTTCTGCAGCAGGATCTTTCGCTAAGCAGCCACTCGCCGCTACCCTCTTTGGGTTTAGGCCAGGATGCCGCCACAGCTATCTCGGGTAATTCCCCGGAGACCCGGTACCATTTATTAATTCGTCCTTCACTTGTGTCCAGAGAGGGCGGTTCTTCTTGGGACTTAGAAAATAGTCACCACGCCCTTGGATTCTCGGACGCCATTCACCAGAATGCTTCTTATTCCCCGAACAGGAGCCTTTCGGTAATGTGAGACTTTTAGCAATGTGAACAATAAAACAGAATGATGGTAACACTTGAACTTCCTCAAATTTATTTCTTACTTAGGCCACGGGTACAAATCAGCGAGGCGCAACAACCAGCGTAGTCGTACCCGCACCCACCACAACTGGGTCAACATTGACTTGTACGAACCATCCTTCCTTCAATAACCACCCGTTCACTTCAATTCCTTTCGGTATTGGAATAAGGTATGCCGAGTTTGGAAGATTTAGTTTTGTAGGAATCTTCCAATGCCTCAAGCGTCCATCCCAGTTCTAGTTGGATTAGTAAAATGGTCTGTCTAGGAACAAATAATATTCGTGCCTACCTCATCAATACCGAGGGCGGTTTTCATACGGGAAATCAACATCAAAAGCACATCCCCGCCGTACTTCTTATTTCCTTTTTCGTCCTCTTCAATTGTTGTGACTTGTGGTAGTAATACCTTAATCTCTGTTCGGATTCCTTCGGCTACATCGGTTACATCGTCCAAACGTCGAGGTTCCATCGAGTGCGAAAGAACGGTTCTAAATCGAGCTCCTAGGGGTAAGATCAGTTTGAATTCAACGTAGCCGGGAATTTGAAATACCTTGCGAGGGCAGAGGTTAGATTTTGTTATCTTCACGCTGCGATTAAGAGGGGTAAATAAGTGATTATCACCACGGCTAAGGTTGGGCACTAAATCACATGACACTGTAAAATCAATGTCTATCGGGCCGGTGGTCAGACCAAAAAGAGACGTCATAGCCACTAATTTTCATTATCCGAGACCCTGCTCGAAATAAAATGCTGTCATCAAAAGATATTCACCAGTGAAGCGTCATTTCACGGTCAGTGCAGCAGTCACGCGACTCGTAGATGATTCTCACCCTAATTCTCACCCCGTTATTAGTGGCATTCGAGGCGATGTGCCGGTAAAGACAATGATCCGCCTAGGGCATGTGGTGGTCAATACATCCTCCAACCAGCCACGAATCATATGAAGAGAAAGACAAAGTGTCACCCAAATATAGTTCTGATTAATCAATACCATTGTGGGCATAGTTATAGACAGAGAATGACAACAGTTGGATAGGCAGCAATCAAGACGCTGCATCAATCCTTATAAGACAGGGCTGGGGTGGAGCTAAATTTTTGTTTGTCGTTGTATAATATGTGGCTGTCAAAGGCAAGCGTGGCGGAACACAATACAGTCTCAACTGGGTAGACAGATTGACACGAATGCCATTCATAACGTCGATGCTCTTATAGCCTATGGATAGATGGGATTGCGAAAGACATGATTTTTTCTGGCGAAGGGGTTTAGTTCGGAGCACACAGTGGTAGTGGCAGAAACGCTTCATTATAATGCAATATGGAATAGCTATTGGTATACAAGAAAGACACCGCTTCTCTCATAAAATGCGTAAACGCTTTGCATCCCCTGACTCTGTTTGCAACAAAGGTCTCTTTCCTCGTGATCGCTCTGGGGCCGGCCGATATTTCAATGTAGAGCGGTGAAAGTCGATAATTAACGCCCGCCCGAGCTCTTCATTCCAAAGGACATTATCAAGCCGAAGGTCTTCGTGGACGATTCCCAAGGCTTTTATTTCCTTGTTCGATTTGTGAATATGATTGAGAAGTCCCGGCGTCAGCTCCATCGTTGTTGTGCTAGCGCCCCCCCAGCCCATGACGAGCATATGACGAATCTCTCCAGCCCCATGGAGAAAATAAGTTTTTGCCAAGTCGATTGTACCGAGGAAAATAGGCACAGCGGATGCTTGAGCCTTCCGTAGGATTTGATATACCTGCGCTTCGCGGGAGACTTCTTTCCAGAGATCCGACGAAGTTCCTTTCCCAACGACAACATAGCCATATATAGCACAAATGAGTTTAAATGGCGCACCATATGCCCCACAATTTCCAAGGGGTGTGCATCGGTCAATGTTTTCATCTAGTTGTGCTTTTAGTAAACGCACTAAATCTTCTGAGGCGATAGTATGTTTGATACCATCTTGACCCCGACGATGGAGCTCCACGTTCGGACAACCGTCGTCTAGGATACCTCCAGTCTGCAGCCCGAATAGACATCGCTGGGTGCAAAATTGGGCGTCATGGCTTTTAGAATGGCTGCCTTCGTCTTTCCTAGCCCCGCGTTGACGAGCCGCTCGTTGCGCAGAAGGGGACGGTGTGACTTCGCTGAAGTCCCGTTTGCGCCTAGTCGCTTGATTCGAGTCCGAGCCTGATGAGTCTGGCGATTGCGTCCGGTGTCGAGTATCTGAGGGTGCACAGCTAGCTCGAGACCTCGTGGGCACTCGGCGACCTACTGTTGGAGACTCTAGTGGAGGCGATGAGGGTTGGTAGTCCGAACTCGTTTCTGGACTCACATACTCCGAGTTGGTACTATCGGAATGCGGAGCGATTTGCTGCAAGACTTCCTTAGGGATCTGAGAACGAGCGTGGTCAAAGCTAGTTGTCCATAAAGGAAGCCGCGACTGTGCAGAATTTCTCCATTCCTGGTCACGAATAGGGGAACGGAACGCCATTAAGCACAGACATAGAACCCTAGCAATAGATGTCTTCGGCTCTTGGAGACCTTGTTCGTTATTAGGATCACAGAGAAAGTAGTACAATGTGCTAGGATCGTCGTATGGAATGCGGAGAAGGACACGGGCGACCCCATTCGTGACATAGGAGTACTCAAGTCCCTCCTGGATCATCACGTGATATTCCTGGACAATGGCGGAGCATACGAGCCGCTCTGCGTTATATTTCAATTTCTCAGCACGATCTGTGGTGATTTTGTTTGATCTGACCATGCATTTCCACAAGTCCATTTCCCTGAGCCCTACGCGAAGGGCCTCGACAGAAAGCTTGTGGGGCGGCTTGTATTCGACCGTAGTGAGGAGGGTGTTAGTTTTGCCGTCGATTCGGTGGATACAGAACTGATCAGGTCGAGGGTGACGTACGCCCGATGGCTGGTTTGCAATTGCTTCGCTACCGCCGCGTGGGTTGAAAGAGTTGGTATGATTATCAAACCAGACTCCATCTCCAAGTCCGAACTCATCTCGAGCAGCATCAATTTTGCATAGCTCTGCAATTATATCACGGACATGATCTTCTACAGCGATTCGCTCGTAGTTCTCAAGGCCTTGTTCACTGCTAATTGGCCGGAGATCGAATCGTCTAGCATCCTCCTTAAGCGCAATCAAGGGTGTGAACAATCTTGCTCGGGCTTCCTCGGTTGGCTGTAGGTAGTTGCACACAGAGCTGTAGATCTTTTGTTGTCGAGCTGAACAATCGGCCCACAGTACTAGTCGTGTGGGACAGTACTTCCCGGTGGGAAGGGGTATGCTCCCTGTAGTCGAGCGAGATGGTGTTTCAACTCTCAACGGCCGGGAGAGTAAGCCGTGGCAGAAGCGTATGAGTTCGGTAAATGTTGTTCGTCGGTTGCGCTCCCTTTCCTGCCTCTCTTTGTCCTCGGCAATTTTTTCTCGCTCTTCAGCCTGCTTTCGTCTCTCTGTTTCCTGCTTTCGTCTCTCTGTTTCCTGCTTCTCTCGTTCTTCAGCCTGCTTCCGTCTCTCTTCTTCCTGTCTCTGACGCTCTTCGGCCTGCAAAAAGAGTTTCTTGTAATCGGTGGGGCTGTTGTTGGCCATCAAGTTATCGAGAGGAAGAGAGGAATTAGGGATCCCCATCCAGGTGCGACCAGGCTTGACCTAGCTGGCTTATCAGCTGATTAATATTTCGGCAAAACTTTTATCAGAGGCCGGTTGCATGTCATGCACGTGATCTGATGAAGCTGGTAGGTCCGAGCGTTGATTGATTGGCGGTTAGTGGCTCATCTATGGAAGTGGGTCTACGGTGATCAGCCTTGACGGGGAATTCGGTATGGCACGACCCATGGCCGACTTGAGGAAAGATAATGGAAGCTAGTTCATGTTTTTGAGCATATGGTTTTTGGATCCATGCCGAACCGAAGAAGTCGTTGGACTTTTCGTCTTGATCAATCAGTGGGCTAGACACGGCTGACTACTTATATATATTATTATGTCGCGTCGAGTTTGAGATTCTTTGTGCGAAGTCTATCGCCCATAACACTGATGGACCAAACCGCAGTTCTTTATTAGGAAGAAATCGCCACAGCCGTGATATTCTAGTTGAAAATGACTATGGTGCTCGTCTGCTTCTGCCATTAGTATCACTGGCTAGGGAGCATCTTGAATTCTTTGCAGCATGACATAGCAGCGCGGGAGATTTTAGGGAGTTTCCCCAAAGCTGAGAAGCAGTTATTGAAGGGAGATTCTCATGACTAGTCCGGCTTAGATAATAACAAGATTGAAGAACGACTTCATTCAGGTTTGGGGCTATGATAGTCAAGTTGGTTGGTGGCTGTGCGCATGCAAGAAATCCCGCGTCTCCGACAGATCCAGACAACCCAATGAAGTGATACCTTGGTTCAGATGAGAGGGTCCGAGCGGCGGTCCCGCAACGGGAGTGAGAAATCATTCACCCTTCTCCCCCGTCCGGTCGCGCGAGGTCAAGACGGCGCTCGCCCATTTCTCACCCGGACGACATATTGACTGTGTACAATGACTTAGTAGTTGGGTGGGTGACCTCCAGCTAATTTATATTCAATATCAAGTTTGATTCTCCTAGGCGGCCCTCCTTTTCCTTTCCTAGGAGGAAATGTGTCAACCGTAACTAGAAGCTAGTACCAAAGAGTCGTGATCAAATCAACATGCCTGTAAGAAAAAAAAATCAGTACGGTACGGGAGGGGAAGGACACGTCAGCTGTTCAGGGGCGTGCAGGATTATTCAGGTGTAGAATAGTGGTGTTCAGGGCGTTCAGGTGAATGGGCTGAATGGGCTGAAGAGTAGGGCGGCAAGAGGGGATTTCCTAACGAATCAAAAAAAACGGGTGAACACCGACATACAACAGCGAGGATTCGCTGGTGGTCACCCACCCAACTACTAACTCACCGGCGTGTGGCTTAAGTACGGCTGAGCGGACGGGAAGCCCTGTTTTCCACACCCTATGGTCGTATGTATCTGGTTCTGGGTCAGAGAGGATGAGAATTCAGCTAAATTTCTAAATCTGAGTTGATGCACATGCTTCAATTTGGGGGGAGGGGGTTCCTTGTCCCATTTGCTCCTTAATTTTGATGTGTGATTTGATTTCTGATATCGTATGAAATACACTCTATGTTGTACAATGTTGTTCTACTCTAACCGCTCCTTCTCAGTAAGCACTGTCCATCCATTTAGAATACCACACCCGGCGTTGAGATACGCTGCATATCCGAGCCACGCAGCGTAGGGAACAAGACACCAGAAAGCGGTCCGATCGGCCGTCCACCAGTTGACCATTAGAGCACCCACGTTACCCGCCAATAGGGCCAGATCTCCCAAGGCTACGGCCGGTCGTCCCAGCCGGAAGAAGAGGGGCATCCAGAGGAAATTCAAGGCCAATTGCATGGTGTAGAGGGTCTGGGCAGTGGAATTGGCATCACGGACAGCTAGAGAAAAAGATCGCGACGCAGTGGTGGTGGCGTGGTGAGAGGCGTAACCCATCAACCCATAAAGAAGGATCCAGGCCGGTGCGAAGAGCCATCCTGGGGGACTGTAGGGCGGCTGCTTCAGCTGCTTGTAGGTTTCACGATTTTGCTTTCCTGCAGAGTCGTTAATGATTGTCTGTAATCGTCACCCGTCCCGAGATCGACTTACGATTGGTCAAGAGGGCTACTGTAGTCCCTGCGGTGATTGGGGTCGCAACTGCCAGGTAGGGATTGGTGAGGAGAACATGAGGCAGAGCGAAAGACCAAGGCATTTTGGCGAATGGAATGAAATCAAATCAAACTATATTCGAACTCTACAATCTAGAGTATTTAAAGAACAAAATGCGAAGTCACCGAAATCTACCAGTTTTTGCCCCTACGTCATCCCCTACCTTGGCACCGCCCACAAGCCACCAAGAAGAGTCAATAGCCACCCTTCATCAGCTGTTTAAGTTTTTGGTTTCATTTTCAATTTTATTTTCATATATTCATGGACATGGAAAAGAGATCAATGACGGTGAAATCAAGGTAAGGTGGAACCGATGTGAGAAACCATATCCAGGTTGGTTTTCAAAATTTAGATGATAGTTGGAGACGGCAATCGCGGTTGAGCAGTCTAATATTGACACTTTTTCTCTGGGCTTCATTATTTGCTCATCGTTATCAACCGCAATGCCTCTGCGATCGTTGAATCTCCATGGTTGGGGAACGAATCAAAAGGCAATCTACTAACACTGCTTATTGGGGATCCAAAGCACTCATTTCCCTTTACATTTTACACGCACAACTATGCAAGCATCCATCTTCTATTTCCTCGAAGGCGACATCGATTCAGATACTGGCTCTGGTATCGCCGGTCGCTATAAAGGACTGTACTACAGCTACTACCGATCTCCACATACCTTTCCGCTCGAGGATAGTGACGACTCAGATATTCTAAAGGCGTACGAATAACTTAATAAAACCGTTGCCCTAGAAGGTCCGTTGAATAGCGTTTTAGGCTTCTCCTATAGTGGGTCTTGGCTGCTAGGTTTATAATACACTATGCTAAGATATACCCGAATGAACCGGCGCTATTCGGATATACTATCTCTAGCAATTCTCTCCGGTTATTCCGTATAGACCCTAGTGAACTTCCTATTATAGAAGAAGGATTGACAGGGTATATCCTTATCCCCAGTGTATATATTGCTAGGACGGAAGACCCTATTCTATGAGATGCTCGGTGAGCAGGATCCTGAGCGTCCTTATAAGGCGGCAGCAGCCAGGGAAATTCGCATCGCCTAAAGTTCGGTACATACAGGTACATATATAGTCACTGAGCGGCTCGACCCTTGTGCCGGGGTTATGCAGGGGTAAGCAGCTTATGTTACTCAAGCATGTTTGGTAGCATAGTAATATTTATATTGGTGAGAACTGTGCCTGTATCTATGTTCTCCAATATAAACAATGGCGATCACCTCGAGCTCGGACGCAATGACGCAGTGGCGTAGCGCACTTACTACTGTAGTCTTTACTGCCTAACAATTCCCCCTCTCGTTGGGCAGAATGGAATCATTTGTGAGGCGTTTTCATTAATATAATGAATACTCTTTCATGAAAAATAAGTTGCCTCCGACTTCATAATGAAAGAACCAACTATATCTATGGGTTGAGATACCGAGTTACTCCACACTCTTAGGGGGAAGGGGAACCCTTGGGCTTCCCCGCGCGAACTATTCCGATGCCAACGGGGCTCAAATCTCGGTTTATTACCAACCTATCGTTACTATATTGGTTTTATGAAAAAAAAAAAAAAAGGCAACGAGGCAAGACACAATAAACCCAACAACTCTTGAAACTGCGCCGCACTTCTGCGCCCCATGATCTTGGCAGGTAAAGATCAAAAATGGAGGGCTGTGTCGTTATAATTGTGAATCTTTTGCTGTTTCCAAGCTTTCTGCTGACATCCATCTCTTTCTGGCTTCAGCTTCTCTCCCTCCCCCCCCCCCCCCCCCTTTTGCCGCACACTCTTCATCGAATGCCCTTCCTCGAACAAACCTATATTGACATAATCAGGCTACGCTCACGACGAAGATTACTTTCGCCCTGCTCTTGCTGACCATTTTGTTGGTCAGCCCCGTCCCAATGAGCTTAGGGGATATTCACAAGAGGTTAAAGGAAGCGATATACAACTACGGCACACCAGAGGCATTTATCCCTTACGACAGGGTCCGAGAGGTATGGGCCGGGGATCGGCTGGAACGGTTTCTGATGGCCCATGATCCAACCCTGCATCCATCACATATAGATGAAGCGCGAGAGGGCTTGCTGTGTATGATATCCATCCTCGCCGGTGTCGTTCCTCGAGATTGGTCAGGATGGTCGAGGTTCAAACAAATTTTCTTCCCGCCAAATAATGTTGACCGCGATCGTCGCCGCGACAAAAATATCCCCAATTTCACCAAGAAGGAACTTAAAGATAACTCCTTTCTTGGCGATACCAACCTGGCCACCCACTTCGTGGGTCATATGTGGACTTACTTTCCAATAGTCCTCAATGAGAATAGAGAGGTTTCTTATGGAAAGCATGAACGGTTGCCACTGCGGCAGGAGAAGGAGCCTGTGGTTCGAGACGGTGGCTTCGGGGAAGTGACCAGGGAGATCATACCTCCGAACCATATTATCCTGGGCCATGTGGGTGATCACCGGGGTATACCCGAGGCGCCTTATTCAGTAAGTTTCATGGTGCATGACCTGACACGGCTAGTCACTTACGGGTTTCTTTTCCTTGTAGAAGGAACTCATAGTTGCCCGAAAACGTTTCCCCGAGAAGAGATTTCAGGTTGAAATGAAACAATTGAAACTTCTCCGATCAAGCCCGACCAAGCACGAGCGAATCGTTTCCCATCTTGCGATGTTTTTCATTGGAAAGGACTTGAACATCATCATGCCATGGGCACACATGGACTTGGAAGATTTCTTGACCGGAGGTTACAATGAGATGCCAAGTACCACAGATCTCCTGAAAGATCTAATCCAGGAGTCCAGAGGGGTTGCATCTGCCATTCACTTCCTCCACAAAAATCTCCAACTTGAAAGTCTAGGGGAGGACTCTCGCCACGTAGCTATCTGCCACGCAGATCTCAAGCCCCGGAATATTTTGGTATTCGAGCAGGAGGGCTCTTCTACTGGAGTTTGGCGAATTTCCGACTTCGGCGTCTCGCGAGTAGCAAAGCGTGTTCTATCAGGAACTGGGAGGCGTGACTCAGGATACTCCGCTAGCCTAATTGACCATCCTCCCAGAGGGGGTCCCTACCGGGCACCAGAAGCTACTTCTCAACGAAGGAGCGACGTCTGGTCGTTCGGGTGCATACTGGTGCGCGTTTTCGCCTTGGGTCTTGATCCTGAAAGTCTGCCCGAACTTGACGAAAGGCGAAAGGAATCGCCCGACGGACACGCCTTCGACGATTCTTTCTATCGAGGAGAACCCCCAGCTCTTAACTCTACTGTCAAAACTTGGATTGAGGAGTTGTCAACCCGATATCGCTCTTCCCTCAACCCGGATGTCCCTGAGAAAATGCAGAATCTTCTAAGCTCAATGCTTCAGATAGATTTCCAGCAACGCGCATCGGCACGTGATGTTCGAACCGGTTTACAAGCACTTTATCACTCTCACACACGTTCAAAATCTGATACGTTGCCGTCTACTCAGATTAATCTGCGAGACTCACTAAGCGGATCTTCAACCATGTCAGGCATGTCTCAAAGCAGTACTGATTTTACCAGTATCAGCATAAACCACCCACCTCGGTCAGTAAAAGACGTGGGCGTTCTTGTCAATGTCATGAAATACGAGGACATCAACCAAGTCCGTCAAATTCTGGAAGACGAGGTTGATGTTGAACAGACCTACGAGGGAGACCGACCTTTGATCCATGCTATTAAAATGACCAATGCTGCTATAATCAAAGAGCTTTCCAAGTATCAACGAAAATCTCACAACCGAAACTTGGACGTACGAACCCTCTCGTCCCACAACCAAACGCCACTCTATCTTGCCGTTGGCATGGGTGATGTCGACACTGTAAGAGCTGTGATGGATGCTGATCTCGATCCTGATATTGATGCGGAAACCGGTTCTGACTCCAACGCCGGTACCAAATCTCTGTTGAACGAACTGTGCGAGGGCAAAACTCCACTCATGCACGCAGCCTTCCTTGGTCATGCCAGCGTTGTCTCATTTCTTTTGGAGAGAGGTGCAGACTACAGAATCTGCGTCCAACAAGAGAAGTTTAACTGCCTTCACTTTGCGGTGAAACCCGGCAATCGAGCCCAAGCAGACGTCATCAAGGCCTTTAAGCGCAAGATGGTCTTTGATCAGCTTCCGCCTGATGCTACAGTCGATGGCGAAGGAACTCTATCAAAACAGAAATCATATCCGACGCCAATGATGCTGCACATCAACCTTGCGCCGGAGGATTCATATAGCTCTTTAGGGCCAGACTCTGTGTGGGGCAGAAAGTTCAAGGCACTGTTGGACGGGGGAGCAGATTTGAATAGAACATACAACTCAGGACTCCGCAATTTGGAGAAGAACTCTTTGCAATATGCTGTACAGGAAGCGAAGCCCGTGCTTGTCCAGGTGCTTGTTGGTGCGGGTGCAACCCTTCCAATGGGCTACGTTATACCACCAGGAAGCTCTCGCGACATGAAGAAATTGCTCAAGAATGTACTGAGAGAACGTCCGCGCACAAGGTCTTAATTTTTACATGATAATGATTTCTCATTTGTTGTTGGTTTTATTGCCTCTGGTTCTAAAACCCCCATCATTCGACTTTTAAATATTCAACTGTGAATTAACACCTTTTCATTAATATTGACAAAAGGCACCTCCTACATATTTATGACATTTTCAATAAATTATACATCTTGTCTGCCTCGCAGAGCTATATCCCAACAATCTCCCTGGCGTGATGGCCTTCCATAGAGGGGACTGCTCAAGTGGTTCCGAACATGTTCTTCTGTTGCTCGACCGACTATGATATTATCAGCATATAATCATGGCAATGAAAAGCCCTCCCAGTTGGAGTAAGAATAAAGCCTTACATATCGAGTTCATGTCCTCTAGTGATACGTCCTTGGTTTCGGGGACCTGAATTATTAGCCTGAAACGCAGTGCAAAAGAGACCGACGAGACTAACCAAGAAGAAAATCAAGACGAGTGCCAATAAATTCAAGCCTCTGTAATATAAGTCAGTACTTAAGCAGATGAAGCATTAGAAAGAGTAATCTCACGAGAAGAAGAAGAGAAGATTCCCCTCGCCGTGGAATTTACTGGTCAACTGAGGCACAAAGAGTACTAAAAGCCCGAGACCAAGGAAATTGACCATAACACTGAAACTCATTCCCACCTCTGTCATTTATTAGTCCACGCCAATGGTAATGAGAATGGGAGGATCAAGTTACCGCGTACGCACAGAGGGAAAACCTCTGCACTCAATGTAAATGGAATGGGCCCAGCACCAATCGAGTAGCAAAAGACGAAAGGTACGCAGCTAAATACTGCTACCAGGATTAATCGAGTATTGTGTGCCTCGATTTTGAAAAAGCCGCTGACTGATATCAGACTCAAAAGCATCCCAAGAAATGAACCTAGTAGCAGAGGTCGGCGTCCACGCGAGTCGATAAAGATATATGCAGGCAAAGTGAAAAGGAAGTTTGCTAGACCAAAAGCTTTTTTTTTTTTTTTTTTTTGCAAATTAGTTGAAACCCTACGGAGTCATGATGTTCTTTTCATAATCACATACCGAAATTGTACCATTTGACGACCGTGAGAGAAGTAAACAAGGCGTCACTAGGCTTGGTCGAGCTACTCTGGTCGCTATGTAAAAGTTCGGATGAGTAGAAGGCCAAAACATTGATCTGTTGGTTTTATTTGAAAGGATTAGCTGTCAGTCAAGTGCAAAGAAGACTCGAGACGTGTATGTAGCGAAACTTACACCACATAGTTGTTGCGACGCCATTACTAGCAAAGCCACCGTGCACGCTCTTCGAGTTCGTGGATTTGTGGCAAGACACATCATCCGCTTGAAGAAATTGCCTCTGTTGATCCAACTTTGGTAGGCGTAGATCCTTTCTCGTTCTGACCACCACGATTCCTCTTTGTGGGGATTCCATATTGTGATAGCCTCAGTTTGAAGTTGAGCGTGAATGTAGTAAAGATCTCGGGCAGCTTGGATGGGTGTTCCTCGGAGCTCGAGGAGGCTTTTATATGCATCGGCATATCGGTTCCTCTGTATCAGGAATCGGGGCGACTCCGGACACATGAACACCAAAAAGAGAAGAACGATGGCGGGAATTATTGCGGTCGCCAAGAGTACTCTCCAACTGTCCATAACAATAAGTGCACAGAAGAAACCGAGAAATATTCCACTGGAAGAAAGTTAGGTAATGGCTTGTAAAGTGAACTTGTAAAGAGAGTTCAAACGTACAGCGCATCAAAAAGTTGCCACAACATCAAGATTTTACCTCGATGTTTATCAGGTGCTGCTTCGGCGGCAAATATAGGGGCTATTGAAGCTTTTGATCCGATCTATGCAGGTGGAAGTGTGTCAGATAGTAGGACGTTGAACTGGTATGGAACAGAGAGAAATAGAAAACAGGATCAACATACCCCCACACCAAGAAGTACTCGACAGGCCAGTAGTGTCTTCCATGAATGGCAATGAGCTGTTCCTGTGTTCAATATCCGGATCAGTCACCATCAAGCAGCCTTCGGGGGCAAAATACTACCTATCACAACAGCAACACAGAAAATAGCAGAAAGAAAGAGCGCGGGGCGTCTCCCAAATCTTTCTTGGAGTGGATCGCTCAACCATGTTCCTCTGTGGTCTAGTTTAGAGCTGGATGAAAAGTAACATGTTGTGATTGTTCTCAATTGGGTTGGAGTGGGGAGACAACATACATAAGACTGCCGGAAAGCCAAGGAGCTGCATTGATGAATCCAATCAAAAGCATGTCACGACCAGTATCAAGGCCGAGGTCATCTTGCCACTTCAAAAGCGCGCTGCCATTGATTGTTGATTGCTGCCATCCCCTATCACAAATGTCAAAACAATACACCAAGTTGACATGCATGATGGACATACTGTGTGATTGCCGCACAGGCCGTGGCCATAACGGTAACAAGGAGACCCCTAGTTTGCAAGAACGACAAATATTTCTCCGAGCTCTCCCTGCTTAAAGTCTCCAACTCCGCGGGGGTAAGCCCGGACGGGACATTGCGCAATCGGTGCTTTGCGAGTCTCGCGCCGTTGATAAGGGTTCGCAAATCGACGACAATATCGAGGCTAAGATTACTGTGGAAAGCTCTGACATCGGCCTCTAATTCGGAGGATTCTGTATTGTCGAGTGGGTTATCTGTTCTGATTGATCAAAGCCATTAGAGGGTTTTTGATATGACAGGGTTTGGGAGTATGATGTGTTACGTTGGGCGACCCCAGTGTTGGGCATCTGCACTCATCTTGCAGCCTCGCCAATCGGCACTTTTGTGACGACTTGACAGATCCTGGTATATAACAGAGTAACCAGGGGGGAATAACTGGTGAGATCTTTGTGAGATGGCTAGAAGTATGGGTCCTGGGACCAGGTGGAATAAACCTCTTGCTGAGTCAATAAAGAGTTGAGAGGATTTGGAAGAGTCTCCAAATTTCTACATAACTTCTTCTACGGAGTACACATTGTGACCATAATTTTAACACTAAGGCTCACAGGGTGGATTTGCAGTTGATCTGACGTCTTTCCAAAAAGCGAACGGACCACACCAAAAGCCACCCTATGATAAACTGCACTAAATTCGTACTAGGAAGGACCTTCGGGAGATAGAGGCTGAATAGCTACTCCGTACAAAGAAGTAAGTTGCGGTTATCGGCGGAAGACAACCTTGGGAGGCTGGGAGGTTAGTTTAATACGTAGCTCTCCAGAATTACCCCGTGCTTACTGCGGCTATCTTTCCCCACGTGGATTTTCCCAAGAAATATGGCTGATGCACATGTTAATGCCAGATATAAGTAGAAATGGGCGATACCGCATGCGAATCGATCCCCGAAATCTGGGTAATTTGCTTTTTTTTTACCCCTCACCAATTTCTGCGGGTGAAATTAACAAAGGTCACACAATATGCACCTATAGGCGTATGCCGCGTCGTCGCGGGAACCAAAACATGCGTCGGCGACCACGAGATGGCAGAGCTGGTGCATGAGGGAGAGGCTGGAAAACGAATAATTGGCTGATTTTGAGTATTACAGCCGCACTTGTGTCTTTAATGGAACAAACCCCGTGGGTGCGTGGCGTCTGATGACATATATCGATGAAATTAAAACATTCGTAAGTTCTTGGCATGATCTTAGGGCTTTACGAAGCGGCTCTTCGGAAGACGAATTTGGTACTGGTACGGAGGTGATAACCCTTCTCATTGATTCCATTAAATTTTACTCTTCTTGTCTTGGGGTCCTGATCCGCATTATGCTAGAGTATACTCCGGACTTGGCCCCAAAATTCCAGTCAACACAGCCTCACCCCCAAAATGTCTTCAATCCGTTCACCAACTGGACCGGTTTCGACCACACTCAGAGAAGGAATAAGCGGTTATATTGACCGCTCAAAGCTTGAGAGTAGGCTTTACGAGTTATTTGGGTGCAATATCGAAGTTGTAGTGAGCAAATACTGTTCTCCATAGAGGCTTGATGGGAAGGCTAAAGCCAATCTTACAGTATTTTTGCGGCCGAATTACTTTTCTAGCACCACGAGAAGTGGAAGAGGCAAGTCTCCCGTGATCTGAGCATAATATTGCTTGTCTTTTGCTAACATGATTTCTCTCTATCTAGTACGAGATATCGTACGCAGATTTTATCAATGTCATAGTATTCTGCACGAGGGCTAACATTTAGTTTAAATAGGGACCTCTGCGAGGATGAACGGGTTAACTAGGGCTGAAGAACCAGCTTTATACGATGTTTCTTGAACTTATTTTCAGCGATCCGAGTTATTTGCTTTTTGAATGAATTTGCCTCAACCTTGGAATCTGCCTTGGCTTAGATCCTAAAGGGGGTGCCTCCTGTTGGTATCCAAGCGGCTGCACCTTGCATGGCTGCGCCCGGCCTCAGCCCTCCCACCCCCATTTTCAAAGTGGGCGTGATGGGAAAAAATATATCTGAGATTTAGATCACATAGCCTAAAATTGACTAATGTGACCTGTGCTGCGGGTAAAGGATATGGGCTTCTCATTAGTCGGGTGCGAACTGCCTGTATTTGGCCTTGTTTTCTAGGATAATGTATTAATGAACCTCTAGTATAACACGCTAAAGTGTTTCAACTTTTCATTGTTCTTATCTAAGCCCGGGATTCACATTTAAGGCTTGGTTCCCTCGGGTGTCTGGGATCCTGCAAAATCTTTCCCAAAGCCTGGTTGCATCGAACAGAGAATTCTCCATAGAATTTCCCAATAAAGATGACCACCAATTCAATATATTCTACATTCTGTCCCCCTGGCAATCTAGCTGGCATATCTGTTTACCAGAGCGATGGTGTGCTTCAAATTATTTGAACAAACTGAATGGGTGCTGACCTTTGTGCCTCAATAGTTGACACATCACATACGCTCATTGCTCGTGTTTTCAACAACAGCGGCTTATTCCAAGAACATATTTCAACCACACCACTTCCAAAGTTACGTATCATGTAAGATTTATATTAAATTATAAATTCTTTCCCTGTCTTACTCTGATTTCTGTGGGATCCAGCTCCATACACTCCAAGTCATCAATCTTGCCGCTCCAAATCTCAAGGGATGCTCTACAGACGCTCAAGGACACCTATAGTATTGGTGACGAGTTATGGAACTTGACTTCGACATTCGGGGACAAACCCATGAGTGCAGCTGTAGGTGAAGGAGGAATGAAAGTACAAAGTGGCGAGAATGGTATTCAAGGTGAGCACTCCCCAGAACTTTTTCACGCACCAAATGGCCTTACACAATATGTTAGATATCTCTTACAGACTCACATTTCCAACGCCACTGCCAGGGGGAGTTCACAGGTGGACTATGCGCCAAATGGCTGTTTTCCACCACCATGATCCTAACGACCTTCAAAATCTCTGGATCTTCTTTCATGTCCGTTCTGATACACCCATGCAGAAAGAAATTGAGAAATATGCCTCGCTTTCCCAGCAGGGGCTGCGCTCAGACCATGCGTGGTATGCACTTCATTCTGCGGCTTTCTCTTCTTATCTGGATAATTGGCGCTCCTATATGAACAGCTTAGGTCACAAAGTGGATAGACATGTCAGTATCTACTAATACTTACTCCTTAGAATTTCTGACCGTTATTTCAGACTGATGAATCCCTGGACTTCATTTTGAGAAATGTCGATCGCATTTTGACTGCTGGGGGTGCAACCAACTTGACGGATATTCACAACACACGCGACCTTTTAGTGCCTACCTCATACAGATTGAGGGTAATATTGGACACTCTCGCAAAATTAGGTGATTTGAGCAGTGTTCTGAGTTCACAGCATAACAGTGCAGACAACGGCTTTCAAAAACTTGTCACGTGTGTGGGATACCACAAAGATCGTCTAGAGGGGTGTGTTGTTGGGGTAGACGTGCTGAAGGAGAAGGTTAAGGACATATTAAACATGGTAAGCCAAAACATCCGGAATATAGTCACTAAATCCGCTGACCGGCATTCAAGTCTACATTAGGGTTGGATGTCAGGATGACTCACGAGATACTCGACCTCAACAACCGAATGGTTCAATTGAATGACCGCATGATTAGGGCCAACAAGGTGGTCGCTTTCCTGACGGTTATTTATTTACCCGCAAGCCTTGCATCGGTAGGAGTTCTACCTCAATGCCCCAAAATATAATTTGTTCTCACCACTTAATAGTCTATCTTCGGGATGAACTTGTTCAAGTTCGATGATGGGACAACTGAAGAATTCCAAGTATCTAGGAAAATCTGGATCTATGTTGTTGCAACATTTACCTTGGCAATTGTTACAATGGGCATGTCGCATCTATGGTCTCACAAAGAGCAGATACTAAGGCGTAGTTTGTGCTTCCCGAAGCTCAGAATATATCAGGAGACCAAGGAGATGTCGAGTGATACTTAACGAGTTACGTTTGGGTGAATATGTCGAAATCTTTCATTTGACCGGCTCAGTTGGACAGACGTTGATTTTCGGGGGAATTCGAATGGCAAAACGCTCTTGCCATGTGAGAACAGATAGACTGCATTGCTTTTATCAGAACTAGACATTCTTGCGTTTATAACTTCACATAGATGGCGGATGGGGTGTATCTAGAAGTGAAAGTTGGGAAAGGTCACGATTCATTGTCTCGGCCGAGTAGCTTGCCATGAATCGAAAAAAAGAGATCCAAGGACTCATCGTTCATTTTGAGAAAACTGAAATGGATGATGTGCATAGTTGCAGAGAACGCGAGTTGTAGCAGCTGGGTCCTATTAGCACATCGGCATCCTGGGCCACCATTCTATAGTCACAGTTTTGTTTTGAGCCGCCTAAGCGACAGTGATCGCCTCCACACTCCCGGCTGATATCGTAATAGAGTTAGTTAACTTTAGATTAATCTGACGGGTCTTACCAGTTTGGCCAGTTTGCCATCCCTTTCTAGAACATATAGATCCCTTCACGCCGCCGGTACTCTTGGCATCACACTATTCGCTATATCTAACATCGGTTACCTTCGTGATCTTATTAATAGCCTTGATGAAGCAAAATATATAATACAATATGTGACTTTCTGGTCTGACTTAGAAGCATAATATAGCTTCCGCTCTCTGCTCTCAAGAATCCCTAGATCTCTAATGATAAGACATGAGTTGTAGCGAAAGAAAATCTAGAGAAAACTGGTGTTACTAAAGTCATGAACAAATATAGGTAGGTATACATGAACTTTTCTAAGAAGCTTAAGTACTGGACAAAACATTCTACCACTACAAAGCTTTCTCCTGGAGATCGATGGTTAGTAGGGTTATAGAACAAAGAAAAGACCCGGACCTTTAGGACATACTAGGTCCATTCTTATTAAGCCATCGGCTAGTTCACAATTGAAAGCACCTAGTTGTATGTGATATGTCTTCATACTAAAAAGGGAGGTACTAATTAAGAGCTTAAAGGATAATTTTGATCTGGTCCGAAAATACGTCTAAAACTATACGCTGGGAGATAGGTATAACCACGATCTCTCGAGAACGCTATCTAGAAGCATATCAAAGTTACAAAGATAAGCTAAGACGAAGCCCTTTAGAGCATGAACGCACTCGAAACACAATGACGACGGATCTCAGCGAACTTTGGCTATCTAAGAGACCAGAGAGCAGGCACGTTCACTAACTAGAAGATGACCAAATTACCTTCAGAATTATTTCCTATGTACTCTCGAAATCGTGGATCCCAGAGGTCGGCAATATATATGAGGTTACTTTTTCAGGTAGTCAAGCGGTATGTAGATCGGCCATAATACGGGCACTAATAATTGGAATGGCAGTCGCACATAAGGGAGGGCCATCTATCAGATATATTTATAGGGAGTAAATCAAATGCTATCTCTTAGGTTTTTATTAGCGTTGGGCCGTTCGCTTACACCTTAACTCGCATTTTACAATGCTCTTGGACGTTCATACCTTTCTAGACGTTAGGATCTACTGCTATAATCTAAAGTCTATAGTGCTACATGTATTCGTAAGAAGCTCATCGAAAGGTTGCGGAACTTGATACACATTCTACTCTAAATCTTCCTCCGAGCTATCGAAAGAAACCGAAAGTTGCTTATCTCCTAAAGAATCAGAGTCATTATCCGTCAACTCGACTCCTTCGTTCTCCGAAGATTCCTCCGACGATTCCTCCGAAGATGAGTCTTTATCACCCTGAGATTCCCTAGAGACAAGTCTATCTTGGGTGAATTCGTGATCCTCTTTATTCCGAGTCAGTTGTGATGACTCCGGAGCGTTCCGAGACCTCTCCTCTGTAAGAACAACCTCTCTCCAAACGTCGCTTCCCCAGGAAGAAAAAGAATCACTATCGTCGTCCTGGCGAGCTCTTTTAATTCTATGCTTGTCTGAGAAGCTAGAAGACTCATCAGAACTGTCATCTCTTGCTCGTCTATACCCGGCTAGGCCGGAAGGCATAGAAGTGACCTGATTTTGAGGTTCATGGTCTGGTTAATTAGTAACTATGATTTCACTCCGTTCGCTCTTTTCTTACTTATTATTAATATATCACCGGTTGTGCTTGAAATTCTCCCAAAATGAGCACCACCTCCAGTGGTTGTTGTATTGTTAATTTCTTGTGATTGAGCTGTCAGTGAATTCTACCCACGTAAATGATTGCTTCTTACTTACCCAGTGAAGATTGATCTGCTATAGCAGATCCCGTGTTATGGCCCACCTGAAGTCCATAGTTTCCACCATCAAAGGAGGCGGATGCCATATCCAGACTACCACTCGTTATCTTGAGGGTACACGAAGGGGCTACTTGCCTCTTAGCTCAAAGCGGGGCCCTTGGACTCGTCGTCAGGTGATTTCACGGCCCCTTGAGATCCGCTAAGTCGACCACAGACTAGCGTGTTTTAGGATTGGGTTTAGGAAAGAGTACAAGAAAGTAGAATGGCGAAAAACATTTCGAGCACGTCTGTAAAAGCATAAGAAGTGACACTCAATCTCAGCTCACCCAAGCTCATCAGAGAGAAGCCTCTTCGTTCTTCCTTCGCATCGAAAAGTGAAGTACGTCTGAAGATATCTCATAACTGCCCTTGTAGCTCGCATTGTCTCGGCTTCAGTTGGCTCGGAAGCAAGGCGCGAATGGAGAGGGACATTTTGGATATCTAAACGGTTATTCACAATTTCATATGTGGCTTCACTAGCCGGGATCTTTCATATTTTCGCATCATCTTTTTCATAAGGCTGGAACAAACACTTTTTTCTGTTATCAAGAAAGTCAGGGTCTACGGCGTCAAACTCATTGACTAGGTAGAGGATGCGAGCTGTCTCTTCATCATGAGCCGCACAATTCTCCAACAGACATACTTATGAATATCCTACATAGAATTTAAATCTTGGATTGGGGTCTGTTGAAGTATTACAAGTTGAAGGAATACCTTGACACATCAGGTAAAGCCTTGCCTGGAACTGCTGTTTCAGGCAGACGTACCTATAGGAGGAATTTCTTGGTCTTTAGTATGAATCCTATTTTCTGCTGTTCATTCTAAACACCCGACATGTGACGTTCTAGGATCCGGGCGTTATCTCCCTTCCTTTTGAGTGGGCAATGTCGAGACGTGTGGAACTATGTCTGATGTAGATCTTCATACGGCTCAGCCTCACCGCTATGGGGCTGTGCACATGATCATCGAGCAATCTTTATAAGGAGAAAGTCCGCAGGAGAAATTCCGCATCTGTTCTGTACCGCCTTCTTGAGGTTTCTATAGCCATATTTATGCCTCCTGTATATGGCTCCGTGCTCGTGTAGTCATGGCTGAATTGTTCCATGCCGACTGCTCAGCGCCACCAGGGCGTTATATACCTGACAACGACATCAGCGGGGCGAGAATGAGTCAAGTGCTCCTCAAGAAGTGGTACTTTTTTATTCTGACCTCTTTTAGATTGTTATTAGCTATGTTTCGACCGCAGCCCTTGCTGTTCTTATCATAATCGTGTATTATCTCACCGTCTACGACCCTTCGATAGATCCATTCGATGCAGACGCAAACACAGCCCAGGAAGGTATTATGTGGGATCACCTTAACCCATTGGACGACTTTTTGCTAAAGTGGTTACGATCGGGCCGGCATATGTTTCAGAAAGTGTCCTGGGCTCCCGCAAAATTTTGTCACCACGTACTATGTCTTGGCTTGAGAGAGTGCTGATCAAGGTATGGTCTGCCCAAGACAAGCTACCAATTCTTGTCAGTTAGTGTCATCGTTCAATATATATTGTATAGCCCCTGGACTGATTCTTTCTGTTGCCGAATCTCGCTGACGCCCACACCTGGAACAGTGCCTTTTGATTATGAGTGACCTGCAGATTGTCACTGGCTTTGCAATCCTTCTCAGCGAATTTGCACAGCTTCAAAGTGGCCTGGCAGCCTTGAAATGGCGCACTATTCTTGACCTGGCATGGTTCTCCTGTCTGACACATCTTTCATGTCTAACAATGTTGCTTCGCGATGGGCATGCTTACGACATTACTAGCTGCTGGCCTACTACCTACGGCAAATCACAAATGGCTTTTTCTTTCTAAGAATACCAAAGCTAACCCCGCTATTTGCATCCTCGGCTGCTATCTGAAGCCTGGGCCGAACAAGGAATGGGCGGAATCCATGGTACTTAATGCTTCTGCGGACGACTGGATCCATCAGAATGGTTCTGGGCCCCGATAATATTCGCAAGCTTTGTCATAATGGCATTTCTCTTTCGGGTCGTAAGATTACATAGATCTCTCTCGTTGAGAGTCAACCGAGCTACTAAATGGCTTAATGCCCAGATGCAGAGACCTCTCTGGCTTCTTTTCAGAGCTCTCTGTAAGGAAGGAGAGATTTACAGCCTTAAACGTTCACTCGTATACTGGCCTGTTTTTGGTATCGTAATGATTTTGCGTTTCGTCGCGAACCGTTCCCAACGGACATGGTCGCGGCCACTGCCCCATCCATTGACGGTCGCTCCATAATACAGCCAACAATGCAAGACACGATCTATGTTGCGAAATCCGTGGAATCCCTCCATCTCCGCGAAAGCGCTCATTTGTCTCCAGGTTCTCACTTGCAATGGGGAAACAAATTGGTCTAGGTCATCTCCTACTAAAACACCGTTGATTGTGAACCATTCCGTGGCGGAGGTATCGCTTCTTTTCAAAACGCTCAAGTCAGCAGGCTACTACCAAACTTCCAGTGCCTATGGGGCTTCAGAACCTTGTGTTGTTTCGGACAAAGACATCGTGGTCGTAACTGGTCTTAATGTGGGTTTGTGCAGACTAAACTCCTCCGTTTTGTCTTGATGAAAGAAAGAGAAGTCGAGTGGGGTTTGCAGATTCAGAAATCCCCCTGACCTTGTTTTTGAGTCGACAAATTTCGGAGCCTACCGTAGAGTTGGTGATTGAAGGAGATGCGGTAAGGGGGGCCAAGAGACTAGTTCCGTTCCGAGATCTATATTGCTGTTGACCAAGGCTGACTACCTCCAAATGAGTGGGGATTTTATATCTACTCATGGGATTTCCGATACAAGTTTACAACCTCCCCCGAAGGCTGACCGCTAATTAGATGAGCTCTAACATATGAACCCCATCTACTCCTTTCACACTATTATATCGGGAGTGCCATATGATATTCTTCAGGCTTGCATTCTTTGGCATTTTGCCAATGTTTCATTTGCCACATCAAATAGCGGAGAAGCAGAGAACGGAGAATGGTTCCACTTGGCGATTAGGATCTTGTCATATTACACAGCATATACGATGGGTGCTATACAGGATCTCGATCCCTCACATTTCTCTTCAATGTCCAACGCCAATCAGATGTGATCTCTTGGGATGAGTCAAGTTTCGGGTCTTGATCGTGTGGATCTCAATTTCCACTATTTGATCTCGAGAGCAGTTGTCGGTTTACTTGTGTCACAGATGCTTTTCGAAGTACGAAACTACATGTACTCAGACAAGCTCTGAAGGAGTCAGGTACTAGATTTTGATCTCTTTTCGTAAAATAAATCAAAAACTTAAAAAAACTTAGATAATTATCAAGACTAGATGCTTTTTTAATTCCAATAACACATCAATTTCAGTGTCTCAGTCCATACATGAGAGGCTCGATTACCTTCAGCGCATCCTTTCTCTTTCTGAACATCTTATTTTTAGAAATGGCAAAGGTCAACCTAATCTACCTGTTATCTTGACCCTCAAACCAATTCCAAAGTCGATCAACGATAGCAATATCATCCGGCCCAAGCGGATTCCCTTCAAGGAAAAAATCACATCGAGTGCTGCGAAGCAAAACGAGTCCATCTCGGAGAGATTCCTGGTTCTAGACTACGAAGACTTTTTGCCACGTTAATACAGGGGTAAAAAGCTTATCCAGCCACACAAAAGTGCTCATCATCGCCTAGAGCTTATACACGTAAATCCGATAATCTTCAATGCAATCCACACCGTCACTTCCACTTTCACTTCCACCACCGGTCAATAGCAGACGGTCTATAATAAAAATGACCAGAATCAAGCTTCCAGTCGGATATTCGCTCGCAAGCCTCGAGTACACAGCCTCCGAGTCAAACCCGAAGCTTGCTTCAAGCACCTATCGCAATCCCTCGTAAGTGTCCATATCGCACGATTGCAAGAACTTGAAAAGTGATGTGTATAACCCGGCTGCTCGACCATAAAACCATGCCTACTGTTGCTCCTCGAGCCACTCCTAAAAAACCCAACCGACGTCATTGATAGACCGAAGTGATCGTTTCATATTCACTGCTATGTTGTTCTGCACTTCTTCCATATACTCGTGGGGATTCTTATTCACGTTCACAAGCATCTGCTTCGTTTCTAGTTGAGGGAGAAGGGCAGGTGGTGGTTTGCCCTTAGGCTTGTATATTATGTCGTGCTCCAAGCTTATCCATGCACGCAATCCTATACTTATCACTTGAATTTCGACCGGTCTCATGTCGCTGAGTTGTAGCCCTCGGTCATGAGCGTCTCCACTTTTCAGCAAGACATAAAGATGGGTCGCGACATAGCCTTGGTTCGTCTGTTGGCCTCCGTTGATCTCATCTTGCTTCGGGTGGTTAACCAACTTTTTTAACCATGAAGGCATCGTGCAATAGCTCGCTGGCTTTTGTTTGGTTAGATGGTATGTGCACCAAGATGCACACTCTCGCAAGATCAACGATGTCCTTGTTGATGTCCTCGATGGTTTGGTATGGAAATCCTCGCTTTCGCTCACGGTCTGCAAGTTTTTTTTTCAAGACTCGCTGGTTACTTGAGCCGGAACTCTGCGGCATGGGCTATTCCATGGTCGGAAAGGACCCGGTCGCATAGTTCCCTAACAGCGTTGAGGGCGTTATGGTAATAGATCAAGTTTTCCATCACATATCGTTGAACAAATGAGGAGGCCACTGACTCGTTTTTCCAGGCCATAAATGTTATGTCATGAGCCATCGTGTTGGGCTGCTGTTTTTTTAGGAGATCACACAAGATGAAGTTTGATTGGATAATTCAAAAAAAAATGAAGAGAGAGAGAGAGTTTGTGAGTCTTTGAAAACAGTCTGCAGATACTTGAATACTTGAGAATAAGTCAGATACTTATGAACAAGTTCTTCCATAGTATCAATATGGTCACCAGCACAGCGGCTCTGTTGCTGCCCATTTCCAACTAAGAAAAATCAGTATAAACAACCTTCTTTTTTTCAGTTTTATTTCTGCTTATCAATAGTGTGTAGAAGAGCAAGGGTAGACAAGTGAGTCGGTGAAGGAAAGTGATGAAGTTATTCGTTGACATCCTCCTATACATCCCCCAAAATACAACCACGTCACGTCAGTCAGCTACTATTTATCTGCACGTCAGCCTTGCAGTGTACCAAGTGGAAGAGATTGTGGCCCGAGGGGCTCAATCTTTTATGTTGATGGGCGGTTCATGCATGCGTATCTCAATTTTCTGCCCCGGTGCTAGATGTAGTCCCATTAGTCCAACGCAGCCATATCCTTGTTGATACCCGATATTCCAATCCCAATTTCCCGGGTAAAGCTCCCAATAAACCTTTGGTATAATGAAATACTTTGCTCCGCATAGGAATCCTTGAGACCCAAGGGCCTAGGCGTGGATATGTTGCCCTCTTACCCTTTTCACTTGATGCATACCATATGCTGGCGAACGATAGAGTATTCGAAGCTTGAAACTAGGGGGGGGAAAGTTGACTAAAGGCTTAATTGTATTAACTGCAGTGAATCAAATGTTGATTTGCCCTTCGGAGGTTGGAAGGTTGAAAAAGCGAAATGGGTGAATTGAAGATCATTGATGCTTGAAGAATAGACTTAGACTTATGATGTCAATGAAGACTGCTTCTTCCATCAATTGGCCCAAGTGGCCGAGCAGTTTCCTGGTCTAGCGGTTATGATTTTCCGTTAACAAATGCGATTCGCATGTGTTCCGGAAAGGTTCTGGGTTCGATTCCCAGGGAAACTATTTTTTTGTATTTTTCCTCTATTGGAATGTTAGCAGAGGTACTTGTACTTTCCTTTTATTGGATTTCGTATCAAATATGGAAAGTTGGCCGATTGAAGTCTTTTTCTTTTTTTTCTACTTCTTTTGATCTCGAGTGCAGATGAACCATGCAGACCACGCAGACCTCTACGTAGATAACCTTTTCCTCCAAAGAAATAATCACATGTATTTTCTGTTTTCTAGTATATATTGCCCAACCTAGTTAGGTATATCAAAATATATATAACGTATATTGCACACGGATATGTCAAAACCGCACAAATAAATATATACTACATATATCGGGATGAAATGAGATCGTACAAAGATGCTAACATCACTGGTAGTAGAATTTTAAAGATGTCTAATTAACCTGGAATAGAAATCATATTTACGGACTTCATTTCTACCCCCGTAAATAACCCCTCAATTGGTGAATTTGTAAGGGAAAGAGAGTTGATGATAACATCGGGTTCGATCGGTTGAGAGTGCTGCCCGAATTGAAATATTTCCAAGGTTGCGATGCAACATGATGCATGCCGTATGCAGAGAAAAGCGTAAGCCATATCAAACTGCATCGATAGTGCCAATCTTGCCTCTGTTGGGGATCAGTATTCTTGGCGAGCCGGGGTGCTGAATTAGGGTTAGCATTGATCCCCAAATTCTAGGCTATCTACTGAGAATTAACCGATCTAGGCCGTGGAGAAATACATCCATAAAGCACAGTCTGAAAGAAGGGAATCAATTGATATATTTTGTTTAAATCTATCCAATAACGGACAATTTACTCCAAGCGCAGCTTCTCAAACTCCTTAACCTGCTCTTCGAGACGGGCAGCCTCGCCCTCGGCATCACGCAGACGCTTCTCCTCCTGCTCACGGACCTCAGCCTTGACCTTCTCCTTCCAGCCAGGGCCGTTGATGATACCCTGTGACCTGCGGACAGTCTCACGGGCCTTGTTGAGACTAGCCTTAGCCTTCTCCTCCTGCTCCAGGGCAACTTCCTTGGAGACGCGAAGGTAGACAGCAGCCTCGGAACCGACAGCAGCCACCACACAGCCAGAAGGAGGGTTCTTGTTCTCCGGGCCGAGGTGGGAGAGCTCGCCGAGGGTCTTACCACCCAGAGACTTGATGGTGGTCATCTCCTCGGAGACGGTCTTTTGGCTAGTAGCATCGTAGGTCTGGATAATGATGTCACCCTGAGTCTTGACGTCGTACTGGGACAGAATCGAACGGATGGCCTTGGAAGTGTTAAGGATGAGCTCGTAGGCCTCAGCAGCGGCGGGGTCGTCGAACTCGGCGAGGTACTCGGGGTACTTGGCCTTCATGATCGAGATGGTCTCATCGCCCGCGCGGCGGGGCAGACGCTGCCACAAGTGCTCGGTGACGAACGGCATGATGGGGTGGATCAGGGTCAGGGCACCCTCGAGGGCTGTGTAGAGGGTCTGCTTGGCAGACTCCTTGGTCTCGGCTGAGGTCTCGTCTGCCAGCAGGAACTTGGAGTTCTCGAGGAACACATCGCACAGCTGGGAGTACCAGTACTGGTAGGAGATCTGGGCGGAGTTGGAGAAATCACGCTGCTCAAGAACCTCGTTCATCTCCTTAGCGGCGGTGTTGAACTTGTGCAGAATCCAGCGCTCAGAGAGAGATTCATTGCCAGTCTTCTTAACACCAGCCTGGGGCTTGAAGTCATCGCCCAGCTTGCCGAGGACGAACTTGGTGGCTTGGTAGATCTTGTTACAGAACTTACGGTAGCCGTGAATGACCTGGATATCGAAAGCGATGTCACCTCCTGCAAAAATCATTATTAGTAAACAGAATCAAATGGGGACATAGGGTGAAACACACCGCCAGTGGTGTAAGAGACGAGGGCGAAGCGAAGCGCATCGGCACCACACTCGGGGATACCCTTGGGGAAGGCCTTCTTCTGGTATCTGGTAGCAGCGGCAATCTCCTTATCGGCGATGTTGCCCAACTGCAGCTTGTCGTGAAGACTCTGCAGCTGAATACCCTCCATAACATCCAGAGGATCGATAACGTTGCCCAGAGACTTGGACATCTTGCGACCATCGGAATCTCTGATCAGGGAGTGACAGTAGACCTCGCGGAAAGGAATCTGGCCAGTCATCTTGATACCAAGCATGATCATACGGGCAACCCAGAAGAAGAGAATATCCCAACCGGTCTCCAGAACGGAGGTGGGGTAAAGGTTCTCGAAGTCGTGGGTTTTGGTGGGCCAGCCCAGAGTAGAGAAGGGCCACAGGCCAGAAGAGAACCAAGTGTCGAGAACATCGGGATCACGGACGAGAGAGAACTTCTTGCCGGGGAACTTCTCCTCGGCCTTCTTGCGAGCATCTTCCTCGGTACGGCCAGTGACCCAGAGATTACCGTCACTGTCATCGCCATCCTCGCCTTCGATCTTGACGAAGTAAGCAGGAGCCTGGTGTCCCCACCAAAGCTGACGGGACAGACACCAATCATTGAGGTTGCGCATCCAGCGGAAGTAGCTCTTCTCGGCGGACTCGGGGCGGATAATGATATCGCCATTCTCAACGGCATCAATGGCAGGCTGAACCAGGCTTTCCATCTTCATCCACCATTGGGGCTTCATGATAGGCTCAATGACATCGTTGGATTTGGCGCAACGAGGCACCTTCATGGGGTTGTGCTCCCACTTCACGTACAGACCCTTCTCCTTAAGATTCTCGATGACCTTGTAACGGGCATCGAAGCGCTTCATGCCAGCGAAGGGACCAGCGTGCTTGTTGAAGGTACCATCGTCATTCATGACAGAGATGAACTCCAGGTTGTGGGCCTTACCACGGTTGAAATCGTTAAAGTCGTGGGCAGGGGTGATCTTGACGGCACCAGTACCGAATTCGGGCTCGACCTCGGGGTCAGCAACGATAGGGAGCAGACGGTCCAAGAATGGATGGCGAGCGCTCTTGCCGATCAGGTGCTGGTAGCGCTTGTCGTCGGGGTGGACGGCAATACCAGTATCACCGACCATGGTCTCGGGACGAGTGGTAGCAATCTCGATGCGCTCGGTGGTTCCATCAATCTCGTAGCAGAAGTGAGTCAGGACACCGAACTCGACTTTCTTGTCGTAGCCAGGGACATCGAGAAGCGTGCGGCCCTCGATCTCCTTGTTCTCGACCTCGAGGTTGGACAGAGAGGTGTTCAGAGCCACACACCAGTTGACCAAGCGGTTGGCACGGTAGATAATACCCTCCTCGTGGAGGCGAACGAAGGTCTCGGTCACAGCAGCTGACAGGTTGGGGTCCATGGTGAAGGCCTCACGGCTCCAGTCGAACGAACCACCAAGTCGGCGCAGGGCGTTCTTGATGTTCTTGTGGTATTCATCCTTCCAATCCCAGATCAAGTTGACCATGGCCTCTCGGCCAATGTCGTGGCGGGTCTTCTTCTCCTTCTTCCACAACATCTTCTCGACGACGCTCTGGGTCGAGATACCGGCGTGGTCCATTCCAGGAAGCCACAGGGTAGTCTTACCCTTCATTCTTTGCCACCGGATCATGGTATCCTGGAGGGCGTTGGTGAGGGCATGACCCATGTGAAGAGAACCGGTAACATTGGGAGGAGGAATGGGGATGACGAAGGAGCCTTCCGGCTTAACCTTGCCATCAGGTCCGAACTCGGGCTTGAAGAGATCACGCTCCTCCCACCATTCGAGACGCCCGGCCTCAATGGCAATGGGATCGTAGGCATCGGCGGTCTTGTCCTTCTCGGGTTTCGCCTTCTTCTCGACCTTGGGAGCTGCGGCCTTGCTGGCGGCAGCCAAGGCCTTGGCCGCCTTCTTCTCTTCGAACTTCTTGTTCTTTTCGGCCTTCTTGCGCTCCTTCTCCACTAGAAATAACCCATGGTGTCAGCATATGTTCAGGGTATAGTGACTTCGAGGAAAGGTCCCAATATAGATTTTGGTGGCAACATACACTCCTTCTCGGTCTTCACCTTGGGAGCACCGGCAGGTTCGCCCTGTTGACCTTGGGTATCCTTTGTAGCATCGGCGATCTGGGGGGTTGCGCTGGTCACGGGAGCCGTAGGCTCACCCGCTGTTCACTGTAAGCTTCTGCGACATCTGACAATGAGTCATGGAAACTCACTGGGGATTTGGGCAGAGTTTTGAGCCATCCTTGAGAATGCACGATATTGAGGAGTAAATCTCCAAGGCGCCGATCGCGCCACGAATCGCCGGATAAGTATCTTGAGAGATGGAGAGGTATAAGGAGGGGTGGTTGTGCGAAATGCGGGCAATTAAATTTCCCACGCTGAATGAACGAATGAGAGCGCGGGGCTCGGTGGGAGGTTCGGTGGAGTCGGCGGGCAGGTCAATGAGGCGCGTTTATATGAGTCAACGCTCATCGGGTATCATTTGGTATATTGTATTCTTTTCTTTTCGCGCGTTCCTTGCTTGCAATCCGTCTCTTCTTTTATTTGTTCGGCCAGAAAGACACGATAACCCTCACGTGATACGCTGGAGCCAACGGGTGATCTGAGGCTACCCGTGTACCTCTATAAGAACAAGGAAGATTGTGATAAAGTGACTTATTTTCACTAAATTGCACATTGGTTCATACTTGATATCGGGTTTCTAGTTTGATCTCGAGTCTACTATACTATATCATTCTATACATATACATGAGTCAAGACATATATGTGTGCGCGTCATATATAAATCCCTACCTAAGATGTCCAACCAATCCATACAATCCATCCAATTTTAGGGGTTGTTGATTTTTTTTCTTTGAAATCTCATCCAATGGTTCATTCATAAAAAGGGAAGCGTTAAGAAAATGCAATGGGTTGTCTTAGGAAAAGGCATCCCTTGAAACACGAAGCACCCGGTAGAAAGGCCAAAACACCAATTCAACTAACAAGGGAGAAATCAATTAAGGAAACCCACGAGCAGCGCTATACAAATAGGAAAAGATGAAAAAGAAGAGTGATTTCCCCATCTAAGACGTTGGTTTATCACGCTCATTGACATGCCAAACGACCTAGGCGATAAAAGGCTTGGAAGGAACCCAGCAAATTAAATGTCATGATGTCTTGTCATCAAAGTCGTCTTCATTCAGGATTTGATCGTTTGCCGCAGCCCATCATTCGAGAAAGGCTAGTAAAAAAAAAAGAGGAACAGGGAGTACGGAGACCAAGCTCATTTCATGTTTTCGATCATCGTTGTACCGTTCATATCGGCAAATTTCAAATGCAAAAGGTACGTAATTGTCGTGATGCCCCGACGCAATCTTGATGGCAACACGCGGAGAACTTGGAAACCGGCCATCGCAGTAAGGAGATCAGAGCCATGATCATCAACAGTTTATGCGAGAGGAATTCAGGGAAGTGTCACATTGTTGTGGCTAAGGGCCGCGGCATCGGCACGCACCGGGTCAAAGTATGCGTGTGCCATGGCCTCCTGAGCAGTCAAGCGGTCCTTTCAGATAAGTCAGCATGGGCACCTTATAATAAGTTATATTAGAACAACTTACAGCGTGGTCGTAGCGCAGAAGCTTGTCAAGGAAATCAATGGCCTCGTCACTGATGAAACGCTGGTTCTCTGCGTTGACAAACGAGTGCCACGGCTTCCGGGGGAAACGGGAGAGGATGTCGTCGTATTGTGGATCCAGCTCAATGTCGTACTTGTCCAAGTACTCAAAGAGCTCCTCAGTACCAAGAACCTTGGCGATCTTGACCAACTGGTCCGTGTTGCTGCCCCCGTGGAAGAAAGGCTCCTTACGGAAGATCATGGATGCAAACATAGCACCCAGGGACCACATATCCAAAGAATAGTCGTATTCCTGGAAATCAACGAGCAGCTCGGGGCCCTTGAAATAACGAGATGCAACACGGACGTTGTATTCCGTGCCCTTGTGGTAGAATTCGGCCAGACCCCAATCGATCAGACGAAGCTATAATAAGTCAGGAACATGGTTTTCTGCCACAACTAATTGATAAGCCCACTAACCTTGCGCTTCTCATGATCAATCATGACATTGTGGGGCTTCACATCCCGATGCATGATGCCCTTGCTGTGGCAGAAGTCCAGCGCCTTAAGCAGCTCGAAAACGTAGAAGCGAACGTCGTAATCGGAAAAGCGGGGGTACAGTGTGCGGAAGTCGGTGTTGTTGATAGCCTCGAAGACCAGACTAGGAGTCTTGCTCTGGTTGTCGCGAACAACGTCCAGCAAAGCTACGACATTGGGCCCACCCGCGAGATTCTGCAGAATCTTGATCTCACGCTTGATCTTCTTTTTCTTGACAGGCTTGAGGACCTTGATAACGCATTTCTGGTAGTTGACAACGTTGATGCCCTCGAAAACCTCGGAGTACTTTCCCCGACCTGAAGTTAATAGTCAGAAAGTTTGTTCTTAATTTTTATCTGCAGTTCACAGCTTGCGGCAACTAGCTCCGACATGCTGTACTAGGACAGGGTTTGATCATCGCTCACCTATCTTGCGAACGATTTCATAATTTTCAAGAACACCCCAAGAGATGTTGACACTGTCATAATCCCAGTAGGACCGAGGCATATGCTCGTTGACATCGGCATAGACACGCGCCATCTTGACGATGACAGGCGGTTTCCGAGTGCGCCCACAATTGAGAGATGAGCGGCGGGGTCACGAGGGGCTTGGCCGTGTGACGGAGGGAGGTGCCGGGGGTTAGATTGACGTAGGAGACAGGTAGCAACGGGCCCAGCGACTATTCAGCCCAAACTTAGTGCTCACAAGAGGCCTCGAGCAATGGGATGGACGAAGTGAGATATTGTCGTGATATGATTAGTAGAATGAGATCCGTTCCGCCCAAGGTCACGGGAACAGAGAGGGTTGTGGGGACCCCACCGAAAGAAGTTAGCGCAATAACGGATATTCCGTTAATCCGATAGATTTTCTGATTGCCTTTTTGGGACAGTTCAATGTGACCAAGAGCGTTGAGCAGTTAAGCAATAACTCCCACGGGCAGGGCTGGCCTTCTTTTAAATCCATCATGTTTTACGACCTGAATGTACCTTACAGCCCCGATGACCCGGAGGTGCCCCACACTTTGAATTTCCTTGCCGAACGTAAGTCATTCATTCCGCTCTGCGGCACAAGATCCGCAGTTTAGAGCACATGAGAGACTGACCTGACTTTATAGTTGGTTACACTACTGTTGCCCTGTCTCAAACAATCAACGGGAAGCTTCCTCCGACCATCGCCCCTCCTCCTCTACCAACGAACGCGCCGAAATCCCTCCAACTGCTGACCCGGTTGAACCTGACTCTGGCCGACCCCGCGCAGAATCAGCGCCTAACCGCCCTGACTCAAGCGTACGACATCGTTGCTCTCCGGCCCACAAATGAAAAGTCGCTTCTAAATGCTTGCACTAACTTGGAATGCGACGTGATCTCCGTGGATCTCTCGGTGCGACTTCCATATCACTTCAAATTCAAAATGCTGTCCGCGGCAATATCACGTGGAGTCCGTATCGAGATCTGCTATGGGCCAGGGATCACGGGGAGTGGGCTTGATGCCCGAAGAAACCTCATTGGGAATGCAACATCCTTGATCCGCGCGACACGAGGTCGAGGCATTATTGTGTCCAGTGAAGCGAGACGAGCTTTGAGTCTACGAGCCCCGTGGGACGTGATCAATCTTGCCTGTGTCTGGGGTCTATCACAAGGGCGTGGAAAGGAAGCTGTCTGCGAAGAGTCGCGGAAGGTGACCGCATTGGCCAAGTTGAAGCGAACCAGTTGGCGAGGCATCGTGGATATCGTCCACGGTGGAGAGAAAGCCAAAACTGAAGAACCCACGCCAAAGCAAAAGGGTGTCCCAAAAGCTAGCGCCCTAAAAGCCAAAGAAACCGCGCAGCCAGAAAATGGAGCGGACAATCTCAAGAGGAAGGCATCTATCAGTTCTGAGCCTGTCGCCGAGGACGCCGACAAGCCTTTGTCCAAGCGAGAAATCAAAAGACGAGCCAAGAAAGCACGATTCGACGCAAAAGGAGAGAATGCCACTTGATTTAAACTTGCTACGGCATTTTTAAATTTGAGGGCGTCCGCTCCTCTGTCACTGGTAGAAGCCAGGGATATTGATATTCTCTGGCTTTCTATTAGCGAGTGAGTATCATAAGCTGTGAGCCAAACTGGGCGAAACACTTCCTGGTGTTTCCAATGGGGACTCTTTTGAGCAACCGCTGTGACCCCAATCGCCACCCAATACACTATGATGATGTACGCGCCGCTGAAGAGCAGAACGATATGCTACCCTTCACTTTCAAACGTGAAATATAGCTATCATCATAATGGTGCCGTTACTACGGTCCGGGACTTGTTTACATTACATTTTCCAAGCATAGCATAGTTGGAATGGGTATCTGGATGGATTTCAGTACCCCCTACTAGGTCATCAATACACTTACTTTAAGTTGTTTGCTAGTCGATTCTAATAAAAAAACCCTCGGTTCTAACTGCTATTGACGAGTATGATACGGCGCTTGGGCTGATATAATAATCCTCACTCACAATTGAGCCGTGGTAGCCTATAGGACTTGTACTTGGTGATCTATTCTTAACCTTGGACTGCGCTTTCTATAGACATTTTGTAGGCGGAAATTTGTATATATAGACCGGAATTAAGTCTGTTCTCGAGTATCCTGATGCCTATTGACTGGGTGTTCTAGTGGTTTTAGGGCTTACGAATGGATGGGGATGGATACATAATGCAACACAACACGTCTGTTATTGAGCTATCAACAAAATTGCCGCAGAGGGCAAGCCATCCTGCAGCAAGCTGTCAAAATCCTTGAGGCTGCTGGCCTTAAGACACTCTCAGTTGGTACAATTTAGTACACGGGCGAGACATGACTCGAAGTTCGATGATAGGCTTGTAAGAGTGCATGATGCCAATGAGCTTCAGTACATGCAGGTCTTGTAGTTCGGGGGTCACGGGCCCTTTCACCTGAAAATTGACGTTGAATGCGCAATTTCACATCCCATTCCTTGAGTTTAGTCCACATTGATGTTCCGCGAGTAGAAATACAGCATACGGAGATAATGCTTAAGCCAATTCCAGACCTTCAAGGGACTTGGAAAGCGGTTGCAGGGGTTTCGATGTTTGTGAGCGTAACAGAGAAGCCGAGACAATTTGCATGTTGATGGATTAATCGCGATCAATAAATAACATGATTCAGACAGAAATCTCGGAGTCCTGTTGCAAAGTTGGCAGATTTTGTGCTTTGTGTGTCGCACCATCCCCAAAAGGGCTGGTTTTGTTTTTACATCCGTAATTCTGTCCGCAAGAAGGCAGGTTCAACTTCCACGTTTTGACCATAGAGTCGATGGAAGTAGGACTGAGATCTCCAAAAGAGACGGCGACAAAGGGGGTGTAAGGCTCGTATGGACGCGAAAGTACACTGACTGAGTAAGATACCCTGTGTTCGGTTAGTCTGTGAAGGATAAGACCGAGGCATGTTGCATCGCACACGGGGCCACAACAAGACGTTCGGCTGTTTAACAGTATTTCAATCCGTTCTCCGGTCATCGCCTGGAGTAGTTCCATATGTTGTTGTCTGACCTCATCAATTTTGTCTGGAACCGCATGGTCAGTTATTTGCTGCATCAATCTCAAAATTGATCAATCAAATGTTCTATTTTGCCAACACACCTTTGATACTTTTTGGAATCGGTAGATTGCCTGCCTCAAAGGGACCTGTTCCTTGCTGCATGGCAATTTCTTCTGTATTTTGAAGAATACTGTTGGACTTGAAGACCCAGGCGATCATCATCCACCTTTTTGTATCTTCTGAGAATTTGGACGAAAAAAGCGGCTCGAGATCTTTTATCCAGATACCAGCAAACATCTCGATGGCCTCGTGGCATTGAAAAAAATCGGTGGCCACGGCAATATCAGTCAATTTTTGTAGGGACAACTTCTGGGGAACTTGTCGTGAACGTCCATGAATGAGGTTCAGAATGATCAGAAGGATAGCTGGTTTGAAGTCGTGGACGGGAATCTCAGCAAACCCCTTGGTTGAAAGAGCATCCCCTTCAGCCCAACAATTTTTTAGCATCCGCTTGAAATAACCCGACGCAAGTGTGAGGTGCTTCGATGAGACTTGAAATCGAGCGTAATTTCCTGGCACATTGCCTTTGTTGATATCAATCAAGGAAGCTTCTGGTGTGAAGAGAATGATATCTCCATCTGGATCAACTTGGTAGGGCGGATACATGTCAGTCGCCATCGACGCAGTCAATGTGGGTTTATGGTCCTGGTTCCGGTCCTCCGAAGCCTTGGATATGGACAGTATTGACTTGAAATTAGGAAGAACGAAGAGAATAAAAAGCAAGAGCAATGAAATTAGCATTTTATCTCGTTTCAGGGAATGATGGCCATGTAAACAAAATCGAGCCCGGGAGGGACCAGTAGATCTGTTGGCACAAAAAATACACCAGTTGTCCTTACTAAGGAGGTGTGCACCTTTGTGGCTTAGTGGTAAAGTTGTGGTGCAAATAACCCCGACAAGATCAACGTTTTATTCCAAATTGACCGCTTTCCCCATGGCTTCATATCTGACCATGTTTGACTGATGTTCTTAGAGACCTGATCCGTGGATGTTTCGATCTCGGATCAGCAAGCTTTAAATTATGATAATTGGACGACGGCTATCTCTCCTTTCAACGATTGGATACCAGAAGTGAGAGATATCTGATTCGAAAGCAAGAGAATATAAACCATGGTCTTGAAGTCCGATAAAGAAGCAGCATCATAGAAATATATAGAGGGTTTGCCCTCTGCATGAATAGCTTCTTTGTTTAAGCCTATACTTGGCTAACCATTTCCCTTCAATATACTTAGTTTGAACTTCTATACATGCCACCGTCTCTCTGAGAATCTGTTAAATCTGTCGGATGCTAAGTCGAGTGAGTACATGGTGGAGACAGGGTATTGTAATCCAGAAACATCATGTGGCACAAAAGTACATAATACAGTTAGTTATCGATGTCTTGTTGGCATAACTTAGCGGCATACCATACATTGTTCGTACTCCAGATTTCTATCAACACTTAATTCCTCTATATTATTTATAGAGAAGATAAAGAGGCGAATTAAAGATCGAATATAAATCCGCTCTCAGTCGTTGCACCTCTCCAACCTCATATATATACCTCAGCAAGGCCTCATCCCTAGGATAATATACTACACCTGCCAGAGCGGCACCTGGAACCAATATCTCTTTTTATACCCACCAATTGAAGGTAAACACGACAGGTGCTCTGGTTTATGGTTTGTTAGATCTTGATTTCTAGCACCTTCACCTTTCATTTAGAAAGGGCAGATGATATATGAGGTCTAATTGACTTAAGTGTGTAGGTATAGGTAAACTGGTGTTACAAATGGCGGAAGCACGGGATGTGACACTCGAGACATTTAGCTCGTTTGATTCCACTGTTGTCGACACCTCCTTCCAAATTCTCTCACGTTTTTCTCACATCCCAAGGATAAGTCATCGCCTTTGTCTTCATTGTTCCTCAGCTCCATCTCCAGAATGAAAGACCCCACCGCATTCAGATGACCCGAATGACTAAGGTGTCAAACCAGATAACCGTCACAAACGACCCTCTTATAATACCATTCGAAGATTTATTCCTCTGCCCACCATCTATACCCCATTCAAAATCAAAATAGAAGTCATCACTACCCGTGGCCTTATTCCCATGGCATTCAAACTAGACAGACTGGGTGGGGCTCCAGAAGACCCTCATGGCTACCTTGCAAAACAAGAGCAAAATTGCAGCGAGATATAGATATATGGCTTGACCTGGGGAGGGGTAACACCAATATCGCCATAGCCGTCAAAGGAAACCGGATACGACCAACTATCATCATGGATAAGTACGAATGGGACTGAGCTAATGGACAGTCCCAAAGTTCCCAGCACATCGAGATTCGGGAAAGCAACGCAGGCGATGAAGTCGGAGTCTCTGGAGCTTCACTAACTATCCCCTTTGACCTCTTATTCCCATGGGATCCAGAATCTCCCAGAGAAACCGATATAACTAAAGGAGTGGCCTGTGGGCAATCGACTTGTCGTCAAGTCATCTGGTCGACGCAGATGGAGACATAAAATTCTTCATACACCATGTGCTGTCTTATCAGCAGCACCACAGGCTCCATTGGGGAATATTCTGGTCGCTTTCGAGTCTGCTCCAGACGTTTCAAGCTTGCTTAAGTGATCCTAGACAGGATCGACTTTTCCAGACAACAACATATGGGCAGATTCCAATTGGTGATTGGAGCTTGCATCTCAGGCCTCATGACCGGCCCATCCTCCAACAACACGCCCTCTTGCTGCTCAGAGTGCGACGCGGTATATCTGGCCTTTATCTTACGAACATTGACCGAGATGAGAATAGCGTACTGGGCTGGTGTACTTTCACCTCCATTTGGACCCGGATTCCCCTTGGTAACCATCCCCTTTGGAAGTCATAGTCCTGTCTTTATCAACTCAATGGTCAATGAGTGGAAACCAAAATTTGTCCATGGGCCATGTGGAAACCGAGATATGCCCTTCGGAGGATGCAAGTCAACAAGCACTGAGCCTGCCTGTTGTCTAGCTCTGGCATTCTGTTTTGAATAAATTGTTTTAGATCAGACTGCAAAGAAGTGATATGTTTTACTAGGGAAAGGAGTATAGCTGGAGGCTTTGTGACTTGTTACGAATTCTCAACTGTCACGGTTTTTCGCGATTTGAACAACCATCAGATTCCCACCAGAATGTCATATTTTCCTGTCTAGTGGGAGAAAGATCAGTCGGTCTGTCTGGCGTAGATATTAAGTATTTAGTTAGTGGGTCATTAGTGGCCTCGTAGAAGAATTTGTGGCCCCTAGAAGGTCAAGTGCATAGGTATCTAGCAGGGTATTTACACCGTTAGTGCTTTTCCCCTAGACAGCCACTGGCCAACTATAACTATATATAGGTATGTGCTATCTAGTAAAGAAATCGATCCTACTTCGCTTTTTCCTTCTTGGGGCCAAGGTACCTACGCTTAATGGTTTCTCTATTGATCATGCCAATCTATCAACTTCTGTTAAAGCATCCTTGCTTCCCATTTTATGAAAATTGCCTAGTAGAACCGATTTTGTTGTCTGTTGAAGTTTCGAATACCAAGTTGCTCATTGCCTCTATGTGTTGTATTTACACAATAACATTTAGATGCTATCATGAATTGCCGCTGAATATTGCCCGAACTACAAGTTTGCACTAAACAGCTACCTTAGATAGATACTCTTATTTATGTTGGCCATCTAAGTCGTGATACAAACTCTCTGAAGAGGTGGTATTTACTAAAAATATCGTAGAAATGACTACCCTTTACGCGGCAGGTGGCTCCGGGGGTAGAGCTTCATACGTGCTAGGGGCTTTTCCTGGTCCTATCGGGGTAAATGGCAAGCTACCTAGCAGTTCTTGGCCGTGCCATCCTTGCTGTATCTGACTCCGTTATGACGCTAAAATCCTACAAGCTTGCGCATACCCGTCTTCCCAGATTGGGCACGACTGCATTAAAGATGCGACTTGATGTTACATCTACATGCACACTTTAAACGATTTAACTCCAAATCAAATTAGTTGGTGACCCGCACCAACTAGTATAACGTATGATATTAACATTTTAATAACACGAAGGCTAAATATCCGAGATAAGAAAAGAGGGGAAAAACGCCGCATCGTAGTAGACAACACATAGTCCATCGGCTAAAACATCAAATTCCTTGTCAGGTTATGACCTCCGTTCTCATTTCGAATCTCCGAGAATTGTTGCCATCTGCCAGTTTGCTAGCACATCATGCAAGATGAATAATTGTTGCATACTCTGACTTTTCCCCTCGATTTCCTTCCTATCACTTGTTTGTCCAAACTAAAGACAAAGAAAAAAAGTCTTCCAAAAAAAGGAAATAGAAAATAGAAAGCCATGTCGTACGTCCGTATCATCGACCTCAGTTCTCTCCTAGACCCCCACTAGGGTCTCCAACTCCAAGTATACATGCATGAGTGCGTCATTCTTCCAAATAGGCGTCATAGGCGGAATAAACCCGCCAATCTCGGGTATGCTCGGAATTCAGATGCACGATTGGGTTCATCTACAAACAAATGCATCCTTTAGACACGAACCAGGTCATCATTTCCAGCACGTATCCCTTTCGGACCCGTCAATTAGCCGCATCGATGCGGCGGTAGAGTCATATTTGGGTGGAGTCGGTGGTGTGCTTAGGACTTGGGCAATGAAACTGATCTGGGTGGTCGAGTTTTCCGATCCAATCGCCCACGTAGATTACGGTTTGATCAAATCGTTCGTGGGCACTATTTGAGTCGTCATGTTTGTGTTGGCCGACTGTCCTCAAATTTGGATAGGGAAGATAGCATATATTTGACTTACCTTGATGCCGGCTCTGTAGAAGTATTGTTAGAGCTTGTTGTAGGAGTCGAGGAGCTTGCAGCGGGAGCGGTTGGACTACCCGTGGTGGTGGATGTTTGTTGGGGCGAAGACTGACTTGAAGAAGCCATTGTTGCGTGTGATATTGATATGTCTTGCACAAGGCAAGCTTACTTCCACCTGGAGTGGGCTCACAGTATTAGGCACAAGTAGGCTGTTTAGAATATCAGAAGAAGGATAGAGCGCGCCGCTCTCAGGGCGGGAACCATAGTAGCTTTATATCCATGTATTTCCTATAGAATGAACCAACACAACACCAAGTATTAAATGCCACCGAGTTGATGTCTTCAAACACCGGTGTGTGAACTTCATCGAATTCTATACTGCAATCACTGGATTAGGTATCAATCCCGGATCCGACAGACCAATAGCTACTACCGCTGTTAATTTGTGCGTGTCACTGAGGAGGGTTCGAGTATGTGAATCATTGGCCAGCGTTTAGTATGTGCAGGTAATATCGGCCCAGTGTATTATTTTGGAGTCCTTGGAGCCTCATTTGGGCCAAATACGGCCAAATTATGGGAAATAATTGCGGTTGCCTTGCGGCTAGCGTGCGAACCATATATTCCGGAAGATCCTGTCTTTTTATATCGTCTCAGATCCTTTAGATCTACCCGTCCTAACCGGTCAAGTACCCCAGGGCTGCAGAGTACATGCTTGTACATCCAACACAATGAATTTATGCTTCCCAGACCGACATTGTTATATTAAGGATCGAATCAAAATCAATCCCATAGCTAAATGTATGCATATAAACGGTGAAAGAAACATCCACATGCTAATTCGAATTCCCCGCACTTACTAAATAACTAGTCCATCTAATTGTCCCATCTGTTTATGTATATCGGGGTCTCAATAGAAAGGTTTCCGTACACTCCTCAGCACGGACTGCACTGCAAGGATATTGGAGTCAACTTTAAAGCAGTTCTCGTTTCTGTGGACCACTTTTAGTTTAGTCGTAAGAAACTGGCCGATTCTCATCGCGCTTGGACACGGAGTTAAGCGACAACATACCTTACAGAGCTTGAAATTTGATATGGACCAAAATAACCAAAGTAGTAATACAACCAGTCATTTATGTTATTCTCCGAGTAACTTTCTTTATAAAAATGAATATATGGAAAAAAAATCCCATACTTCCCCGGTCTTGGCCGCTTATCTTATCACCGGAGGACGCCGACATCTCCGCATTAGCTTCAACCACATCCAATCCAATTTCTCTTCCTTTTTCCCGCTTTCTCTTATACAAGTGTAGACCTGCACGCTATAACGTGGCGGCTTCAAAGCGATTGACCAACACATCCATATCCACATCCAAGCACATCTCACACCTAAGAGTCCACCATGGTGCCGATCCTCTCAACAAACCCGACAGTCATGCTCACCCCAGAGGTTCTTACACCGGCGAACTTCGCACAATTTGGTACAGCAGTGGTCTCCCCATTACCAAGAGAACTAAATATCGCCCCTCAACCGTCATCCCTACCGCCACACGACCCAACCCCGGTCCTAGCGAACCAAAACTCCGCTCTCAAGTACAGTTCCATCTCCCCGCTCCTCGACCGCTACACCAATGCCTGCCCAAGCGGGCAGGCTTCCGAGGCACGCATGACCATGTTCTGCTGTTTTCCACGCACTTTGCGCACTGTCAGCACCGGCCCCCAGCTGCCTGATAGGGAGGTCTTTGATGTACGCATCCTTGAGCGCCACCCGTTTACGAATCAGACTTTCATTCCGGTTGATTTATCGGCCCATTCAAAGGTCGGAGATGGTGAGGAAGAGCCGCTGTTTTTGGTGGTTGTGGCGCCTACTTTGAAGGGACAGACTGCCACCGCGAAGGATGAAGCCGGGGAGACGGTTACGATCCGTGACCCGCCGGATCTGAATAATATTAAGGCGTTTGTGGCGCATGGTGGTCAGGCTGTGACATATGGTGTTGGCACGTGGCATGCGCCTATGGTGGTTTTGGGCCGTAGGAGGGTTGATTTTGTTGTTGTGCAATTTGTTAATGGTGTTGGGGATGAGGATTGTCAGGAGGCTGCGTTTGGGGAGGGTGTTGCTGTTGACCTTGGTCGGAAGGGTCAACTTGGGAGGGTGGAGAAGGGCCCGAGGTTGTGGTCCGCTAAGCTCTGATCTGTAGGTGCATGTCTACGAAACAGTTGCAAGTGTTTGGGTTCTTAGAGTGAAACTAAAGACTCGACAGTTGGCACTGAAAATAGAGGGGAGGAGGCATTTGCTAACTTAGCTATGTGATTTGGTGGTATCTTTAACAGGAGAAGCCGGAATATTGTACATAAATATCTTACATAGTACCTTTCAAGTACATATTGACCATGACATTTCACCGCCAAGGATGTCGAGGTCAAGGTTGACCTTCATCAGCAACTCGAGGCGGTGGAGTTTTATCCCTCATTTCCTGGCGGACCCTCATAGCCAGCTCGAGGGTGTCTTTGGGCAAACCAGCCAGTTGGGCAACCTTCAGAGCATGAGACTCGCGGTTGACACCTTTCCGCAACCGGTGGACAAAAGAGAAGGCACCCGAAGGCATATCTTTCACATCCGTGCAGTATCTCGCCAATTTATCAAAGTCCTCTGTCATATCCGCGAGAGCATGGAAATGAGTGGCAAAAAGCACCCGAGACTGGTTGTGATTGTGTAAATGATGCAGACACGCAAAACTAACGGCTGTGCCATCTTCGGGGGTTGTGCCTCGGCCCACTTCATCCATAATCACAAATGATTTAGGCGTGGCTTGTTTGAGAATAGTAGCTGTTTCCAACATCTCCACCATGAACGTTGACTGGTCACGGAAGAGGTCATCCGCTGCACCAATTCGGCTAAAGATCTGATCGACGATACCGATCTCGGCATAAGCTGCGGGTACGAAAGATCCGACTTGCGCGAGGATTGTGATTAGAGCATTTTGCCGCAAGAAGGTACTTTTACCTGCCATGTTGGGACCAGTAATGAGCCAGATCCGCTCGGAATCACTCAGGAAGCAATCGTTGCTCACGAACGACCGTCCTTGTTCCTCTAAACCCAGTTTGACTGTGGGATGCCTTCCACCGACAATCTTATGACAGGTACCGTCGTTGAGAATCGGTCGTACCATTTGCTGTTCCTGGGCGAGAGTTGCAAATGAACACGCCACGTCCAACTCATCCATGACTGCTGCATTTCGGCGAATTTTGACAAGGTTCAGGATCACCTCACGGCGCAGACGTTCAAATATCGTTTGCTCCTCTTGACGCATCCGAACCTTCACGTGGTCCATTTTGACTCCTAGATCTGTCCAGGCTGGTAGATAGAATGACCGGGTAGATTTGGTCGACGAGACATTTCGAGTGACCCCCAAGTCTTCTAGAGATTTTTGGGATATCTTTGCCCCTTTAACGTGGCAGATGTGACCTAATCCTGGTGTCCATTTAAGGCTCAGGGCTGACGAATCAACCGAATCACGGAGACGTTGAGTCAATGAAGTCTTCTCATCGCCCAACCGTTCTAGCTCCGCGTGGAGTGCATTCAAGGTCTTACTTGCGTCACGCCTCATAATCCAGGTATCGAGGGGACCGGAGTCCGTATCAGCCACAACTGTTCGCTCGCCCTTCTTTGCCCTGACCTTTTTCGGCAGTGCTTCAAGCTCGCTAGATGTGGCTTCATCCATAGCAACCTTTTGTGCTAGATTGGCCGCCTCTGCGGCGGTACTATCCTCGATGCGTTGCTTTTGTAGCAAGCCATCTTCGTCGATGGCGGCAAGAATTTGGTCCGCTAGCGCGATAGGGCCATCAAGGAAAAGCCGTGAAATCATAATAGTAAGACTGTGATTGAAACCTGTAGTGCTGGAGACCGAAAGTCTATTGTGATCTAGAAGAACTTGTCTGACTTCTTTTGCGGCCTCAATGGCACGGGAAAGACAAATCAAATCATCCGGGTCTCCTTTCCCGAAAGCAAATTTCTGAACCAGACGTTGAGAATCATGGCTGCGCTTCAAAAGTTGAATGACGCTGTCACGGAGCTCCACATGTTCTATGAAGACCGAGACAAGGTCCAGACGCTCATTGATGACTTGTAAGGATGTAGACGGGGAGGCTGCATGTAACACATTAGTAAAAACCGCACACAAACCATTGAATTTTAGTTGGACATACTCAGTCGGTCTCGTAGGAGCCGTGCACCACTTTTTGTAGAAGTTCTTCGCACGGCGTGTAGAAGACTACCTTTCCCAAAACCGTCTCTCGCTGTTTCTAGAATCTCAAGACCACTCAGACTGTTACGATCAATGCTCATTGATTCATTCAAATGTCTTCGAATTGGAGGCTGAAGCTTGATATTTGATCCTTGCAACTGCACGCGAATGTACTCGAGCAGACTGTAACCAGCTGCTACTTCCTCCGATGTGAATGAGGCGCGAGCATCTTCGGGGACTGGGGACTCTAACATTGTCCCCCATTCAGATACCGGTTTGAATGCTTCAGGGTATTGGAAGAAGGTGACAAGGCGATGATCATGTCCAACTAGCATTTGCAATTCATGTCCAATAAGATCTTGCACATTTTGATCTACCAGAATCTCACGAGCTCCAATCCGCGCAATTGCAGATGGAAGCATTTGAGTCGTCGTGAGCTGAGTGAAGAAATCACCGGTTGAGAGGTCAAGCCATGACAATCCTACTCGTTGGGGGACAGAGGACAGTATATGCTGATGCGATGATTGCAGATCGATACCAGCGTGTTGCTTCAATTGCGACTGCAAAGATGGGACATCCAAGTATATGGCCAATAGGAAATTATGCTCGGAAGGATCTATGAATTTCTCGTCAATCAGCGTGCCAGGTGTGATGATCCTGGCAACCTTCCGATCAAACAGGAGGCCTCCTGTGCGTGCCTTGTCTTGTGGATTGATGGCAAATTCCTCGCTAATAGCCACGTACTTGTTGAGATCTCCGACAAGGGCTTTGAGAAAACGATCGAGCTGGAAGAAGGGGAAGCCAGCCATTGGAACCGGTCCACCATTCGTCTTTTTGGTCGCAAGCTTGAGATTGAGCAGTGGTGCTAACTCCTCTGCTTGTTCA